TTGTCTATCAAATTAAATGACTGCAGTGGCATTTCAGATGTTTCCACGAAATCGTCAGTAGAATATCCAATTATCTCTGCTTCAGCAACATCCAGTTTTTTTTCATATTGTCTGAATAAATTTTGAGGCTTTTTCAATTGCGAAATTTGATGCTTCTTTTTTATTTTTACTATTTTATCTTTATTCATCTCATTCATCACATCATTTTTCAATATGATTAATGCCTTAGCCTTTCGTTTAGTATCCACAAATTCATCAGTTTCTCTCTGAGATATTTTACTTCCAGAAGGTAAACTAAACACATGTTTATGGATCTTATCTGAAGTTATTTCCATTTCTGGTTTCAAGATGTTTAATGGCCCATTATATGGAACCGCTGATAAAGGATATTTCATTGTCGTCCTCGTTCGAATTTTGGGAACTGAATCAATTATTGGTTCTTTCAATTCTTCGAATGAACTATGCAACTCATTTGATTGTAAGGCCACGTTTTCTCTCAATATAAGTAGGGCTTTCATTTTATCCGCTTTTTCTTTAACCCTAATTAAGGAGTCCTTTTCTGAGTCTTTAGTCGCTTCTCTTGCAATACAATAAAGATGAGGAGAGAGAGGTACATGAACTAGGTCTGGTTGTAAATCTAGCTCCTTTTCTGGGCCAGAATACAAATGATCCTTACAGTTGACAGATAATACTGGATAGTCTTTAGATTCCCAATTTTTTGGTCCCTTGTAATCGGAATTTCGCGTTTTGTCACCTATAGAATTTACTGGACACGAGGTAAATTCTTCCGTTCTTAATAAATCTGTACAATGTACATCCTCTATTGGTCGATATATACCTTTTTCCACAGCCCGCCGATCTAATGCTATTTGTGAGATATCATCCCCTGATGAATACTTTTGCCGTTCAACTGATAAACTTCCATTAGTATCACTTGATCGAAGGGTATCGCTTTTTAAGATGAGCAATATCTTCATTTTCTTTGCATCCATAATAAATTCTTCATCAGCCTTTTTACCAACAATTTCTTGTGCCACGTGCTTATAGATAGGCTCGAAATTTAATTCCTTATTTGGTTGAATAAAATCTATTGAATCTATACAAATACTTTGTTTATCAAACGGTTTATTGTCAAAATCTACTTTTCCCGTTTGTTTTACATCACTTATTTCTTCTTTATTTAGTACGGAAGAAAATGGTTGAAAGGAATGGTCTGCAGTAATCACCAAATCATCAGAATCATTCATTCGCTCACTGCTGTCAATAATTTCATATTTTTTTCCTTTTTCCAAAAGGCTTCTATTATATCTTTGATGTTCATCATTATTTGCCACTGCAATGTCGGTATCATAATCTCCTTTCACTACAAGTAATGCTTTAATTTTTTCAATATTTGTTGAAGAACTTTCCTCATCATACTGAGTTACTCCACTCTCATATGCAGAATCAGATACATATTCTCTTTGCAATGGCTCTCCAGTTAATCGCATTTCCGGCTTCATACCTCTTATAGTGTCATATGAACCAGTCAACACAGGATGACACCCATATGCAACTCGTAAATCACTTTTATCGTCGCTCGTTTTTCCATTTTCAAAATAATTAGGAGTCAAAGTAATTACAGCTTTAATTTTTTTTGCATCTTCAGGCAACTGAGAAAATATTTGAGAGACTGGAGATGCTTCCACAGTCGACTTTACATGAACATCCCATTCTTTATCTTCATCTACAGATACATATTCATGAATTGGTTTTGTAGCGAAATCCACTTCTGGTTTGATGCCACTTACACTTTCATATGAATTAGTTAAAATAGGAGGATTATTATATATATCCCATAATCCACTTCCACCCTCTCCCGTTTTTTCATTTTTCAAAGTGATAACAGCCTTAACCTTTTTTGCCTCTCCAGGCAATTGAGATGTTTGATCGGGAGAGTAATATTGAGAGATATTGGAAGATGTTTGCACGGTTGATTTTATGTAAACACCTTGTCCTTTATTATTATGTGCAACCATTAGATTAATTGGCTCAGAAATGAAATCATTAGTTCTATATAAATCGGTAATTTTTATGGAATCTGTATGTTTCTTAAATAATTGTTGACCTGAATCAGACGAAAGATTATCGTGATATTCAAACTGATGTTTAGCTTGAGAAACAGACTGAAAAGGATATGAAGTTAACTCATCCACCGTTTTCAAAGTATCAATTGATCCTTCATAAAGCAAAGGTGATGTTGAATAAATATTTTCATTGGGTTTGCACTCTGTATCATATAAAAAAGAAACATCAGTTGAGTTTACGCTTAATGATTGCTGTTTCAGTCCATCTTTCCTTACTATAATTTTACCCAAACCTTTTTTTTTCGGCTTTTTTCGCTTATTTTTTGCTAGAAATTCTTCTTTTAATCGCCTATTTGCATTAATATCTTCATGTTCAGACTTCTGCAATTTCTCTTCAGAGTCTTCTCCATTCGATTTCGTAACTTTTGAATCATCATACAAGAAAATTTTTTCATCATTTATCTCCGTTTTTGGTTTTCGTGAAATCGACATGATATTTTTATATTCGCTAATCGGTGATTCTTCCACTTCTATTGTTTCAGATTTATCCTTTTTTCTCAAATAAAGTAAAGCCTTCACCTTTTTCCTTTCAATAAATTCACAGTCACTTTGTCGAATTTGTTGCTTGTCGACTTCATCTTTAAATGATTTAACAAATGGCGTATAATCTAAGTCATCAGTAAGAGAAAGACAGTTCGGTGATTCCATATCATTCATGGTAATCGGTTTAATTCTGCTTAAATCTTCACTGTTTTTATAAGAAATTATTTCATCTGATTTGCCTGTTTTTATAAAATGATCATGGTCAAATATTTCATCAACTGGTTTTTCTTTTATCATTGGAGAAATTTTGGAAAAACTTGCATCGGTTACAGTTGAGCATATAATTGGCATATCTTTCATGAAAATCTCATCTTTTTTAACATCTGAATCAACATGTGCATTAGCGAAAATTTTATTTTCAAAAAATGTATCCTCTTCATAATCGTACAGATTCCACTTATCACGTATATCTTCTCTGACAAAATCTCCAGACGATTCACCTGAAGTCGTCTTAAAGTACGACTGAATTGGTTGTTCCTTAACTGGTCGATAAACAAGATCATCTGTTTTTGAAAAACCATCCAAAATTTCTCCAGCAGTTCTTTCAACACGATGTTTGGTATAGGGAGTTGAATCAGATTTTATCTGCTTTTTCGTCAAATCGACCGAACTTATGTGGGGAACTTTATGATCATAATAACTATTTGCAAGCTTATACAGTTCATTGTTCCCTTTGGACGGCGATTTCTGGTTTGGCAGAACGCTGTCAATATATGGAACAGCCGATAATTGGTCCATTTTTTGGCTTTTAGTGATATTGGGTTGTATTGTTTGAGCAACCAAATCTGGAACTTCAGAGGTGTGTTGATCACTTTTTACATGTATGGAAGCTTTCATTTTTCCTTTTATTTTATCATTTTCTTTCTCTTTCTCTAATTTAGTGGATATTTTTGTGTGAAACCAAGGTCGTTTATGATAAATAAAGCAATATTGTCTTAGAGGAAGTGTCTCAAGGTCATCACAGAGTTCCGTACGATACAATACATATTCGGATTGATAACTTATCGGATATTTGCTTCTGTCCAATTTATTCGGTTCTATAGAATCTTCAATGCCTTTGAGGGTCTTATATTTAAAAAAATTAATATTTCTATTACCACCTTTATATTCAGTTAGTCCTGAATGATATTTATTTACAAAATATTTGACTGGTAAAACAGGTATTTCTTCACTTTTAACCAAAACTGCTGAAGTAGGCGAATGAGTAGTAGCAATTTTTGAATCAATCAATCCTTTTATATCTGAGCCTTTTACATCTAGTGATCGACGAACTTTTTGAATATTGACACCGGAAAAGCCAGGAATTTCTGATTTTTTCGCCAACATTGCCTCCATATAGCTAGGATAATAAGCCAAACTTTTCTCAGTTATATCAGAATTACCACAAATATCGTCCTTTGAAATAAAAGGACCATGTGACGAAGAACGATCAATATTATGATCAATAATCTTATCGTGATCATATCTCTCGTGAACCGATTCTAAAACTGCACCAGACTGCGTCAAGGAGGTAGGGAAATGAAGCGAATAACTCGAATGATCATTAAATATGCCTGGAATGAAGCCCAAACGGCTCGCAGAAAAGCCACTGAAATTATGATCACTGACCTCATAAATAACTGTTGCATTTTTAATTGAATTTTCATCTGATTGTATATTGTAGGACATATTATAAGAATCTTCTTGAAAATCCATTGGCTGAAAAATAGGAATAAAACAATACAGAATAAAAAACGAATATCATTAATTTCAGATTAACTGGGATTCCCAGGCATAACACCAATTTTTTATTGATAAATTTTTCCTTATCAAATGCAAAATCCTAGTCATTAAACTTAGGTATATAGGCGACGCATAATCAATAAATTACTAAACATTATACCTTACTGCAAAATATATGTACTTCCCATCAAATGGAAAAAAATTTCTAACAAGCAGCGAAATTGGCCTACTCAAAAATGGTGAATGCGATCATTAACCAATTCTTGTAAGCGATTTTGAAAAAAAAATTTATTTTATTCTTTAAAAACTGTATTTTAAAATCAATATTTTCCCATCATACAAAAGAACCAGCAAAATTTATTAATCAAAATAATTTATAAAATATTTTAATAATCAAAAATAACTCTTACTTCACGCGATAATTCATTCTTATCGTATTTCAACAAAACGATAGGTTCTTCACGTTTTTGAGCTGGAGCTAAAATTAAGAATTTTTTTACTAATATTAAAAAAACGAAAAAAGCATGGTTTCGCAATTTAAGCATAAAAAGAAACCCACATACAAACTTCATTTTTAAAGAAAATTATTTTAAAATTATGATATTTTGATCACAAGAAATTCAATCGTTGCAAATTGAATTCGATGAAATGCGATGTGTTATGTGATATTGACTTTATTAAGAGAAAATTCTCAGACTCTATATAAATTTCTAACATTGGTAGTAAATTAAAAAACGCACCATTTCCATCACTTTTACACGAAAATCGAGCACTCTGAGATCGCTGAATGTTTGGCGCTGAATTACCAAACATCTGTGATGCCATTTTTGACTGGAATTGAGTTCGGCCCTGATAACTGAATTTACCCGATCCCCAATGCAAAAACCCTTTACGCGGTTTCTCGTCAGGTCGAATCAACCTGAAAAAAAATTTTTTTTTAGTCAATGTTTAGATAAATTTTGAAATAAGATACCAAAGCAACAGAGGGGAATGATTTTTTATTCACTCCTCGTACCTGAAGAAAGTATGATTCTCGACAGCGAATTTCCAAGCTCGTTTAGCAGTTTCGTAATCTGCGAATTTGAAAGAAATATTGGTCTCATTTTTTTCTAACTGAAAGCAGTCATATGGATAGATTTAAACAATTTATCATTTTAAGATTATGACTTTACATTTCTACCCTATGTTAAAAATTAATTTGCCTTGTTAATTAATTAATTTGTTAATTAATCAATTTGTTAATTAATTATTAATTAATTTGTTTGGAAGTCTTACTTCACCCCGTCGTAATTTTATGGTGAATATATTACGTTTATATGCAATTTTTATAATATTTTGCCAAATAAAACGATAAATCCGAATTCGATCTTGATATATATGAATACCGTGAGCGCCAATACCGAAAGCCACCGCATTACCTTTACTATCCTGGAAAATTCCTTCGATATGAAAAAACTGCTGCGAATTAATAAAATAGAGAGGAAAACGAATGAAAATCTGACAATTTTAACAAATCTAAAAAATGAAAAAAATAAATATGCGAAATATGTGGAAAAAAGAACCTTTGCAAGTGTTGTTGATATTCCATATAAACTTAGTTTTTTAGCATTTTCTAAATATTGGAGGTCAGCGTCAGCTGGACTCTGACCTCTGCAATTGACAAAATAACAATAATATCGCACATCATTGTCACAAAATTAATAAATATAAATTGTTCAGTGCAAAATTATACGGAAATTGATATTAAATTTCATCATTGAAAATGGAAAAAAATTTCAAATTTCGATGGGAATAAACAACCGACTTTTGCTAACTTGTGTTGTAGAAAGAAATTGCTAACTTGTGTTGCTTATGTAGACTTTGAACTTTATCAAGTAAAGCATCACTTAAAACTGGAGCTAAATGAATATTTCGCAAAAAACTATCATATTCAGGCGAAACACTATAATCACCAAATTCCGACTGAACTATATAAGATCCAAGCAATGCATAAGTTGCAAATGTTGCTGATATTCTGTAAAAAACATATCGTTATAATATCGTTTTGCGGAAATTTGACTTAAAAAATCAAAAAAAACTTAAAAACATTTCGTTAATTCAAAAAAACAAACTTTCCACTATAAATGTCACTACGTATTTGAAGGCACATTTGATAACGTGTTAAATCATCGTTAAGCGTAGTTGGATCGACTGGATAAAACTTCACACGAAAATTAAATATCCAAGGTTCGCCTATAAAATATTAAAATAGGGAAAAAAGCCAAAGAATTATTTTTTTTTGTTTAAAATTTCCTTATTTTAAATTTTCTTTGAAATTGCGAAATCACCTTTTCATTATCGAAAAAATTTTTTAAATGGAACGAACCTTTCAATTGTTTCGAAATTCGTTTATCGTTGCAAAGCCATAACTGAAATTTTCTCAACAATCGCGAAAATCATAGAAATATTAAAATTTAAAAAAAATTCATAATCAAAATTCATGAAGAATTCTAGCAGCAGAGTAATTCAGTTGGAGATAATCTACGTTCTAAACAGAACAATGCAGAAAATCAGCAAAATATTTTTCTACAATTATAGCAATAGCACAAATAAATTAGTTTCATTTATAGTAGATACACGATTATGGAATTAAGAAATGAAGAAGAGCTAAAATCAAACCAGAAAACTGAAATTAATGCCTTTGTATGTGCGGAATGCAAGAGCTATTACCTTCAAACAAATGAGTTCATTCAATATTCTTCAGTTAATCAAAAACTCATATCAGAAATAACATACGTTTGACATTCTGTAAGCAAGCAGAAGGAAGGTACAGTTTCTCGCCGGAAAATTAAGTGTATCTAATAAAGCCTTAATGAAGCCTTTCTGAGGAGAACCCGCAAAAGTCGTGGGATTGATTAAACCAAAGAAACATATTGAAAGGTACTTAAAAAATAGTTACCTAGAAGATCCGCGACTCCACATATTATACAATGATAAATTAATCTACTAATTAAATTATTTTAGCATAGAAATTAAGATTAAATAGATTCTCGAACTTGTGATTATTTTAACGTTAACGTTTATCTTAACAAGTTCCTAAATTAAGGCTATTTTTTATATAAAATGTGAATAATACTTTTCATGAGTTCACTGCGCAGCATTACTATGAATTGAAAGTTAAATCTAAAAATTGGCCTCTTCAACATAAACTGACGATTATTCTTCCGAAACGGTTCATCTCTAATCATCCAAATTTTTTTCAAATTTTTTTGATTTTTAAAATATTCTTATCTATAAGTATAGTTTTACTGATTCTTTCAACATATAGGATACTAAACAAAATCATTAGCAACATTTTGTAGCATTAGCTTTAAGATGATAATAATTGCGAAATGGTTTTATGAGAAAAGAAAATCACCTATCCTTCAGTTTCCTGCAATAGTTTCAGTTGTTTGCTCAGATCAAATTAAAGATTTTGACGGACCAATTCAAAAAAAGATTAACTGAATTTCGTGGTTTGAATAAGTCTGTATTAGATTTAAACGGTCATTTAGACGAGGCTGTAATAATATTATCAGATTAGGTCTACAAATCAGGTCTCAACGTAACTACGTTTCTCTTTTGCTCTTTTTCAACAATATTGGGGTAACTGACATTCGAATTCAAATATTAATGAATGAGACGGTGAATATAAAGCAAGATAGTTTTTTCATATATAGTAATATATATAGTAATATATACAATCTTTCATATAACCATATTATTTTTCATGAATCATAGAAATGGTCTCCAGGGCGATCTAAAATGCTATAAAATAAGACTTAAAAAGAACCATTCATACCCATATTTGATAAACTTATGGATCCACAAATGGTCGCAACCTCAGCCCACAGCCAGAAATCACTGTCAGTCAGAAAACACAATATCAATCGCTTTTCTTTATTTTCATTATCTTTTTTATTATTATTTTTAATTTATTGTTGTTGAAATCTCATCGATATATGACGTGCATCCTCGCTGCTTAGTTTCTAATAAACAAATATTTCTTGCTAAAAGTGTTGATTATAATGTTAAATAGGCTTAAGTTAAATGAAGACTCAAAAATGAAAAAAGATTTGATAAAAATTAACTGAAATAACCAACCTGAGTACCAGTATTGTCACCAAATGAAAGTGAAAAGTATTCCTTTTCATTCAAATGAATATACGATACGACTTCGTTAAAAAGTTCACCACCAGTTGCACGTTTCTACAAAATTTCGTGAAAATCCATTGAGTTGTTAATTATACGATAGTTTTTGATGGAGAAATAATGCGGTACAGATGATGGTAAAAAATAATTTGAAAAAAATAATTAGCGCTCAGTTACACATTACAAATAACGATGGAATCAGTCAAGCCTAAGGCAAAAATAGCCGACCGAGCCAATACATATCAAGCCGCGTTCAATAATGCCACGCCAGGAACGGACTGTTTTAATCACATAAAACTATTTATTATAGTTTCTGAATTTTCCAAAATTTCAAAATTTATTTAAGCAAAGTGTAATAAAAAATTTATTAAATATTCTATAAAATAATTAAAAGCAATTTATATTTCAAAATGGTTTAAAATGTTTTCAAAGATAATTTGAACAAAAATATAATTTAAAAATAATTCAAAACAACAAACTTTAATAAAGAAAGAATGTTGCGTTGCATCAAGAAAAGTAACTTTCGCCTCTTGCACATTATTTTTTTTAACATTTTCTTTACATATTTCTTTCAGTTCATCGTTACTTTTCACTTCGCTACCCATCGTTCTTATGGCTTTCTAAAAAGTGATTTGTTTTTTAAAAATTTATTTTCTATAATAAAAATAACTAGGCCAACGGAGAGAGAACGGGGAAAATGAACTAATGGTCGAAACGTCTCAGGACCTTCGCCTAAAGCAGCGTAGACTATTCGATAACTAGCAGGCTTCGCTACAACTAGCGATGATCGAGCCTTTTCAAAACACGACGATAATCACTCGGCATTTTTATGTAATCTTATTTGCATCTCAGTTCTGGATCGGTTATTGGCGCATAACTGCTCGAGATCCGAAGTGAGAAAGATGGACTTCCGAGAGGCTAACGATATCCACTATACCTGAACAGCTATGGCCTCGTCGCGTGCACATAGATGTCCATTGTCGTTCGTCCATATTTCTCAACGAATCTCATATAATTCCCCTATTTTTGGAACTTTCGTACACAATAAGTTTAGATTTCAATCTGTAATCAATTTTTCTTAAAAAAAGAAAAATACAATACTGTCAAAACAAAATTTAAAATTTAAAGTGACGAAATGCAAACAATATTATACAACATTCATAAAAATAAAACATTATACAAAAAATATTAAGCAAATATTTGCTTTTAATATTTTAAATTCATAAATTTTTTATCAATTATATTAAAAAAATAACATATGATTGCAAAAATACAATAATAAAACAACGAAATAATCATCGATTTTCATTGATAAGATTAGTAATGTTGTAATGATTCTGAAAAAATACACAATACACAAACACATACACACACACACAGACACAGACACACATGTGTTACACTTACACTTTTATCAAATATCAAATCAAATGAATTTTATTATATACAATTTTCATTTCACCGTCCACTCCCCCATCGCCTCTCCTCTCCTCTCCATCCCCCTCACACCACACCAGTCCTATCCCCACATCGCCTTACCCCCACTTTTTTACTTTTAATTCGCATATTACTCCGATCAGCTGACTTTAATGAAAGGTTTACAATAGATTATTTTGATGCTTCTTAATGATTCAACTAATAAAGAGTTTAATTACGTAAAATTGTATAAAAATAATGAAATTTATGGCCTATAAAAATGCAAAAACTGGAGGAAAAATAAGCAATTAGAAAAATAATCGCAACAAAATAAGCAGTATCTGCAAAATAAAACAATTTTAGACGAACTAATAGAAACAACCGACAATTGCGCGTCAGACAAATACACATAAATTCCACTGGAGCAATACCTATTAATCCGCATTCTGCGGTGTGAAACCACATGTTATGTCGTCTGTCTGTCGTCTCGCGTCCTCTTCAGACTCCTGTATTACCTCTTGTCACCATACCACTTAACCTAATTCCACAGCAATAGGATGAATCTGTTATTGGTCAACAACACTGAATAACGCGGACCACAACAGGCCAATTCATGCACATAGATGTGGGCGATTTCATGAATCAATAACAATAATAATGAGCTGACTGTGGACATGTCACAACAGTGTGGCCATATGCCCACCGTAGCACTCACATAATTGTGGCCAAATAATTTAACTGTAGACGCCAAATAATTGTGACTAAGGACTCAGTTAAGGACTAAGCGTGATCCCCTTTAATTTTAAAATATTAAACACAACGAGAGCCGAGAAAATGATGAAAATCTACGGAAAATGGTGAATCAAATAGAAAAAATGAATTAATTGATCGATAGAAGATATGATTAAGTTGGCTAAAAAATTCATTGTTTTCATTATTTTTATTTCTCACTTTTTCACATTATATTTTCTTTTCACTTTTTTATTTTTACCAAAAAACTTTTAATAATTTTAAAATTACTTTTTTCGATAAGTATTCCAAATAAAAAAATTTAAGACTAAAATGGTAAAAAATTACTAAAAAAATTTTATTGAAGTAAAAGCTTCTAAAGAAATGCATAAGCAAAAAATCGATAAAAATAGAGGAAAATCAATAAAATGAAATCCTCATAATGAACAAATTTCCACTTTTTCTCTTCCTCTTCAACTTTCCATACATTCTCTCTCTGCGTTCATTCCCTCTCGTCTCTCTATCCATTCTGTTTTCTTTGTCTGCCAACTTCCTCATCACTTTGTTCATTTCAATTATTAGCGAAGATCTTTCGTCTGAAATACAAATTTTCCGTTCGGGTCATCCAAGGCGGTTGGCCTGAAAATTGTCGAATCGAGGGCAAAAGCTGGAACCGTTGTGGTCGGCAAGTCAGTTCGGGTCGTCCAGATGTGTGACCCACTTGTTTGGGTCATTAAAATGAGCTAATTTGTGAATATGAGACGAACTTAAATTCACCAAGAATTAGAAGGCAATGTCATTGTTTCTTTGTTATTTCTTATATTTCTTTTAAGTATTATTTAAATATTATTATAATTATATAAGTATTATTTAAATATCATTTTCCTGATTTGCTAAATATTCTTGATTTAGGGAAAAATTAGAAATGATCTGTCGTTTTGGCTTTGAACTAACCTTTTGATATTCGACTGATTTTTTTTTGATTTGTTTTGCAAGAATTCTGCAAATAGACGATACACATCCAGCGACAATTTCAACGGTTTCAGATCATAACAAATCATAACTTTCTGCTGCAACTGATCTGTGATCACTTGATAAACAAAGAACTTTATTGCGAGTTGCTTCTGACCTTTCAATCTTCTCGAATCGTTTTTATTAAAATGGTTAAATGAAGGCGATGCATTCACCATTTCCGGCCCTGCTGGCCGCTAAATCTTTGCCGAATGGGGGTTACGAGTGGGTCGCCAGCATCGTCTTCAGCTTATCAACAGGTGTCGGAAGTCCGACATCTGTTCTTTGATAGATAAAAATAATAGATAAAACCGGCTCCGTTTATCACTTTCACGTCAAACTGAAACCGAACTTTATCCGAAACAGATTCGCTAGAAAAAATTTTTTGGAATATAACACAGCCAATCAAACGTTGAGAAATTTTGCAAACAATTTTGAGAAATCAAATTATTTTTTTTTAAATTATTTTTTCAATTTTTAATTTTCAATTTTTTCCAAATCTAAATTTGGATCATTCCGAATAATTTAATAAAATCTTTAAATTTTCCTTACATTTTTAAAAAATAAAGGCATTAAATTTGCAAATCTATTTAATATAGAGCTGTAAAAATTCAATTGCGGTTTGAATAGATATCTAAAAGTCGGGGGATTTTGCTAATGAGTTCATTTATATGAAGAAAAATTATCAAACAGGGCAAAAGTAGGAGGTTAGTTGGAAGTTTTCTGCAGGCAGATTTGGGAAGGAGCTGTTGGGAGGAGGGGAGAGCTGGAGGTGGCACTTATTGAAGAAGAATGAGGGGTGGCTAAAGAGATCGGAAGAAGGCTTTCGTGATACCTACTCTTCGGCGATTTTCTAACTTTTTTTTATCATATCGTAAATATTATGTTTATGTCGCGTGAATTGCATCAAAGTTTGCATTTCTTATTCTTATTTCTTCATTTAAAATGCTTATGCAACTTGAAAATATTAGGAATTCTTTTGTCCATCACAGATTAAGTGGTTCATTGTTTTGGCAAATTATTTGGTACCAATAACGGTATTAACGCGATAAAGTAATTTATTTGCTAATAATCATATTATCATAAAAGGTTGGTTTGCAATCTCTTTCTAATACTCGATGATTTGATAGTCTATAATTATCAGATAATTATTACTTCATTTTTATTTTAAATTATGTTTAAATACCTTGAATCCACTCTAATAGCGAATGGCCAGACAAAAGACGAAATTAGAACCCAGATAACTGCAGTTAGAAATGCGTTCTTCCGGATGACAGAACCTTTATGGAACCGTCGCGAATTCACCATAAACCTATATAGCCGCGATTCCTTCGATCTTGCTATATGGCTTTATGCCAGACATGGCCAATGAGAGTGGAGGATATGAAGAAATTACCTGTCTTTTACCACTCGTGTCTAAGGTACATTTTGCCGTGTGGATGAAATCTCACATGATCGCATCCATCTTCGTTCAAATACCATTTGCATTAACAGTGCCATCACAGATCGTCGCATTTGCTTGTTATGTTATTCGTCGCCCACCGCAATATTTGACACATTTCGTTACTTGCTAAACTTGTGATGGGTGGCGTCAAAAGCGAGGTGGGCTATTCAAGAACTGGAATGACATGGTTAGAAAAGATTTTGAACGTATAGGTGAACCAGCAATATATGGACTTAGATCGTGGAAAAAGGAATGGATTCTACTACTGTTGACAATAGCGCTATATCGCACAACTTAGATACCCTTATAGTCAGTAGAACCAGTTTAACCAGTAATAATGAGGGCTGTTAGAAGAAGAAAAGAAGAATTCTTATCAGAAAGGTTTGGTCTGCAATATCTTTCTTATAGTCGATGATTTGATAGCCTCTAATTATTATGATCTGATCTGATGTATGAAGGAATAATTCATGAAATATTTCCTATAAGAAATGATCTAATCTATACGCATAAGCGATAATTGAAAAAATCGTAGGCGAAGGCGATGATTTATCAATATTCTTTGTAGTTCAAGTGGTTAAACTATGTTATCAGTTTCAATGTATGATTTGCCTCTTGATTTGATATCTGATTTACTTTGGTCCATTTCTTTTAATCAAAGAATGGACATAAAATTTAATAAACAAAGATATATTTCATCGAATTTCAAAAATATAATTTATTTAAATTTCTTTTCTTCATTTAATTAATTGTTAATTTCAGGTTTCATATTCGCACAAATGTTAATTAAAGTAAAAACGTTGACAGGTAAAGAAATTGAATTAGATATCGAACCAAATGATAAAGTTGAAAGAATTAAAGAAAAGGTTTAGTTGTCTTTTTTTTAGATTTCGTTATTTCGTTCTAAACTACAGTTTTTCAAGGAAATATTTCTTAGATTTATCTGTTATGTTAATCGCATTTTATAAATATAAATTTGTAAAAAAATTATATATATTGTGATTTATTATAAATATAAAAGTGTACACATAAATATATAAATATATTTATTTTTTGCGTTTATATTGCAAAAATTTTTATCGAAATCAAAAGTGTTATCATTAGTTTATTAGTAATAAAATTATTATCTGATTTATTTTGGCAAGAGACATTTGATTGTAATGAAACTGTAGTTTTCTAACAATAAATATGAAGTATTCGCAATATTTATATAACTTTTTATGTATGCAAATAGCAAAAAAATTTTGCTGTTCATCGTTTTATCCTGGCATAAATGGATTAATTTATAGAAAAATCGCTGAACATTTATTAAAAATAAAAATGCTTTAAATAAATAATTTTATAAATAAAACTTTCGATGATATTTCATACGTTTTTTGTGTTTTTTTATATGTTTTTTTTGCATAAAGATAGGACATAATTAAGTATTGCAGCGATAATATAGTAAAATCTACCGTTAGCTAGGATTGTTGTTCTACTGTCTACTGTCCATATATGTGTTGGTTAAAGTTATAAACTTTTGAAAAAAGTGTAATTTTCCATTGAAAGGGAATTTAATACACTGGAAATTTTAAATTATTGTTTTTAACATTTTTTTAAAGTCATTTTTTAACCCTTAAATTTTAAAAAAACGAAATTTGCAACTGTTGAATTGTATTACTTTTCAAAAAAGAATTTCTTTTTTCTTTAAAACAAATTTAGGTCGAAGAAAAAGAAGGAATCCCGCCGCCACAACAGAGGCTTATATTTGCCGGTAAACAAATGAGTGAAGAAAAAACAGCCCAGGATTACCGAGTAAATATTGTTTCTAATTTTAACCTTATTCATTTATATATCGCTTTAAAACTTTTTTAATTTTTTCTGAAAAACGAAAAATTTGCATAGATATTTAAGAATTATAAATTCTGCCTGAGTACTTCCATTTTTATTAATTTTTATAATTTATTAATAATTTTTAGGTAGTTGGTGGTTCCGTACTCCATTTGGTATTAGCACTGCGTGGCGGTTCATGCAAATTTTCTACTTCGAAAATCGTTTTTATTTTTCGCTAAAAAAGGATTTTTCATAGGCTCTGTTGGAAAAACTTTGTCCACTATTTGAATTGTATTTTAACTGTCTACTCCAGATCTGTTTATATTTTTCATTTATTTATGATCCCCAAAATAAAATAAATAGCACTTTCGTATTTGTTCTGCAGCAATCGCAACCAGTTGATTTTGTGGAATATAGGATTTCTAAGAGGATTTAATAGAATAGGATTTTTTGGTAAAATTCAATTCTAATGTAATAATTTTAATGATGAAAAATGAAAGAATCGTTTACTATTATACTGAATACTATATGCTAAATACTATATGTTTGACACATGGAATGGCATCGAGAACAAAACATTTATATTCTAAAAATTATACATTTTATTGTTGATTTTAGACAAAAACTCACAACACATTCATACATTAAAAGAAATTTGAAAAATGACTAAATTATGAGAATATATATAAATAAATATGAGATATGAAATGTTAAATCTTATTGGCACTCGATTCTTACAGATTTATTTTTATTTTTATGAATTAAATGCTTGGAATAAGCTTCTTATCAATTATACACGTGTGGAATTATATCAATTATGAACAGAATTTTTATTAATTTTTATATGAGTGCAGCTTTTATTTTCATTATAATTTATAATTAGCCTAATTCATTTCATTTTTGTTAGGGTAATTTTTTATTCATTTGGCTATAGAACTGTAAATGAATATCGCCCTGCATATCGCCTGAATCAACCTTGTTATATTATGGTTTCTCCTTTCTCCTTTCCTCTTTTATCACTTTCCATTTCATAATTTACAAAATTAATGGTGGGGATCGTTGGTGTCGATAAAAAGGTTGTTGACTTAGTGTCAAATACAAAATAATGAATATCAAATAAATTTAAAATCAGAAATTAATATTCTAACAGATGTTACCACGTAAATTTACCAGATATTCCTTGGAGAATTAAAAAATGGTTCAAATAAATGATAAAAATTTTGTGTAAATAAATTATTTGGTTTTGTTGATTTGATATATGGTACAATGCAATTATTTGAATGTCTACGAGAATAAACTATCTCGAATGATTATCACCAATAAGCTGATTTTTTTTGATAAGCTACGCCAAATATGATTAAATGGTTTCTGTCGTAGATTGGCTACTGGAGGTTGAATCTGTTGTTCGTCTTTTCTAAAATTTACAAAAATATTATTTTAATCAGTATTATTTTAATCAGTCGATTTATAGATAACAAAATATTACTGGCAAAAACGCTTGTGCTACCAGCAAAAATTCCATGAAACGTTATCAAAGCTTGTAGTATTTCTTCAAATCTTGATGCATTGTTTCCACACAATAATCAGTTCCTCTTAATTCTTCCTCAGTATTGTCCATTTCCCGTTGTTTTCCTTCATCCATCGTCATATTGCCTATTCTTTCCAAACTTATTTGTAAGCGCGATACAGCTACGTGTCTTACCGAGATTTTAAAAATAAAATGAGGAGAGACAGTGGTATAATGGTACTATAAATGAAGAGTTTGTTGACAACACAAAAATTATGAGGAAGAATGCATTAAGGTACCTTGGGAAAGGTTTTTCAACAAACTGTGCAGTGCCAACGAATTCCAGTGCGACTGAATGAGATCAGATTTTTAAGGAACATCAACGGATTATAACAAAAAGTTATAAAGTTTGGCAGTATGTTAGGTAACCATAGCTGGATCTTATGCAGTTAACATAGTAAGGAGATGTCAACTTTTTAAAAGAATACGGCAGAGTTGATAGGTTGATAGAGGATTTAGTTGATAGAGAAGGATATAATAAAGATATAATAAATTCTGAAGAAGTCGACAAGCCATTATAACGGGTATAAAGTTGTTTAGGTGAATAATAATGAGAAGGTTTAATAATAGGCTATGGTAAAAGGGTGCATAAGTTCGGCGAAGCGTTGAGAGAGCCTAGAGGAGAGGATGCAAGTTTCGAGAAAGTTATTAGAAAGGCATGGCATAGTACAGTAGTATATCACTTTGGGATAAAAGAGTACTTTGGGATGCGCAGGACATTTAATGAGAACAGCATTTTGGGGACTATTAAGAGAACATTTCGAACAGCCGTGAGGAAATTCACAAAAAATGCCTGGATTTGGGTGATGGATTTTTCTTAATAGATATATATTAAAATAATTTATTATAAAAGTAATTTATTCTGACGATGCGACCAATCGTCATATTTTCCTTATTTATCAACTTCTTCAAATCATTTGAGCTGCATATTGTATAAAATTTTATCTATTTTTTATTCAGGTCATTTAAAAAATTATAATTTTTTTATGAATATTTCTTAATTCTATAACTTTAATTATAATTTTTAATTATAATAATTACAATGTTTTTAATAAAAATTTTTCGAGGAAAGATTGTTACAACGCAAAAAATTTATTAAAAATTTATTTTATAAATTCTAATAATTTTAGATCCAGTGTTAAATTTTACTTTTATGCTGATATATTCTCGCTAAATAATAAGGTGTAAATAAGTAATAAGCAATAAGATATAAATCTTACAAAAGGCCGTTCTCCTGAGTGCCACCGTAAATGTGCTTTTAAATGAGAGCTTTTACTATAAAGTTTTCCGCAGCCAGGTACGTGACAATTGTGTATTCCACGTTTTTTTGCAGGAATGTTTGCGATTCCTGAAATTTATTTATTAGCACCTTTTTTTATGAAAAATCTTTTCAAATGACAAAAAAATTTCAACGTGATATTAAGGTTTAATAAATTGATTTGTAAAATTAAAGAAAATTTCCAGAAGAATCACAAAAAATTTAAAGTTTAGCATTTTTTTCTTAATTAATATCTTTCAAAATATCTTGAACAACATATTAGAAGATTGACAAACTACGGTGCGATGCTTTCCCATGATTTATTGATAATTGCAATGAAAATATAATAATTATATATTTTCACTGATAATTCATCAATATAAAGTTGACTTAGGCATGACCTTTCTACATTTTTGGATGAATCTGACCTTTCATAGGTCACACGCCATATTACATAATCTTATGAAAATGATTATTATCAGCGGCGTTATTTTTATAGGTATTAAGAAGGAGAAACGAGTAGTTAATAAAATAATTAAGTAACATGGAAAATCTCATGGTTGCAAATTTTGGGATATTTAAGAATAGCACATGGGCTTAAGGAAATGACAGAGGTGCATATCCACTGAAATTTTTACCAATTTACTGACAAATAAAATCTTTTTTGGACAAAATAAAAGACAATGACACTTTAAAAAAAACTGTTAATGTGGTTGAAAATGAAAATGAGGAATAATGTATTTCTTTCTGATGAAATAGAAAGCTTTGTTTTCAAGTGCATCTTTTCAACTACTAAATTTTATATGCAATTCGAGGGCAATTCCTTTCCAACGCTTAATTATTTTGCGAAGAATTTTCTACAGAATATTTTTTCTAATTGTCTAATTTTCTATTAACAAACTAAGCTAATCGTAGCAAAACGTTTCACGACATAACTGATAATAAATTGTTTCGTCTTCTAACGAAATTATTTATCTTTTTGTTGGTTCCAGTGATTGTTAGTTCCCCAGAGAATCGAATGGAATTCAAGCATTAGCTGAATTTATTCCGTGATATACTTTCTAAATAGGGTGAATAATCCGTCCGCGAAAAATTTTTCAAAGAATTGTTTTGTAGGAATTTTAGCAGCATGAAACCATATATTCTTCTTGCATTATTGAAATTAGATATGATTGAAGTGACATTCTTCATTAATGAGAATAATAGATTTATAAATTTTGTATCGTAAATTATCACTATAAATAAAACTAAACCGAATATTTGTTTTACAATAAATGTATTACAGCAAAGACAAATGATGCTCAAATTTTCATATCCTTTTTCAAAACATTATTAAAATCACTGGAATTGAGCTCAGCTGATTCGTTAAAATATTCCTCGAATAACGATTATATCCCTCTTCTCCAATCTATATTTCTCAAATTTCAGATTTGTGAATTTACGAGATCAGAAAAAAGTCGATGTGAAATAGCTGTATCACATTCATAGCTTTGAATATTTATCATATTTATTTATTATTTATTATTTATCATAAATAAGTGAATATTTGACAAATACATGAATTATGTAAATTGCATTTGTCTTTGAATAAATGCGTTTTTTTGCCTTTGCTAAGGTGCAACAAGAAAATAAATCTCTACTTTTTCTCAAATAACGATTGCATTTTGTTAACAATCTCAATTTCTTTATGAAAATGAGATTTTTAAAAAAAGTTATAATTTTTTATTCAAAAAGTCGATTTGAAATGCTGGTTTAAAAAATTGCAAAATTAAGAATAATTTTATTCTTAAAGAAACTTATCAAATCGTGAAAAAAGCAGACCCACTGGCGCATTTCTTAGATTAGGTAATTCATTAAAAAGTTAGGACATTATAGATCTACCTGTGATTTTATCTCTAAATGACTCGCTAGCACGTGCTTTAAGGCGAAATGAACCAAATCGGAAATTATGAACGCTAGTTTGAAGGAGAATTTCATTGGAACAGATAATGAAATCACGAATCAGTTATTCGACTCAATTCTGTAATCTCTGAATAACGACTATATGAATGTTGCATAAGTGAAGAGGATAAGATGTACCACGAGTTATGATATACTTAAATGTTTTGGACATTAACAATGGCACTGTAGAAATGCAAATTTTTATTGTTTAGTTTAATTTCCTTAATTTCAGCTATTGTTAAAATTTCAAGAAATATTGTAGAAATTATGGAAAAAATCCAGAATGAATTGCAAAAAAACAAAAATAATAAAAGAGATTAAATTAATGATAAAATTAAATAATAGCATAATAGGCAAATTAAGAATAATGAAGCAAAATAACATAAATTCGAAAAAATCTTTTAGTTAACCTTAACTTTTTCTTAATTTTATTTGATTTTAAATTTTACTTGATTTTCACATAATTCTTCATTAAAAATTCGGTGCGAAAAAAGTGCCAGTATAATAAAAATTAAAGGTAGGTAGTCGACTCAGTTATGGTTCAGATTGTCTTTGGTTAGGAAAGGCAAAGATCGGGCTTATGCTGCCACAGGGATAAACCTATCATTAAAATTAAAAAATCCAGATGGTTCTGGTGATTCACTTGTATATCTATTTCCAGGTAACCTACTCTTTAGCAAAAATTGCTAGCTGTGATTACCAGAAATAAGACGAGATGACAGGTCATCTCTGCTGTCGCCAAATGTTTTCATAGCAAAAATTTCTAATAGTATAAAAAGAAAATGGGATAATCAGAACCAGAATCTAATCAGAAATGATGAGCGCTAGCAGCTTATTTACTACTTAGTTCAATAATTCTAATATAATTAAAATTAAAATTTAAAAACTTTTTAAAATTAGAATGAAAAAATTCGATCGAAAAGATTTTAACTAATTGCAAAATAAAAAATTCGGATTTTTTTCCCTTAAAATCTTCGACAATGAAAGGTATAAATTACGTTTCGATTTTTATATCGGAAGAATTATTTATTTCAGTTTAATTATTAGGTTTGAGGAAAATCATTTCGAGGAGAGAAAGAGAATTCTCTTCTTTTTTTTTCTCCATTAAAAATAAATACGGTCGTTCTTTTAAAAATGATTTTAAAGTTTTTCTTATTTAATACTGTATGTACCACAATTTAGATAATTACTCATTACTACGCCCGAAAAGAACTTATAATATTGAGTCAAAGTTGAGCCTAATATTTCATCATTTTCAAAATTTATTGTCAATGAAAGAAAGAGGCAAACTGAAGTAAGCAAATTGTTTAGCGCTCACTAATTCTTGGGCTAAATCTGTTGGCTTTAAATACGATTAGGAATTTTTAGTGGCGAGATACTTGGTTAAATGTACAGGTAATAATACCTGTACATTTGCCAATAATACCGATTTTTTGGTAGGTTTATTCCCATCGGGATGAAAGCCAAATTTTTGCTTCCTAAAAGAATATTCTAGGCTATTAACCACTTACCTATCTCTTCAAACTATCTTTTCAAACTAATTATAATTAATTATATGTAATCGAATCATTGCACTCATAAAATTAAACATTTGCCATATATCATCATATATTTGGGTCAAAGGTGGTTGATAAACGAACGTTTCTTTTCCATAAATTTTGTTTAAGAACCATAATGCCGCAATTCTCACGCAACAAGCTGCTTTTAATGACAAGTTCCCATTAAGGAACTGAAATCGAAGCCTTGATACTCGTGCGCAACTTGACGATATTTAACGAGTTAAGTAGTTAACTTTAATTATTTGCAATTTGTTTCAAATATGGTTAAGATAGCGGTCTAATTGTTGTTTATATTGTAGTTTCGAGTATCAGAGCTTCGACTTTATTTGTGGCACGAGTGAACTTATTCAAAAATCTGGACAATAGTGGAAATTCACCTAACTTCCACCCTCAAATGATTTTCTGATAAAAATTCCTCGCGGTACTGGTAACCAGTGGAGAGAACCTAACCAGAATTGGCGCTAGCCACTTTAATCAGCCAAATTCAAATTCAAAACATTCAAAATCTAATATTTACTCAAATAAACGTAAGTATTTTGCATTCTTCATCTAAAAGCAAGGTTATCAAGGTTATTGATGAAAAAATATTAATTATTAATGACAGAAAAGAAAGAGAAAAAAGGAAGCGAAAAAGAAACTTGGCTTGGCCCACTTAATCAAACAGTTGAAAAATGATTACCATAAAGTCTTCCAGTAATAGTCGGATTGGATTTTAAAAAAAATAATTAAAATTAATAAATAAAAATGATTAAAAAAATAATTAAAAAAATAATTAAGTCGCTTAAAGAAAAATAGCAAACCTATTCTTTCAGCCTCTTGACAGTTTGGACATTCACAGTTCAAGCGACTTGTTTGAAATTTGCCCCCAGCAATATGCGGCAACAATGAGCTTGTTGGTGCATTAGAATAGGTTATTTTATTGGAATATTGTATGTTACTAGTCGTATTAATACTAGCTGCCGATAAAAAACCATGAAATTGACTCGTTAAATATGGATTGTATGTTGCAGTATCACCATTATTATTATAATATGGCCATGTTGAATTTGGATCTGTTAACCATGTTGAATTTGATGTAGTATTCCATGCATATGATGGATAAGTAGTTACTGCTGTTACTGCAGCTAATGACGATGCCGACGATGATTGATATGATAAGGAGCTAATCAGATCATTTTTTATTTCTTTCTTGGCTTCATCTACAAGATTTTCAGATGCGAGACGGTTATATTGCTCCATTAGTTTTCCAAGAGGATTTTCTTCACAACTCTGAAATTTAAGCGATTCTGTAAATGTTAAGATAATTTTTTGAAAAAGTCATTTGAACTAATTTTCATTGTGCTTTTTTAGAAGACATTAGTAACAATAATAATAACCATAATAATAAATATTAAAATGAAAGTAATATCTTTGCCTTTGTTTTTCTAGGGCTCATTGCCAGACCAGCCAAGATATTTAAGAAAATATGAAACGCAGTCCAACTGCCTTATAATTCACGAATTCTAAAATGGCTATTTTATCTCTGTGGAATTTCAACCATTATTTATATAATGATTGAATCTTAAGAAGCTGATATGCAACTTAATTTTTTCAAATTTATTGCTTTGAATATACAGAAAATTACGGAAATAATACGGATAATATTAGTAATAAGCAATAATAATGATTGTTGAGAGTTAAAACTTCTTAAAATTAAAAAAATTTAAAGGATTAAAAAAAATTGACCTGAATTTGCAACGTCATTGCACGAATATTATCAACGTTTGATGTTGATTGTTTATTATTAATATAAATATTATCGTTAGCAGTAATACTCTTTGGCATAAATATTTTATTATTATTTTAAAAAATTATTCTTCATTTCTTCGCTCCACCCTCCAAAATTTTTCAGCCAATTAATTTCGTTATAAATATTTACTCGCCCAACCCTCTTTTAGCACTATTTCACCTTACTGTACAAATCATTTACTATTTTATACTTATTTTATACATTATCGATCGATTAGACTTTCTTTCCGTTGCTAGCGATCATTTTATGCAAGTTAGCAAATTGGGAAGCAAAATTTAACCGAATTGGTCGTACTTTCTTTTTCTTTTCCCTACGAGTGTCCCAGATTGACCAAATTGGCTTGTTGGACTAGACGAAAGTTGAGGCCAGTTGACGGTAGAAGTGCAGGTGAGTCACCAGCATCACCTGGGTTTTTAAAGGTGTTGCAGCTCCAAAAGGAGAGTAACAATTCATTAAGCCGTTCATTTACTCCCTTTACTTTCGCCATTTAGCGAGGTATCGTAACAAAGCGTGGTACTTTGATCGTATTCCTAATGTTATAGTGGCAACTATTTTGCCACTAATCGCCGATGTCGTGGTTTAGACGCTTTAGATTATAAATTGTTGAGAAACAACAAATTCAGAAGCAGGATGTTTCGAATGATTGTTTTAAATGATTGTTTCGTATTTTTTTTTTAACTGAGTGTTAAATTTTAAATTTTTGAAGGATAATTCGCGATTCAAACAACATCCTTAATATCCGTAATCGAAACCCGCTGGTCCTTGGAATATGTGAAGTGAATGGCATTCGAAAGAAAGAGAATGAGTTTAAAAAAATAGGTCGATTACTCCATATCGTGAATGAATATAATGGGAAAAAACGCATGAATAATTTATTTGATAAAAAAAAGCGAATGAAAGGCCAACAAAAATTTTTCTAGCAATTTTATTTATTTATTCATTTTCATTTCTGTTGATAATTTTGATAATTTTAAAGAAGAAATTTCTTACTGTTTCTTGATAAAGAATATTTCTAAATATTAATATTAATAAATATTAATAAAATATTATTTTATTGAAAATGTTCTCAAAAAATTTAAGCATTTATGCTATCACTTCTCTTCATTTGGCAATTCTCTATATCACTTGGCAAATAAGTTTATTGTTTTGACACTAGCAAATAGCGTCATTTTTAACATATTTGAATAAATAAATATGATAGCTGAAGATGTTCTTTGAAATATCACTTAGCAAATAAGTTACCAAAAGAGCCTTAAAAAATCATTGATGCGTTCATTTGAATTCGTTTGATCTTAGCATATCGTTAAGTAAAATTATAATAAATAGTTTAAATCTATGGATTTTCGCAAACTTCTTTGCTCAGAATTGTGGCCTAAATTAAATTGTCCATAAAAAAATTTTCCATCATCTCATAATTCATCTAACAGATTATTTTTTCGACCGTTTTAAAGATCAAATGCAACGCCGCTTTGTAATATTGCATATACCCAAATTTGCATTTATTTACCTACATTTTGCTTCTTACAAAAGTATTAATATTTTTAATATCTTAAATATTAATATTTTAATATTTTAATAAAAACTTCGATAAAAATATATAAATTAAGAAATAATTTTTCGATGAAATCTTTCAAATACCGTTATTTTATGAATAAATAATTTATTTTAATCTTTAGTAAGATGATTGGCAGAATGTTTTCCTAAGTTATGACACATTTTGCAAATTGGAAAAGTTTTTTTTTTGGATGGTGATAATTAGTAAAATTTAAAAAAAGTGATTGTGATAAGTGATTAAAATTCATTGTTTCTGATTAGGTTAAGTTTGCTTGCTGCTAATGAGATTAGAAACTTTGGGAAATCCTTTGGCGATCGACGTCACTCAGATTTTTTTAAATTTAAATTTTTTCTTTTTAGGCAGAATGTGAGCAGCGCTTCTCAATACGATAATCTGAATCACGGAGCCATTCCCTGCATGCTAATATTGGTTCCTTTCTTAACAACTAGAAACAATGGCATTTTTTAGAATATTATACAATGATTATTTTTTAAAAATCTGTGATGAAAATGGTTAATTAAATAATGAATTATGTGATTAACATCGACAGCGTATGGCTTTTTAAGATGTCCGATCGGCATCTGTTAAATAAACGAAGCATTGAAGATTTTAGTTCTTGATTATATCAGTCGGTATTTATGATGATAGGTTTATCAAAATGATATGTATGCAATATTATTTTCATGATGAGGTTGTATCGTTCAAACGATACAGTTCTTTTCATAAATCATTGTCCTAATTATGGCGATGAAATAAATTTAATTTTTAAAAAATATAATTCCATTATTACTTATTTATTATAAATTTATCGAACAGCAAATTTATCGAAATAAAGCAAATGAGCTCTACTGGCTATTAGGAAAATTAGAAATTTTCGGAGAATCACTTGATAATACAGGTGGTTCACTAGCGACACCGGATTTTTTAATGACAGGTTTACTTTCATCGAAAGCAGGAATTGCCTTTCAATAATCTGAATCAAGAGATTTGACGGTGGCATAGTTGCAAGATGCATGCCACCTCTAATCAAGAATGGCTTAGGTTCGAATCCGATACATCGTGCTTTTTCAAGATCATCGATGAAAGAGAATACGGTAAAAGAGGATAGAATAGCACAGTGGATTATCGTTCAATTTGGAACGTCGATGTTGAGGCTCTGTGCTAGGCAGAAGTGAATCTGGCCATCCATCTATACTTCTATCATTAAGTGATTCCAAAATTTGTCTGGTTCGAGTCAGCAGATCATGCATAATCAGCAAATATGAGTACTTTTAGGAAAAAAATCTGAACCACGATCAGATATCGCTCCATTTGTGAAAAACAAAAGAATTATATAAAACCGTGGGTTATTCGTTTATTTATTTATAAAGAAACCAAGAAGAGCAAAACGCCATGTGCTGCTATTAGCAGCGCCGAACCAATAAAAATGAATATAATAGCATTGATCCTATCAGTGGGAGCATTTTTAAGATAACACCAGCACTATTGAGAACTATTGAGTTTAATTATGGAATGCTCCATCAAGCTTCTATTTCAATGTCTAAAACATTTCCATTATTACCAAGTAAGAGAGGAGTGCTGATGGTCGCAAATGTCCTTACAATCTTTTTGTCAGATTAAATCTCAGCGTTCAAGCACTGACAAGATATTTAAATATCACATATCATCGTCAAATAGCCATTAAAAAACGATGTTATATTTTGTAATGCAAAACTAATATTACGCAAAAATAATTAACTAAAAATAATAAAAACTAGTTGAAAAAGAGGATTACAGTAGTGCAAAACAAAAAGAATTCGAACATCTGTCCCATATCTTTGAAGATTTCAAACCCCGTTTCTCCAATACTTTCCACTATCTAAACCTATTATTTTCCACTACATTGAACCCCCTCTGTGATGAATTAACTAATTGATTTGTACTCATCCATTACTATTCAATTCTTTTATTCAAACTATTTAGCACTTTCTCAATATCTACATTTTATTCACACGGCATTTCATACGTTTTAGAGCACATGATTTTTCATTAATTTCTTCACCCTCCTTTCCCCCCCCCCCCACTCCCGCCCTCCCCAGCTGTTCTAATTATTTATTTTTCATTAATTATATAATCTTATCTCTAGTAATCTTATTTAATTTAACAATATAGTGCAAACAAATTATTTTTTCGTTTCAGCGAATTTTCTGTCTTCAAAGTAGTGTAAATCAGAGACAGCAAAGTGAGATATTTTTCTTTTTACAAAAAATACCATTAATCATTCAATCGCTTTGTTAGAGTATAACCATTTTTTAGTGAAGTCTTAGATTTTCTCAGATTATCATTTTAGAGGAAAGAGATATGGTACACCTAAAGTTTTTTCAACCCCTTAATTGAATTGTTTCTATCTTTTGGAATATTCATGAAAATATAATATAAATACACTGTTACTGTTATTTTACGGAAATATTTTTTTTCTTTGGAAGACCAATTAACTATTAAAGGAAACATTGGAAAAAAATAATGATAGCAACTAAAATAAGAGTAATAAGAATAAAAGAAACAACGATAAATATTATTATGTTAAATATATATCAAAACATTAAAATGAGCAAAAAATGAATTAAATCAAACTTTCCATATCATTAAAATATTTAATATGCAAATTATTAGGTTAAGAAGCACGATAGCCGAGTGCTCGCTTATTTAGATTAATACTATTTGATAAGGTTAAGAATTAAGAATTAAAAAGGAGTAAGGAGTTTGCTTATAAGAATAATTTCCATCCGCTTCATCGAAACACCTTATCTCCAACAGTGAAGCCATAGAGAATTCCGATTTGCTTGTCTTTTTTTTAAATTTTATTTTTGATATTTTGCTTTTCTTTGCTTTAGAACTGCTTAAAATTCGGGAATAAATCAACTTTATGCTTCATTTCGCTGAAAATTAGAAAATTAGTTAAATTAGATGATAGAATTTTTCTTTCGCATCATTTAAACTAATTCATCGTTATTTTTTTTTAGATTTTTTCCGACCGTAAAAATCTTTCATTTTTTATTTTCTTTTTATTATGGGCCATTTTATACTCATTTGTACCATAAACCGTTCATATAATAAAATAATTAAGGTTCTCATTGACGAGATCAACGACAATTAACAATATGGTGGTCACTGATCATTAAATAATTATTTATAACGCCATAATTTTCCAATAATTCTTTTTTTTTCGTTCATTAAAATCCGATTAGAATTTTATAAAAATACAACTATTTTAACCTAAAAAGCGATAACAATATGTGAGAGATTTTAAGTAAATTAGTTGATTCCCGCAGTTTATAAAGTTTTATAAAGTTTTCAAAGATTTTATTAATATTTACAGAAATTTATATTTTTATTTACATTTTTCGTCTTTTGAAAACTATTTTATTTTTTGAAATAAAAAAGGCTGAAGACGACTGTTTTTTTGCATATTTATTTCATATTTAGAAGTAATCGAGGAGATAGCCAAAGCTATACTTTATACCACATAAAAGTAAATAATATCGCCTTACTGGCTTAATTTTGCTAAAGAATCACAAATAGGGTTGATGAGTCGTCGCACCACCCCGATTCCTTAAAGGACAACTCCAACCCTGCCAGTGGCACAATCCGAGCAATTCGAACGATGCTGGAAAATAACTACCCAAGCAACATATTTTACAAAGGAATAAAAGTAAAGCTAATTTCCACATTCCTTACCGTATTAATCAGATGTTAGTGAAATATTACGACATAGAAATATTACAACACAGAAAAACTAATTACAGTAAGTTTTACCAAATAAGTTTTTCGGAGTAATAATTCAGCGTTTGATTTTGCATTCGATGATTATGGCAATAAGATTTCTTATTGATATTGCTGCCAACCCATTTGTATTATAAATTTGCATCACCCATACTGACTTCAATCGCGAAGTGACTTGCTAACAAAAATTTTTATCCACGCTAACAGCCAGCACCGCGCACCTGATGAACCAAGACGATTGAGCCATGCTTAACCCCTTTCTTATTATTATTCACCTAAATTTTATATAAGATTTTACTTAAAAACCTATATAAGATCAGCAATTAATTGCTATATTTAGAGAAAAACGCTTCGGAACAATTGCGTAACGTGAATTGCATTGCACATTGTTCCAATAACTTCTTAAATATATAATTAATGGAATCATATTGCTAATTATTTAATCATTTGTCTTTGAATATTTTATAAAATTTTTTAATTAATTTTTATTTGCAATTTATAAAAGAAACATAAAAAAGCAAAATTAAAATTCTAAATTCATTTTAAAAAATAAATGAAAAAATAGTGATAAAATCATATTTTTGCACTGTTTTAATACAATTTATTTGAAATATTAATTTGCTTTTTTTTCACCAAAAATATTTAATTATATCTATGGAAAATGCCGAAAAAGAAAAGATACATTAGAGGACCGAACCTATATCAATTCTTAGTTCGCTGGCTTCTAGTACGAAGAGAAAATTTTACCAGAGAGCTACTTGAAAATTGAAACGTAAGTGGGCTCCCATCATCACTGGATTTTTAACAATTACTGTCGGAAGAAGAAGTCAAACTTTGACGCTCAACAGAGATTCTGCGCAACAATCACCCTGCCAACAAAAATCAAGAATCGACCCATTAATTAAAAAATCAAAAAAATTTAGGCAATAAAATAATATTATTAATATTTTATGTAAAAGATGAAATCAAGTGGTTGAGGATGCACGTGTTTAGTCATACTGCTGATAAAGATCCAAGTATTTCTAGTCCTCTTATGGATCCATATATATAATTCACTTAGTCATCCAAGCCAGCAACGATGACGCGACTATTAAACGATAACGAAGCAATAACAATGATAAGAACAATGCATTCACCTTCAGAACAGTCTTTAATGATTTTATTAAAACTGCACATTTTTCGTCATAATTATTGAAATACTTGCCAGTGGAAAGAATATTTCGCCTGAACATGAAGGTGATTGCCTCATCCCCCGCAGGAGTAAAATTCCGAGTGATGCTGCCGACTTGCCGGTATTTCTATCGCCAAGGGAAGGGACTCCCTGGCATATTGCTCAATGGCTTCCCCTTCTCTCAGATATAATTTAAAATCATCGATGCCACTCTCATTAACAATTTCGATTCTTCAACAAATTACCGTAACGTTAGCAATTATCACCATAAAATTATGAAGTAATGACGATGAAAGCAAATAATAAGTAAGTTAATTTTACGATTGCTAAAATTTTAATTAGCAGTTAACAAAAATATCATTAGTGTTATTAGGAAATTTCAGTTTTTATTAGCATTCGACAAACTTCACTTCTTCATTTTAATTATCTTTTAATTATCTTAATTCATATAAATTCGAAAAACCAATGAATTTTTACAAATAATAATACTTAAAATTCAATTAATAAGTCAGTTCAAAAAGCAAATTAGCCAGCGAAGTATTTCCATTGTAAATTTCTGGTTATTAACTGTTAACACGACGAAAGATCTTTATCAGCCTCAGTTTGGGATGATAGAAGTACGGACGGGTCGTCAGCACTATCCACATTCCAGATTTTTTAAACAGCAAACGTCGGAAGGAGGACACGAACCACCGCCTCTCAACACGAAAATTGCTGCTCTACCCACTCTGCTGTCCTATCCTTCTGCATAAAGCAAATAAATAAAACAACTTGAAACTAGGCTTAAATTAGCTGAAAAAATAATAAAAATTTGCCATAACTACGCTAACAAAATCCATCATAAATTTTTCTTCGACATCCAATTTCCAGTGAATAATAATTTTTATTGAAGAAATAAATCCCAAGTGGCTGGGCAGAACATTCATCCACGAAAGGAAAAACTTGAAGGAAATTTCTTAAATAAGTCATCGCCGATGTCGACGAATAGCAATTAGTACTTCTTTCTTATCTGGTTGGCTCACATGTTTTAAAGAATCCTATTAGCTGATAAGCATCTAAGAATTACAGGTATGCTCGAAGCATTACCCGAATTTTACTTCTGATAATAAGATTTGCTCTCATCAGTTCCCTGGAAATTCCCTGATTTTTGAGATCAAAGCAACGCATCATGAAACTGAACAGTGATAAAAAACATTTAAGACACTGCTTAAAAAATTCCAAAAAAATTAAAAAAGTTGACTATGATGATTTACTTATTTCAGTGGAAATTATGATCAATTCGTTGCCCATAAATGAACACAAATGAAGGAGCAAAAAAGAAGAAGGAATGAAAATTTCTTCTTCACGTTCCTCTTCCAGTCACTGCCCACATAACCGAAAATTATCCAAATTATCTTCAAATCTTCTTTGAAAATTTTTAACTGATTATTATAAACCATGTTATTATCAAATGATAAATTGGATTATCTTTTCCACAAATAAAAAAGCAAAAGCATCGAATTTACTTAGTTTTCTTCTCAGATTTTCTCCTATCGTAAATCTCTTTAATACACTGTAAAGCTACGTCAATATCCACTTCGTTACGCCCAAGTGAAATCTTCAGGCTAATCTAATCTAGTTCCGTGCCCTAAAATTATTTCAAGCCTGAGGCTCAACCCCAAATTTTAAAAAATATTCAGCAAATATTATGTTATACCAAATTTACAATCTTCATGAATAATATCACCATTCTTATATTCCAATAAACTTATATTCTTATATTCCAATGCAATAAGAGCAAATTAAATGCAGTCGCAGTGACGCGTGTGATCCACGTGGAATTAAGTTAGAATGACGTGGTTTGGCTAGTGTATACAAGCCTTCATAAATAAAATGACAAGATATACGCCAGACGTATGCGACCGGTAACCAAACAGTAGCACGAGAATGTGGTGTGAGCAACGTCCAAGTGGTAATCAGAGGGACACCAATGCGATTCATGTAAAATTAAACTGCAGTGTTTGCCAAAGCATGAAACGAACGACAATAAGAATTTCCATCGGTTGGTCTACAATGCTGACACCAAACACATTTGGTACCCCCGACCGCTAAGGTCACTCAAATCAAAATGGAGCTCAATTTACCCACACACTAAAAATGCAAAATTCAATAATTTGCCGTAGTACGCTGAATTATTGATTTTGCAGATGTGTGTGCAGTGTACACATATAGTACACAGTTATTTTACACACATAACACGTTGTTCTTGGAATTTTTCGATATGGGAAAGTATAAGATTAGGAAGGAGATAGCGAAAGGAATTGAGAGGGAGGAATGAGAGGATTAGGAATTAAGGGGAAAAGACGAGGAAGAGGAGGGAAAGGACTGATGAAGAAGAAATGGGGAGGAAAGAAAAGGACTAAGGACTAAGAAAGAATTTTATGTAAGAAAAATGTATAAGGAACGGCGTACAACAAGTGATGAGTGGGAATGATAGAGAGGAAAGAGAGGATTCTCGCTTTGTTCCTTTTTTTCAAATTATTTTGCTGTGTTTTATTAATGAAATAACGAAATTAGATTCAATTTGCTAAATTATTAAAAAAATTAAAAAATTTAATTAATTAAATATTTATAATTTAATTTATCATAATTTATTATTATTACACAAATTAAATATAATATATAATAAACCTTTATAAATAAAATTTTTTGAAATATTAAAAATAAATTTTGTTTTTTGGTTTCTTTCAGATTTTCGATGTAAATATATTTATAAATATTTAAATTAATTTTTTTAAGAAATATTTTAATTAATTTTATGGGAAAAAGAAGAAAAATGGAGAAAAAATGTTCCGATAACACAGCAAATGCATTATTGAATGCGTTAGTTTTTTTATTGATATTTTTTTTCAGAATAATTTTTAAAAAATTTTTTGAAATATTTCATGTTTCCCCTTTTTTTTTAAAATTGCTGCAAAAGTGATTACTTCATCCTCAGGTAAAAGATGTGCGGGGAAGCCACTAGTACCACTCGCGGGTAAGGTTTGTTCTTGTCAAGGTGCAAGAATAGTCCGAGAACCACTTAGGTAAAAAGATATGCGATGGATCACTAGTACCATCCTCGGATAATAAAAGGTTTAAAAGGTTTTGCAAAAATTTTTTCTTTTAATTTCTTCGCTTTTTTTCCTAATCTTTTTATTCCCTATCCAGTTTTTCCAAAGGGGCAAGATAAACGAGTTAATAGTGGTGTAGATCATAATATTGAGAGGAAAGAGTTCCGCTGCTTGCCAGAATTCGGTGTTGCGAGGAATAAACCTATTATTAAATATTAAATAATCTGGCCAGAAATGTTGAGCGTTAGCCGCTCATTTACTTGTTTACCATTTGTAATATAATATATTTAATATATTTGTAATATGTATTTAGATTATTCCCCGAAACGATAAAAGAAAAAGTACCATACGATCAATTACGAAAATATATCGAAGAATTTGTAAGTAAATGTTCACGAAACAGTTTAACAGTTCAGCGGTCGAATGCTGACCAATTTTATAACCGCAAGTTTTCTTATTTAATTTAATTAAAACTGGAAGCAAGTAATTATAATTTTGTAATTTCCATGTAATTTTTATGCTGGTTTCTAGTTTGCTTATTTCGCTGATTATTAACAGTTTGACATTTTTGCCAGAGAATTATTTGGTAATATGGTCTAGGTGGATCACCAGCAATTATCCATCCATTATTTGTTTACTTTTGGGCAATATATTTCTTGCATTATACTTTCCTTAGAATTACTTTCAAATTATGAAAAATACTTTATATAAGTTTTTTTATTTATAAAAAATATTCCATCGAATTACTAGGAATTTGTAGAAATTAGAAATAAAATTTGCATATAATTTTAAATTTAGGCGAAAGTTTACTGCGAGAAGAATTGAAAAGTGAAAGTACAGTGGACAATTCAGATGATAGTTCATCGAGAATATCATTTGAAGAATTTATAACACCATCGAATACAAAACATCATCAAATGGCAAGCACAAGTAATGATTCATCGAAGTGTTCAACGAAAAGTGGAGTTAAATTTTCGGCGAAGGCTAAAAAATTGTTAAATCTTCGTGAAAAGCGTCGAATTCAAGCTGAAGATGTTGTTATCATGTATTTTCGTATGTTCTTTATTTTCTTTTCTTTTTCTAATCATAAGCGCGAAATCTTTTGATTAATTAATACGAATTTTATATTCGTTTATATATTTCCTACATGAAAAAGAAGAGTTTCTTCGAATTTTAATGGTCTTACCTAGGAATCAAAAGTAGATATTCTTGCTTCGATTGCTCAATTTCTGTCTATTTCGTTAATTTCAGTTATTTTTAATTTTATTGAATTTAAGTGAATATTAAATTCCTAAGTATCTGAAATACTTGAGTGGTAATACACACGACTTCTTTCTTTGACTCAAATTTTTTGTAGCTAACTGAATCACTTAATTTATTAGTTACAAAAATAAATAATAATAATACAAAAATAAGATAACAAAATTAAAGAAGGTGGAGAAGGAGAAATCGCACGAAATTTTGATCGAGCATATCAACTTTTTTTAAGTATTCATTCATCATCTTTAACTATTTTTCATACGATCATCAAATCATTACGAATTTATTATCGAACTCAGACATGGGATGATCTTGTTGAAGTTCATTTGCTATTTTTTTTAAAAATTCTTTTGTTTTTACAAGAAAAATTACTCAAAAATTCTAGCAACATGCAGATTAACTTAACTAACTAACTAACAGATTAACTAAATTTTTCTTCTTATATTTAACATAATTTGCAAAAAAGGTGCTTATCCTTTGTTTTTCAATGATAATTCGAGAATCTTTAGAGGTACATAGCAGAATTTTTGATAAAAACAATGCATCGAGATTGCAATTGGATGGCTAATTATTATGATAGTAAGTTTGAAGATGTCGATTATACAAGAGTTTTGCTCGATTATGAAGTACGTGTACTTCTCGATTTGCATATTTCTTATTGTTTAAAAATGAATAGCCAAATTCCAAAGCGTCATTATGAAGAATATGAGGTAATTTTTCATAATTTTCTCTACTTTATAGTTATTTCTTCATTAATTTTTTTTTTATCATTCATTAAGAATTATTAATGAATGTAACACATTTTTTATTGTAAATTTATCAATAGGACGCAAACATTTTCGTGTATAAATGATTTATGAAAATTTCTGGACCATTTTTTTTCAGACAGTTTTTTTTCTAATTAAATTAGTTTTAGTTATTTCACTTTCACTCGTTTAATTTTTCATTATCTTTTTTTGCTCAATTTTAATTTTTAATTTCATTCATTTTTAATTTTATTGAATTTAAGTAAATATTAAATTTTTAAGCATTTCAGATTATTTTAAAAAATCGTTTCATTTATGTTTTGGGCACACCAGAACATTTAAAGAAATTTCTGGATGTTACTGTGGTTGATACGTAAGTTATTTTTGTATAAAGTTATTTTAGTAATAAAACCATTATTTGTTAGATTTGATTAATCATACGTACGATATGAAGTACCAAAGGAGAATGAACGAATAAAAAATTTAGCTTTTTTTGGCTTTATTTTAATTATATTTCGTTAAAAACCGTAGTCTGGGAACAATTTTTTCGTAAGAATGCAGCTGATATTAATAAAAAAATTTAACTCATTATTAAATATTTTTTCTATGTTTTTATGATTCTATATTTCCATTTTTTAGTTTCGGACATCTAATTCCTGAAAAAATAGCAGAAATTTACGGAGAAGAATGCCTGGAGATGCCCATAGATCTTATTGAACGAATAAATGGTGGCGAACGCCGTGAAATAGCCGTGCCAACTCGCATAGTTCCTTATCGTGAGCGGAGCAATCGAGCATTTTGTCGTGTAGCTATAAACCAGAAGCATGAACCTAGAACTACTCATCATCCTACAAAATCAAATTTTATTAAAATTAAATCTAGTAAGGCGAACAATTCTAATGAAGGTACTGCCAAAATAGTTTCGAAGTCTGTGACGAAAACGACGAGAGCTCTTCCCAAATATCGACGAAAACACCATGAAAAAGGTTAGATTTATTTAAATAAATGTTATTTAATCGCTAATTTCGAATACAAAATTTTATATAAATTTAAATTTTACGCAAATATAATTCCTGAAAATATTTTTCTGATTTATTTTCTTTAATTTTTTAAGACAAATCAAGAAAGCGAAAGTTTTCACCTACTTCAAATGATATGTTTGAAATTCCTGAAAATCGCATTCGTAAAGAAAAAATTGATAGTAATGAATATGAGTCTGGTGTGCAAGGAAATTCACTAACAAAAATATTACGAAGTATATTTTTTTTATCGATTTATTTGATTGATGTATATAATTAATATTAATTATTGCTTGTTTCTCCAATATTAAAATCTGTTATTAAAATCTGTTTATTAAAATTTTTCTGCAGAGTTATAGGCTATGAGTAGGGGAAATCGGTAATATAAAGTTCTAAGGAAGTTCAATAAAAATGAACAAATCTCTCTTCTATGGTGCCAATCACTTGTTTTTAAGATAAGTCGGGAAAACATAAGCGTTCATCTAGTCCAATTGATGTTCCTGAAACTCCTGAACATCAAATGCGAAAAGAAGAAGTTGAAACGGAGGAGTATGGAATTGTCCGCGTATTAGAAACTCCTATAACAAAAATGCCACGGAGTATATCAATTTTTTATTAATTTTTTTATTAATTTGACCACTTCTGGTAAATATTAAGTTATTCATTATTCATTAACTTGATTTTTTTTTTTTTAGCTCGGAATATTGGTGCTGTAGATTGTTTTCAAGCTTCATTATTGGCAAAAGGAAAAAAATGTGTTAAAAAATCTGCTAGGGAAGCAATAAGGAATAAAAAATCCTCATCAACTTCTACGCAGAAAACTGCGCCAGCAAAACCTCAGTTGACGAGCAAGGCATCTGAAGTTAAACGAAAATTATTGAAAGCTTCTTTGTTAATTCCCAAAAGGCCGACATCTGAAAGATCCGCTAGGCGCATTTTATTTCCGTCAGCTTCACCTCAGGATCCTCCAACTCGTTCGCAATCATTCTATGCAAGTTTGGAAAACCAGGCGTTGGCTTCAAACACAGATGAATGCTTGAATGTGATTTTGTATTTCTAATAAAATTTTTGTAAAAAAATTTTACTTTAATTTAGAAAGAAAATATTAACTACAATAAAAGGCATATTTTAAACATAAAATTCAGTTATGTATAACACTTCTACATTTATCAACTGTTTTGTTTTGTTGGTTTACATATATAATTTATGTTTTTACTGATTCTTTTACTATAGAAGTTCTTTCTTTTTAACGTAATATAATAAGTTTATTTACGGTATAATTAGTTTTAGAGAATTCAAGAATATGTGCCTGACCAATTAGTACTTGACAGATATCGACGAAAGATGGAAACGATTCGAGAAACAGCATCTGAATCTGATAAACATGAGGTTTTCGTTTTCTAAGACTTAAGTAGCTTAAGATTTAGTTTCTCTTGATGACCATGGCTTAATTCCCCATAATAGTTGTTCAGTTTAGGTTTAACACCAGTGATAATTTTTTTACGAGTATTGTTTCTTTAACATTGGTTTTTTAACTGCATGGATTTTATTATTTGTTGTTTAATTTCAAATTTTTTTAATAGTTTTTTTATATTTTATATTTTTTATATTTTTATATTTTTTTAATAGGGTATAGAGTAATTTATAGAGTATCATCCGCAGTTTTTGAATTGTCATTTGATATTCTTTAATATTTTTCCAATCTTTTTCTCTCAAAAAATTAATTTTTCAAATTAATTTAGGTATTTTATGGGCGTCGTATTGTACGTCGAACATTGTTTGAAGATGACCTAGAATTAACTGCGAAGGAAAGTACTAAAGAATCTAGATCAACTTCATTAAAAAAAGTCCCAAAGAATCGTTCTGGTCGTTCAGTACGAAATGGAACTAGTGAAGTATTTATGGCCCATGTGCTTTTAAATGTTCGTAATCGGGATCCTTTACAGTTGCATCGCCCTTCTAGGCGTTCTAACGATGCCACTGTCCGATTACAGCGCTTAATTCGTCCTGCTAGTAAGGCTGACCGAAAGCGACGGGAGAAATTCTGGTTCGTTTTATAATATTGTTTCCAGCTTTATCGAAATTTTGTGGAAAATAAATTGTTTAATGTTCTTGAATTCTTATTATTTTTTCTCTGATATATTTTAAATTTTGATGGATAAAATTTCAAATTAACAGAAATGTTATTTAGCATCAAATTGAAACGTGAACGATCAGGTTTTTCATCGACCCTTTTCAAGTCATATTCAGAAATATTCGTTGAGAAAAAGGATGAACAGCAAATGCACACACGGTCCGGATTTCTTTTTGCACGGGAAGGGTCTTACGAACATGGTGAAACTGTGGGCGATTCAGCAGGGAGCTTGGAAAGCTCATTGATGGGAAATGAATCAATCGATCAATCAAGATTTTCAGAGGAGAGTAAGTTAACAAGCCGGTTTTTTATTGAGAAAAATGAAGGAACGAATGAGCAGACAAAATTTATAGAGAAATTCATAATAATAAAAGAGAATGAATCGATGGAAACAGCTGAACATTTGGAACCCGTGGAACATTCAGTGATTCAAGGTGAACCGATAGGAATAAAAGTTTATGAACAAACTGATCCCTCTAAGGAATATAAATTATCCGATGAAAAAGGAGAAGATATGGAAGCAAAGATGGAGAAAAGCACGAGTCCAACAGAACGATTAGAACCTACTGCACAATTGAAATCGATTGAAGTTTTGGCGAAAAATGAATTAAAGATTCAGCTCGAACCTTTGCATCAAGATTTTATTGGTGGAAAAGCAGAAGCAAAGTTACATATCGAATCATTAAAAACCGAAGAAAAAAAAAGTCCCAAGTCGGAATGGTATGAGCAAAATGAACAACCGAAAAAGATTCAACCAATGGACATATTATATTCTACATCTTCTATCCAGGAAAATATGGGGTCGACTGAGGAATATGATAGAGCAATGTAATGACGAGGAAGAAAAATTTGGTAAGTTTATTTTCGTTGAGTTGAGTAGAATTGATTGATCTTATTTCAGATAGAAATTTAGATCTTTTAATTAAGATTAAGAAATTTTCTATTAAAAATTCTTTGATTTATTTTGGGTTTTTTAGTTATTTTATTCTTGATTCATTTATACTTTTTAGTTTCTTTTATTTTTTCATTTTTAATGATCAAATTGTTTCTGTAATATAATATTTATGCGTTTTTTTTAGACGATAAGAAAGATATATATGAGGAAAATGAAGAATTGATAATTCTTTTATAAAGAAATAATAGTAATTATGTTTATTGAAATACATCATCATGTGCTGCTGAATTAATTTTAGTGTTCTACTCATAGGCCTTCGTATTTACTATTTACTTTTATTTCTACTTTTCCTTATTTTTATATGATTATTGATAGATTGGTTCACCTCTTCAAATTGAATTCTTATTTTACTATTCGTAGCGCTTATGATCTAATTGTTGTGTTATTATTAACCATTTTTGACTAAATTTTAACAGATTAAAGGGTGTTTATTGTGTTTTTTCTTCCTCTTGAATTATATATATATATATATAATTTAAGTATTTTTATGGAATTTTTAGGTCTTAAAATTTAAATATTTCTCATATTGAAATAGCAAATACCTTGTCTCGCTAATAATTTCGAATTTTCCCTCTTCATTTTAAATTTATGAGATTCATCGTATGCGTTGTCAGGCATTAGTTGCTTTTTTTTAAGTGTATTTTCTTATAAGAAGTGCTTCTATAAAATTAAATGTTATAACGTAACTGTTAACGATTTCGATTGGCAGTGTTTATTCAGTTAATCTTTATGACTGAAAAATATCTTTCTTTATCACTGAAAAATTTCTATTTATTATCGCTAACGCCAATTTAATTTCTAATTGCTTTTTTTTCAATTGTTTTTATATTTTAATAAAAACATGGGAAATTTGTTGCAGTTTTAAAATGAAAGGACTTTACCAATTGTTTTCCACGCTTCTTGCATATTCCTTCAGGCAAAACTTATTATTATTTTAAATGTAATGATTTTTAAATAACTGATTTATTAATAACTGATTTTTAAACTATAATTTTATGAGATTTTAGGGAAGAATTTGCAATAAGCGATGAATTAATGGAAGGATCGGTAGATCGATAGATTCAGTTGCAAATGATCGTTTTTAACAGGGATTTTGAGTAATTTATCACTAATTTTCAGCATTATATATTTATGGAATTTTTACCAAAGTTTTAGATGAAAAAAAGCAAGAAATTGGCGGTGAAGAGAAATTTACGACCACGACTTCAATATCAAGAAGAGGTTTCAAAGTTAAATTTTATTAGCAAAATATGTGAAAAAATTTTAGTTATCTTTGAAAAAAAAGAAGTCTTTCGTACGTTTTAATTTAATTATCTTTTACATAAAATTCTTTCTGATTATTGTTTCTAAAGAATTTTCATATGTCAGAAATAAGGAATTTTGATTCTGCATTGTCAGCAATGTGCATAATTATTAGATTTTCTTTTTTAATTACTTATTCGAAAAGAACGAAAGAAAATATTGCTTTAGAAAGTAGCGATCTAAATTATCAAAATTATTACAGGAAGGATTCGCAAAAAGTGATGTTAAAAAAGCCATTTTGCAATCATTATACGAGAAGAATAAAGAAGAACGCAAAAAAGAATTGGAGGTAGAAGAAAAACGCAAACAAGAAGAAAGGAAAAGTAGGAAAAAGAAGGAAAAAGACGAAGATCAACGTAAACAAAACGAAAAATTTATACCGTCTACTCGAGATTTCATTCGGTTCATATCACTTGATTATACCAAAGGTTGATTATTTAAAAGATTTAAATTTTTCATCTCTTTTAGATGATTTTCAAACGAATTTAAATAAATCTTTTAGGAAATTTTTTTTAGTGAATTCAACAGGATTTTCATTATTTCCATTATTTTCTATCTTTTTTGTCAGTTGAGATCACAGTTATTTATGATAATTTGTCAGTTTCCTGAATCGTTTAGAAATTTTCCATTTCTTCAGATCCAAAAGAAGTTCCCCAAAGTTTACATCATTTTCATAAAATTCCTCTTGAATACATTCCAAATCTAAATTTCGATGAAAAACCATCTGGTTAGTTCATTTTTCATTAATTTATGCTTTTTTCTTCTATTTTTCAAATAGTTTTCACCATTTCTGATTCAATTAGTTCCACTGATAAGTAGTAAATTTCCAAGCCTTACAATCCAGATTTGATAATAATTTCGATTATTTCATTTTTCGTTTGAATTTTCTGTAATTTTTATCTAGAATTTATCAAATATATGATGTTCTCCATCTTTTAAAGAATTAAATTACAGGTTCAAATTGTTAACATTGTTATACTGACACTTTCTTTAACAGTTTCCCTTCTCATGTTCCAATATGGTATCTTAATAAAGCGCGTAGAACTTAATGAAAGAAGTTCTTGTTCGGATGTATCATATTCTATAAATTCATGCTGGGTACCTTCTCAGTTTAACCGCATAATTCTAATTATCGTAGATGCTCTTCGATATGATTTTGTGAACCCAACAAATTCTCATACTTTTTATGGTGGACATATGAAAAATGTCAACAATTTATTGTCTCGAAACAATGGTAATTTTTTGGTAACAACTTTTTTATTTATGAAAATTTCCCATCTCATTTTTTGGTTTCTTTGCTCTTCTATTAATAATATTTTTAGGAAATTCGCTGTTATTTCACTTTATTGCTGATCCTCCAACAACAACAATGCAACGTTTAAAAGCTTTAACTACTGGTTCTCTGCCAACATTTATTGATATGAATTCAAATTTCGCAAGTGCTTCGATTTCAGAAGATAATTGGATTGATCAACTTGTGCAGTCTGGTCGTAAAATTGTATTCATGGGAGATGATACATGGTTAGTTCAGTTCGGTTTTTTTTTAATATTTTTGATTAATATTTAATTAATTAATATTTTTCTAATTAAATTCAATATCTTTTGGATCTGAAGAAATTCAAATTCAATTCAATTTAAAAGTATTTTTTCCTACTTTTTTCCTTTGTTTATTATCAAATTTGATAAAATTAAAAATAAATTTGATAAAAAAATTAATTAATATTAACAAGTTAATATTAATTTCATTGAAAATTCTCTTTTTAATTTGCAATTCGGTTTTAGGGTATCTCTTTTTCCGAAGCAATTTCATCGTAAATATCATTTACCTTCATTCGATGTTTATGATCTTCATACTGTCGATGATATGATATTGGGTAAATTTAATGTAAATTTGTTTTCCTAATATTTAAAAGATCATTGGGTTATGTGAACTATTTGATCTAAAGTGTTCATTTATTCTTTTTCATATTCAATCTTTATTTAAAATGTGCATGCATGTTTCATTTAGGAAACATCTATAACGAATTACGACGTTCTGATTGGACTGTGCTCATTGCTCATTTTTTGGGTGTAGATCACTGTGGTCATAAGCATGGCCCTAAAAGTCCAGAGATGGTTGCAAAACTTTCACAAATGGATGATTTTATCAAAAATATGACCGATTTGATGAATGATGAAACTTTGTTAGTAGTTATGGGTGATCATGGAATGACAGAAACTGGAGATCATGGTGGTGATGCCGATATGGAGATTGATGCTGCCTTATTTCTCTATTCGCGCAAGAAATTGCTTCATTCGCAATTCGTATCAGATTCTGTTTCACAGGTCGGTTTTTCATATTTCGATGGTCCTAAATTTAATTAAATTAAATTATATTCATATTGTTGAGACAGTTTTGATATTTTAGGTTGATATTGTACCAACGTTAAGTCTTCTTCTCGATCTGCCCATACCTTTTTCAAATATAGGAATCGTTATAGAAAGTATTTTTCCACAAAAATTGTTGCCACTTGTTTTACGTAGTAATACTTGGCAAATAATTCGTTATGCCCAAAGAATGGCGAGTGAGATTCCTGAGCTGGAGTGGCATTTACGACAATTCGAATCAGGAACTGAAAATTTGCGAAAATATCGTGATACTATGAGTCGAATGCAACTTGTTTTTCGCTATTTTTGGACTAGTTTTAACTCTTATTTTATAATGATTGGATTACTTTCGTTATTGGAAGCAGTTTTGAATTGTGCCGATTCAATATTCAACGGAGAGTATGTTTTAATCCTTTTATTTGTGACATTGTTGGCTCAATTAATAAGCTGGTATTCAGACGTATTAACTCTCATTGATATTATTTATTATCTAATGATATTTAATATTTCAGTGATATATCTATCAGTTGGTTGATATTTCGTTCAGGTTTATTGTTTATGCAAGCTGCAACATATATTACTGGTGATGAAGAACATTACTTCTCGGTTATATTTATCCTTCTTTGTTCATCAGTGTCATTCAGAATAATTTACTTATTGAATTCATTATTAACTGTTACATATTCTTGGTCAACTGTGATGCTTCTTTTTTTTCTTTTCTTCCACGCCATATCTTTTTTTTCAAATAGCTTCATTGTTTTCGAATCTATAACTATTCGTTTTTTAACACAGTCAGCATTTATGGTTGGAACTCTTTATGCATCGCCTTTTTATTATATAACGTAAGTTTTCTTTGCTATTCTTTTTTCAATAAATGATTTGTGGGAATTTTTAAAAAGATATTTTTAAAAAAATTATTTGCTAGAAAAGCAATTTTTGAATTACTTTTTCGATAACATTCTGTATTTGCAGACAAAAATTTAATCGGCCTCGTCGTTTCATGTCTTTTTTGGATTGGTTCAAACATCGCTTGGAATATCGAAAGATTCTCATGGTCCTTCTCGTTCTTTTTTTGTTAAGGCTTGGTTCAGTTTTTGAAAGATGTCGCGAAGAGCAACAGAGTGCTTGCATTCAAACAGTATTTGCTGAACCACTGTCTAAAGTACCCTCAGGTCCATTTTTACATAAGTTTTGTATTTCTTCAATATTGATCTTTTTAAGAAGTAATTTATTTAAATTTTATTTCTAAAATTCTATATTGCAGATACCTTGAAGATAATTCGTTTCATAACTGCCATATTAAGCTTTTCGTTTGCAAATTACTTTGCTTATCAGTATTTACAAAAATTTCCATCTGAATCTGTGCATTCAAGCTTTTTATTTCCTTCAGCAATTGCTACTATTTGCCACTGGAGTACTGAATTGATCCCAGATAAAGTACTGAACCATTTTCCAGCTTTTTCCCACATCACTGCACAAGTAAATAATTTTAATTCACATTTTATGATCATTTCAGCATAAAATATTATAAATTCTAATATTTAAGTTATAAATTCTAATATTCCAAATTGCTTCATTACTGAAGCCCACATATATAAGTTTAACTGCATTTTTAAAACATTTTAAAGAATATTTTTAATATTTTTTATCTTTTTTAGAAAATTCAAGTCAAACATTAGGTCTTATTTCCAGGTGGTTTATGTTATATCACTGTGTGGTATGCTTGCTATATGTGTGCGATTAATTAGAAAAGGCCCATTTAGATTATTTGAAGGTTGTTCGTATTCTTATATGTTGTGTATTTCCGAAATTTTGGCTCTTATTCTTGGCGACGGTCTTGCACTTAGTTTAACCATTGTACTTTCCGTTTTGTTTATTTCCTTACGTTTTATTGATAATGGTAAGTTTTAAATATCTATTGATCAGGATAAATTCTATATTATAGCCTCGATTTTAAAGTACTTGGCTGAAGTACTGTGGGTAAACTTATTAATCCAGAAAAGAAAAGAAATAATTACTAATTAAAAATTTGAAATTAATCGTTATTGCAAATCAAAACTATAAATAAAGCTTCTTTCAATTTGCATTTAATACAAGTTTATTAATATTACAGAGTATCATTTGGTACTTTTTTTGACTTTGTTCTCATCACATTCTTTCTTTGCTCTTGCACATCAGTCAACATTTACTTCTATTCCATGGAATGCGGCATTTGTGGGTATACCTGGTAATTTCATTTACCATTGGATACCTGCCACATTAATAATAATGCATGTTTTTGCTTCACAAATTCTCTATTCATTTTCATTACCTTTATTCGTATTACGAACTAAATTTAACAGAACATTTTCTGATTCTATTTTATTTCGACGTGCCTGTGCTTTCATATTCTTCAGTTCAATTAAGGTAAGTGTGCCTTTTAAAAGTATTTAGCAGTTTTCATTATAATTACTTAAATTGGCTCCGCTGGCTACAAGAGTAAGGCGCCTCCAAACCGTTCGAACCAGTGCTATGATATTAAAAGAAATCGCATCCATCATCTAAGCCCATATGTCACTGGGCTACTTATAAACTCAAAATCTCTCCTGACTATAATCAATCCAGATTTTGGTCCTCCTCTTTTGCCACAAAACTTATAATTTAGCAAATAGTGAGCAATACCTATACGGTATGGGATGGGGGGCATGATCTAATCGAAAAAGTTTAGCGTATATAACTAGCGCATTTCCGTGGCATATCCTAGCATGGACATGGCTAATCTTCGGAATGCCTTTAATTGGAACCAGTATTCGATGACCTTTCGAGAAGTCTCGTTGATTTACATCAATGAGGTATTCAATTTGTATTTACTGTCTCAAGTCTATTAGTTTGAAATAAAAGATCTTGGAGCACGAGTTGTTAGTTTTATGCAATTCTTGGTTTTGCAATTCGATTCTTGAGAAAATGGTCTTTCATGAAAGCTGTCAGCGCCGTTATAGGAACTTTTATCAAGTGCGAACTCTTCGAACGACTACTGACCAGGATATAATCAATCTGGTTGGGATGTTGGTTATCCGAGGAGTTCCAAGTAATTGCAAGTAACTTTTTCTATACTTTTTCATATATTGGTAGCAAAAAGTGCTCTTCGACAAAGCAAAGCCTTTGGCTTACCAGGTCTGTAAGCCAATTGCTATTATAAGCCCATTATCACCTACGGATGCATTTCTTCCAAGTAATTAAACCATGTAAGGGAAGATGCTACTAGTAGTTGGAGTTTTCCATAGACCCTATGTTTATCACGGTTAACTGCACATAAAATAGGAACATATATGCGATCGATACATTTTAGAACTGTAGGGTAGAACTTCCCTTTGAATGCATCGGCCATACGGACGTTTACAGGCTTCCAGTCAATCAGAACAATAACTGAGCTTTTTCATACATCACAGTAGCTATGCCATTTCGCCCTGAATTATCCGAAGCACCAAAATCATGACCACTACTTTAAGCCAGTATAATGACTGTTCATCTGGCCGACAGGCGATGTCCACAAGATATTTGGACTAGTATTAAGATTACATTACTCAAGATGTCATGAACATTTTGACGTTCCACGGTGCTAGAACCTCGCCGCATGTACACAGCCGATGGAGTTGTTTTTCTTCTAATAGGTCTCAAGCTGTTATTTTGGTTCGAAGTTCATTTTTCTCCAAACCTAACTCACTTTATGAGGCCCCGTTTCCTTACTTATCGCATATAACACCAGGCTAGAAGGTATCATATGTGTCTTAATACGTGGCGCCGCAAAACAAGTTATTTCCCAGCATCCATCCGGATTTTAATTTTCTAAAATTAATCCCGTCAAAAGATTTCGCCATGGAGGTTGCTAAATTTGACAACAATGAGTTGTACTACTACTGTTACTATTATTTAAAAGAGAGGGAAGAGGGAAAAAAATATCTTTTTACCAATTAGTAAAAGTTTTGCGGAAAACTGAAAATAATTAAAAAAAAACAGAGCATATTTTGCTAAAATGAATGTTTGCTAAAATATTTTCAAAAAAGCATTTATAATTATTTACAGGTATTTTCAATCATTTGTGCAACTGCTCTTCATCGTCGACATTTAATGATGTGGAAGGTTTTCGCTCCAAAATTTATTTTCGAATCTCTGTCGCTTTGTATCATTAATATCACAGTAGTTCTTACATGTTGCATTTTCAGAAATATTTCCTTTATTAAATAACCACAAAATTAAAAATTATTAACTGTTTGAATTCAATTTGCAGAAAAAACTGAAAATAATTTACAATTTACCATCATAAAGCCACGTTTTTTCAAACTGTTGCGTATGATTTCCAACATTAGTATAATAAAGTAGAAAATAATGAAGCAATTTAAATAATAAAACAATACAATAAAATAAACAGTATAATTAAATGAACAAACCAATTTCACCGTATTTATATAAAAAAAGCAAATTTCTTTCAATTTAGAGAAAATGAATAATTAAAAAATTGGCAGTTATCACCATCAAAACATTTAGAATATTTTAGAACTGCTACCACAGCTACTGCTGTAATACCAATGAATAAGAGCATTGTTATAGATATAAGTAATATTAGTCGGAATAATGAAATGCCTTTTGCTTCATATTTGACTGAAAGTTAAATCATCCAAAGGAATAATTTTTTTATAATTTCATGTACAAATATTACTTTTAGGATTTTTTACTTCAAAGTTTTTCATATAACGATTTAATAAAATTCATCAAAGGAAGTGATTAAAATAAGGCTAAATATCAACTTTTGTGAAAATTATGCTTTTAGAAAAAAACTGAAAAACCTTCAACTTTCTTGTCTTGTTCCTTTTCTATGTTTTTTGTTGGCTAAAAAAACTTTATCAACCGAAATTTTTAATTTTCAAATTTTAACTTTTTTGATTACGAATTAAAATGAATTTTATGAATTAAAAGTGCAGAATATTCAATATTTCTGTTAATATTATCAAATAATGGTTTGTAAGATCACAAAAAATTTGAATAGTTTAAGCATTAAATAGTTTACATACTTCGGCCACGTCTTGTTGTTCCACTTCAACTATCGGTGGTGCTCCCGACATCACTTCTTGAGCTGATTCTTCTATAATAGAATGATCGTAATATTTATATTTAGACAAAACTAAAATCTGCACTGAACCGACTTTTGGATAGGATATGCCAGCTTAAAATTTCGTTTAAACCGGTTGTGAATAGAATCAGCATATCTTCACAGTTTCGTCCCACATTTAACAATTTTTCTTCATAGTTTATTATAATTTCAAAAAATTTAAATAAGACAATTTAAACTCACCAATAACTGGACCCACTGCTTCATATTCCTCAGCCATTTTATTTTCAACTTGAAGACGATAAAAAAAAGACCGTTCAACAGAATGATCGTAAAGTTTTAATAAATTTCATCTTTATAACCATGAAAAAAATTTTTGAATAAATTTATTTCAATTGCAAAAGCGCAAACCGTTAAAAATTCGACAAAAAAAAGCGATCAATTTCAATGAGTAATGAGTAAACGCATTTGCACAAATTACATTAATTTTCAGTGAAATAAATTATTATATATGAAATTTATTATTATATATAATGAAGATCTGGACAACACGGACTTCGTCTACCAAAAATTCGTTTTTCTTTTTTTTTTCATTCGATTCAACTGAAAAAAAATTTCAATGAAGATGTATAAGATTTTTAGAAGGCTAAACGGATAAATGTGATAAAAACGCCGTTAAAGACTATATTAGGACCAAAATAGAATTTATAAGAAAATCAACTTAAAATATAATCCGACCATGACTTAATGGAGTGTTAAGAAATGAACTTGTGCTATGGCACCATTAACAAGTAAATTTAAGTCAAATAGAGAGATCTCAGAGGGAGAATTTGAATCGAAATCTATTTGAATTAAATTAAATTAAATTTAAGCTAACATCTAAATCTGCTATATAACCTAACCTATAAATCCAAATTAAAATTTAAAAACTAGAATAATCTAATAGTTTAGTCATAGCCTACCATATTCATTTGACTTTGACTTTGTCCAACCTGATTGAAATCTTCGTCCGTGAAAAAGGATGTATTTTTCTTCTTCAGCCTCCTAAGATTCAATTCCTTTGAACCACCTGAAATTTTTGTTTTTAAAATAAATATAGTAAACAATGATGATGATAAAAAAACATTAATAAATCCTCGCAAATTTTTTACGATGAAAAATTTATCTTTATTGAATAAATTCAAATGCTAAACCTTAGAGAACATTTATCTACGCAGGAAAAACAATTCTTTTATCAAAATCTTTAGCTTTTATCAAAAATGGATTGTTAGCGTAAAAATTTAAAATCAAATAAAAATTTTCAGTAATAACAAAAAAACTTTTATTCACTTAGTGCATTATTTTAAAGAAGCTTACACTGTCCTTGCCGAATATTTTGAAAAAATTCTCGCCTCGTTTTATCACTTTCTTTAATATAATCGAGAATTTGAGTGGTTAATTTTGAATCCAAGTGGTTGTTCATCGAATACTGCATATATTTTAAATTTCGTTTAAATTTATCAATTTTCTTCCGATTTCGATATTCTTCGATTATTGATGAATTCTAAAATATTATCAAAGAAAATCAAAATTTATTTGATAGAAATCTTGAAGATGAAATTTCTTAATTACTAACATTTTATAAAAAATAAAGAAAGAGAACTATGAATTAAAATTAAAATTAAAATTGGAAATGCAATGAATTCATATTTTTATTTTAATCAAATTTTAATCATTGCAGAAGCCACGACTTTTTCCTTCTCCTTTACTTTCTTCCTTCTCTTTTCCTTCCCTCTACATAAACATTACGCTTTACTGATAAGTAAATATGGAACTATTCCAGATAAGGCAGAACCTATTTTATCGACCTGATCTTTCCATAAAACCATTTGATTATTTTGATTACTCTATTCAATATCATAATTTTTATAATTTTATATTAAAAGTCTGAATGCTAAAAACTATTAAAAAGGCAAAGTATTGTGGGCAATGCTGGGAACCCATCTTAGTTCCATTGCCACATGATTCGTGCGTAGAATCCCAACTCGAAAGACGAAAAAAAATAAGTTAAAGCAGAAACGATGAACGCATTTAAAGAAAAAAAATGAGGATTACAAAAAAGGCGCCAAAAATTTTCGCCCAATTTTCACAAAGCACAAATAGCGAGCGACAAAATGTCAACTAAATTTTATGAACTATTTCAGAACAGAAAATAAAATCGAAAAAGTGGCAGAACTGATTAAAATTTCGTGAATAACCTCAAAGACATATCATTAGAAATGTAGAAATGCAAATAAAACAATAATGGAGACCTTTGGGATTTTCGATGAGAGGTGATCGAATTTCGAGGATCGTTTATTCTTAGATAATTCGATCAATTCTGAAGTTTCTTCATCGAAATCCAATTTCTTATTGGCACTGACGAGTGAGTGCTTTGCTCGGCCAAGCGACACTCGGAGACGCGACGGCAGTCCCTTTCCGCTCTCCCCTCGACGAACCCACTTTACGCCATCGACTGAAAAATTCCCTCAAAGGAGAACGAAAGAAAAATAAAGAAAGATTTGCAAAGATGCTTGTGAACAACTAATTATTTTCAAAGCAAAAAGTATTTTGAAAAAAGAAAAATTTCCAGAAAAAAAAAGGATTCGAACAAACTTTTTGAAATTAACGCGCAATAAAATGCATTCGAAATTCGATTTAAAAACAATAGAAAATTGATTGTAAAATAAAATAATAAAGGAAAAGGGAACGAAAAAAATAAAAAACGACGAAACTAAGCGAAATGAAAACTAAAATGAAATAAAAATATTCCATATAATTAAATGAAAGCGGAATTCAAAGAAAATAACAAATAACTTACATTTTTCAACCAAATCTAAAGAATTTATAAGCAAACTCCTCGACATTCTTTCGATGTATTCCGCAAAAAATGCAAAAATAATTTCGGTCGACTTTTAGAGATCAGAGTCACTAATTATCGGCTTCGGAATTCGGATTTGGCCGAATTTCTTGTTGACAATGACAATGAGAATATAAAAATTATCTAGTTTCGGACATTTCTTATTAATTCCTCTAAGCCTCGGTGGAGTTTCGCATCCTTCGAGTTTTTCGATTTTTCGCACGGTTGTTTAGACTTTCGTTCAGATTTTGCGAAATTTGCGGTACAAACAATGCTTCCGATTCTCCGTTATTTGTGAAAGTATTGAGCGATAACGACAAATTTTTTAAATTGCCAAAGATACTGAAAAGATTTTCAAGGAAATTGGGGAATCTGAAGTGATTTCGAAGTGCGTAAAAGTAGTTGAAATTGGGTAAACAGCGGTTTTTGCTGTACAAATTCCCCTTTTGATGGCATCGATTTGTGCGTTCGCTGTTTGTTAGCGTAGGATTTAGTCGTCGGAGAATGGAAGCGGAGAGGATTGCCAGCGCGCTCAGATCCAGTTTTGTCGCAAGGAGCGGGCAGCAGTGGGAGCCATTTGCCCCTCTCGTTCGATGAATATTTTTCTCCAGGATTACTTGCTGTTCCCACTCAGTCCTTCGTTGGCTTGTTGGACTGGTCAGACTTTTCGAGAGCACCACTTGAACTCTTGAAAGGTTTCCTTTCCTTGAGCCGTTCTTCACAAGTAAGTAAGCGGTTAGCGTTTATTTCTGGTTAGATAAGCCTTTTAGGCTTTAAGTGATAAATTTTGGATCTCTGTGAAATTATTGATTCTTTTTCGTTAAGAAATGTAATTTTTATGGAATTCTTTCCCTAGGCACTCGAGGTACTCGCCTACTGTTATTCATTAACTCTTTAACTTAATCGACTCTTCCTTGAAACGAATTATATACCACATAAAGTGGAATTTTACGAATAGAAATTAGATACTTTTAATTTTATCGTTTTCCTATCGCTCAAACGAGAATATCATGTTTATTATGCGATATTGGGTGGCTATTTGTTGCCCTTTATTATTGTTCTGCTCACATTTGACAATTTTTTAGATTTTATAAATTCGAAAATCATCTGGAAGAAAATGAGCGCTGAAGAGGAAAAAAATGTTGGCGAAAGTGAGACAAATATTATATCGGAAATTCACAATGATAAAAATTTACCTTCAAAAATAAAGTTATTTTTTCAGTTATTTTAATAGATTTTCAACGTTTAATTTTTTAATAATTTTATTAATAATATTTCAAAAAAAATATTTGTAATGTATAAAATTATATTATAAGGATATTATATTGTAAAGTAAAATTCTTGGAGAAGTAATTGGAGATGCAACTGAAAAAGCGATCTGATTTTGAGATTACATATTAAATATTATATTAAAATTTTATAGTAGAGTAAATTATTGTTCAAACGTCTCTCAAATGTGCTTTAGTATTTTTATATTAGCCAAATGTGAAGTGAGATTTTTAGTCGAAAAATTGCAATTTTCTGGGCTTTAAAATCACAAATTTTTTATTGCCAAAAAGACAATTTTTTTGCGAAAAAATTATGGGTGAATGATAAGTTGTTAAAATTTTTAGTAAAATTAAGATTATTTTGGTTTATTAAAGGTTATTTTGATTCAGTTCTGAAAAAGACAGCGAAGTATTAACTCTGGATGAAGTTATTGAATTTTATGAGGATCAGCAAGCAGAAGCTCAAGCTTTACTTGGCGGCCAAGATGAAAAAGTCTGCACATATCCTGAGGTTTTTTCGATAATTTTTTTTGGATTCTTTATGCTTTTCATGGAAAATCTGTTTTATTTTTATGAAAGAACACCATTGTATATTATTGATTTAGCCTTATTTAATGAATAATAAAACCATTTCTTTCCAATGTTTCATATTTTTTTGTAAAATTATATTTTATATTTAAATTTTCAACATAATTTTCCAATATGATTTTCATAAATTATTTATTAATAAAATATAAAAAATAAAATAAAAGTTTTAAAAAATCTTCAGGGCTACAAAGATCGGCAAGCAATTTATTCTTGTCGTAACTGTACTCGTGATTCGCAATCTGCTGGCATATGTTATGGCTGTAGTATTCATTGCCACGAGAACCATGATCTTGTCGAATTATATACTAAGCGTTATTTTTGCTGTGATTGTGGCAATTCAAAATTTACCACTCCATGTTCATTGTATAAAGTATTGAATTTTTTCATGGTTTTCATGGTTTTTCTTTCGTGCGGTCTAATTAATCGTTTGAAAATTTTCGTGATTCGTTGTAATTTTAGGAGAAAAGTTTGCTGAATGAGAGAAATAAATATAATCATAATTTTGATGGACTATATTGTGAATGTAATCGGCCTTATCCATGCAGTGAATATGATGATAGCGAAATGTTGCAGTGTTGTATTTGCGAAGATTGGTTTCATTTAGAAGTAAATTCTTTTTTCTTTCTGAATTTGGCAAAAAAATATTAAAAAGAAGTTTTTGACTGTAAATTAAATTTATTATTGATTTAGCCTTATTTAATGAATAATAATAACTACTGACTCAATTTAATATTGAGTAAATTAAATTATTTAAATTATAGAGTAAATTATTTTAAAATTTTGCAGCATTTAGAAGATTCGCCTGGTAGCATAGAAGTTAATGAAGTGGAGGAAGTTATATGTCGGGGTTGTGTTAAAAAACTTGATTTTGTTGTCTTATATGCAGATGACATGTACAAAGAACCTGAAGACAAAAATATAACCTGTGTAAAGAAATGGTTGGAAGCCTTAATTCCAAAAAAGCCATTAAGAGATTATTCTCTTTTCTTTAATTCATACGATTGGCGCAAGAGATTGTGTAAATGCACTTCATGCATGGTATATTGTGTATTTACTATTTACTATTCTTGAATTCAAAAATTGCTGTAATTTTTAATTTTTCGAATATTTTGCCACATCATTTTCAGGCTCCATTTTTTGTTTATATTTCATTTTCTTGCTAGTTATTTCATTCTGCCATATTTTTTAAAAAATTTTAGAATTTATATGAGGATCTCGATGTTTCTTTTTTGACTGATATGTCAGATACTATGAGTGCATATGTTGCTTCGCAGCTTCAGAAAAGTCACCTCGCTGCAGAAAATATTAATGGAAGATCAAGAATAGTAGATGCCATTGTTCAAAAGGCGGGTCGTGATGGTGCTGTTGAGTTGTTGCGAGGTTTGCTACTTAAAAGATAAAAAAATTTTTTTTTGGTTAATCAAATGTAAAAACTGGCGTAGTGGTTTGTTCCATTTAATTATTATCCATAGTTGTGGTAAGAAGTATGATATTAATGATTTAACATAATATTTTTAGAGTATGGTTTTATTAAAGAATATATCATTTTTAGGATATGAAGATATGAAAAAAAAATTGGTAAATCATCTAAAAAGATTGGCTGACGAGGGAAGAGATATCAGTGAAAATGATATAAACGAATTCTTTAGTGAATTAATTTCACAAAGAAAACGTCGTCGCATTGATAGTGGTAATGTTGATGATGGTGCTAATAATAATAATGATAATGAAGGAGGAGAAAAGTCAATCTGAATTTTTTCCTGTGTTACAAATTACTTTTCATAATTTTCATTCAAATTTATTGTTACCGATAATTTCGATGGATCGTATATCTTGTTTTATTGATTGTTGGATTTGGCAGTAAATGCCCTTTAAATGCTTCTTAATTATTAAAGATTTTTATTATATATTTATAGCTTTTTTGCTGCCTTTAAGGCAATTGTTACGAAACGAATATACGAAAAATATATGCATAAATATAATATAATAATTGGTATAGATTATTTTTTTGAGAAAATTCTTAAGAATTTTCTGATTTACGCTTCGTATTGGTCTCAATTCAGCAGCTGTTTTGTGTAAGTACTGGTATTTTAGATATCATCAGTAATATTGATATAATTCTTTATCTATGACTAAAAATTGTCCGATGAGAATCTTTAGTTTCTTTTGAATTTTTAATCGCAATTCATATTGTTTAATGAAGGGTTTATCGATTTTTTAGCCATTAAAATGTATTTGATTTGAAAAAATGATTGCAAAATGATTTATGATAAATGCAATTTTGCGACAAATTTATATGTAATATAACGCTTTGCAATAACTCGTCACCACACGATCTTAATTTTTTATAAATTTTATAAATTCTTTTAAATTTTTTGAATTTGATTTTTTAAATTTTCTATTTTTGTCGAAGGAATTTTTTGGATTAATTGGATGAATTTCAAAGCCATTTTTTTGCAAAATGTATGCAGCAATTTAATATTCTTAATATTCCACAAAAACATTTTAAGCTAAATGGTGTATAATTTTTCAGCTTCCAGGTTTGCCGGCAATTTTCCATTTTCTCTTCTTTGGCTGTCTGCGAAAAATTCGAACTTTAATAGGCTTAATTTGTTTATTTATTTCTTTAAAAAACTGTCTCATTTAAGGCTTTAAATTAGCGTATTTGGAAAATTAAATTATTTTGAAGTTTCAGAAGGTAAATTTTTGAATGAAATATGCTGAAACAATCTTTAAATATGCTGAAAATATAATGGTTGTAAAGTTTCTGTGCGAGAGAGTGCCGTAAGTTTTGTCTTTGTCTTATTTTTATTTTATTTTTGAACATAAATTTACTAAATAATCTTGCAGACTATGGTTTTTATCATTATTGCTTCGAGTGTTTGCCAAAATATTTTTCGAAGAATTTCTCAATAAACAGCCTGAATTCGTTGTTCCACATAATTCATTTCGTCGGCTTATTGATGGTATTCATATGCGGAAACATGGTTTATCACCATATGATGGTGATATGTTACATTGTGTAAGTTAATTTTTTGTTAATTATATTATTTATATTATTAATTTTGAGACTTATTTAATCCATTTCATTTCATTATTAAATAAGTGAATTCACTATTTTTTTTCAATCCTATAGAAAATATTTTTATATGCATATCTGTTAATTTGAGAACTAAAGAGTTGAATGTATTTTGTACTTTCAGCAGCCAGTGCTTTTAGATTTGTTTGAACCGGTTATAGACCATCCTAATGTGGTTCTTGGTTTATTTATTGTTAGTTTTGTTTTTTAATTAATTTATTTAGATTAATTTTATTTAAGTTAAAACCATCAGTTCTCATGAAAATTTCGTAAAAAATCTTGAATTTATCGCATATTGCTTTTATACGAAATAAAAAAAATTATGAACCAACTTTATTTTACGAATACAAAGCTTATAAACTTTATTTTACGAGAAATTACAAAATTTCTAAAGCAAATTTGCCAATTTTCATTTACTATTTTTGTTGCTATTGCCTGATGTAATTTTAGATTTTGGATACTTTAACTGCTGAAGTATTGAATTTCATAGCAATTACGCATTTGAGAGCGAATGGAGATTCGAAATCAGAGGAAGAAAAACTGCGAATTTCATCCTTCATTATGAAATTGTAATTTTTTTATAAAATTTTTTGCAAAATTAAGGTTTATTCATTTATTCATTAAGGTTTATTCATTTGAGAATTATATGCAGTTCTGTTGTTATTATATAAATAAATTCGTAGGCAATTAGCTTTTAATTAACAAATAATGTAAACTCGAAGAAATATTTGGGTTTTCTTGGAAATGCTATTTTTATATAAAATAAGTAAAGTATTGAAATACTGGTTAAAACATTTGAATTATTAAATTTTATTTAATTAAATAAAATAAATATTTAAATTGGTTAAAATATATTTACTTTTTATTTTAAGCTATCTTCTAAATCCAGTCGCGATTGGTTCATGTGCTATTTCAAGTTTATCGGTTTTAAATAATTTTCTTGTTTCGGTTTTCATTATGTCATTCGTAAAAGGTAAGCAATTCGTTTACATATAATAAAAATGTTGGATTAAGGTCGTAACACATTATTTTTTCGTGATCATTTGTTTTCCTTGAATTTTGAATTCTTTGAATTTTTAAATATTAAAGAAGTATTTAATGAGTATATTCGATGTAAATTTTCACATCTGATTAATTTTTTAATTATATAATTTTGCTTTTTTCATTTTTGTACAAATCAATAGCAAATCGAATGTGTTAAGACTTTTACCTTGTAGAAATTTGTCCTTTCAGGTTGGATATTAAACTGCTCTATTTTACTGTCATTGCTTGTTCATTTTTCTCTTTATCAGTTTATTTATATTGTTGCATTATTCGTTAGATTTCCGATTGCGAAGAAAATATTATTGTTTTTGGCTACGTTTATTATTTCTTTTTTCGGAATGGTAATAATAAATTACTGTTCAGACGGTGGATTTGATTATATCAATTCTACATTTATGTTCCAGTATTGTTTTTAAATTTTCAGGCTTTAAATTTGGATAAAACTAAAAGAAATAGATAAGAATAAAAATATAATAAGAATATAATTACCCTAATTTTCTTCTGACTTTTCTGACATCGAAATTTCGACATTTCGATGGCTGATGTGTCGTTTTGAAGGTCTTTTTATTTTCTTTTATTATTTGTTTGAGTACTTTCACTTTAAAATTGTTTTTGTTAAATTATTGTTGTAATTAGAAATGCGATTAATTATTCTTGTTCTTATAACGATTGCTGATTTTGAAATTTCAGGTTAGAAGTTCGCGATCTGTCACCAAACTTGGGTATTTTTTGGTATTTTTTCATTGAAGTTTTCAACCATTTTAGATTATTTTTTTTGTGGGTATTTCAAGTGAATATTCTTGTTTACCTTCTTCCACTCGCGTTTATTTTAAGGTTATCTCATTTGCTATTTTTTGTTGGATATTTTAATCTTTCATCGAAAGTCCAATTTATTTTAATATTGATGAACTGGGAAATCCAGTTACTGCAAAAATAGGATTTGCAGATCAAATTCCTTCTTATTGTTATATCAGTTTTTAATCCTTGTTTCCGTATTTTCATCGTATCCAACTGTATCTGATAACCTTATTTACTTATGTTTGCTGCCAGTTTTCATCAGTTTACATAAATGTTAGCACTTTTATTCCGTAAAAATTCCTACACTTGTCATCTATATCTGTTCTTAAAATTTTCACTAAACAAAAATAAAATAAAATTTATTAAAGATTGCTTATTAAAGATCTCCGATGGGAACTGATAATTGGTGGGACAATGGTTTCATGCCTTATACTCGCGCCTATAATGTGGCGAATGTGGGTAACAACTGGGTCGGGAAATGCGAATTTTTATTTCGCAATTGCGCTGTGCTATTCTGTAGCTCAGGTAATGCAGGATTTTTTCAGTTTAATATGAGGAAAAGTCAAATGGAGCAAAATTTTTATTTCTTAGGATAATCTTATATTAAACAATTTATGAATTTTAGGCCTTATTGAAACTTAAAATCCAATAGTATTAAAGATTAGCATTAAGAATATAGAGAAAATTTAGACTTAATTTCAGATTTTATTACTTACGGATCTGTTATATGCATTTGTGCGTCAAGAAGCGAACAAGAATCGTAATTTGACTGAAACAGATAATGTATCATTGTTTGTTCTCAAATGAGATGTTAATTATAGTAATGGTTAACAATGATAATTATAGCAACAGTCGATAATAATTATAATTAGTTGTAATATTATCCTACTGAAGTAGCTATAATATTTATTTCTAATGCTTATGTCAATAGAATGAAAACGAAATTTTTTCCACTGTCATGCATTTTATAATTTTACATATGAAGAAATAAAATAATAAATAAAAGTTAAAAATATTGCAAATGAATAAATAAATATTCACTGCTATTTAACAAAAGAAATGCAAGAGGATGCAAGAGGAGAAGAAAGAAAAAAATATCCCGAAAAAAATCGAACAAATTTTTTCTTGAACAAAGAAATTCGCCAACGCTTTTGGCAACTAGTAGTCAGCCAAAATCTCTGCGAAGCACCAACCTCGAAGTTTTGGGTCTTCAAGTAATTTTAAACCCATAAACCCATTTTAAACTCATATGGAGTTATACTTCCACTTATGGCTAATGGGCGATAAATTTACTGTTTACAATTGTCAAACATTTGCTTCCAAGTTCTATGGTAAATAAATTCTAAGGGTTCTCTGAAGTTCTGGTAGGACTCGAATCAAACTTTGAATCAACATCTTCTGTTTGCTTTTTTTATTTTTGATCACAAATAAACGAGAAGTGTCACAAATTTTCATTGGTTAGTTCTTTTACCGTAGAAACTCATACAAGTAACATGAATTAACTGCCGAACCAGCTCGGTATTTTGTAAAATGAAGATAATGAAGATGAATTACGAACGCTAGGTGAATTGCCAATTTCGTTCTTTCGATTCAACGATGATGATGAATCGAGACATTCCATTTTAAATGATAAATTCTGCAATAAAATTCAAAAAAATAAATCAAAAATTTTTTTGAATACCTATTTTAAAAAAAATATCTATTTGAAATACTTTAGAGGTTTTGGAAAGCCGAGGAAGTAAAGAAAAGCGTGCAATATCCATAATACGCGGTGAAATATCGACTACAGCAGAATAAGATGGACTGAGAGATAATTCTTTATTGGGCACAAAATCTGATAAAATATATCCGAATAAAACCTGAAATAAACTTAATTACGAAAAAAATTATTAATAGAAAATATACTTCTACAATGAGAAATCCTTTAGCCATTAAAATTCATGAAAAAAATAAACCGAATAACGCTGGGCTGCAATACGAGCATTCCGCATGACAGGAGACGATAAAAGGCTGAAATCAAAGGGATCGAGCTTCTTTTCGAATGAAGGTAACAAAATTCGCAAAGAATCGCATGATAGCATTAAATATAACACTCTTATGTCGAATAAATATTGTAAGGCGATTCTTGAACAAAATGGCGCTTCAGAAATAGCAATTGATTCATATAGTGATGATAAAATGGTTCCAATTTTCAAGCTCATGTGAGATCGAATATTACGGTTACAAAGATGGCCGAGCGAATATTTCGTTACCTTAAAAGAAAAGGAAAAAAATTAAAATTTTTGTATAAAAAGTTGTGAACAAAATTTTGTTTTTCTCTGAATCACGCACAAAGTTTTAAAATTCGAATTCCAATATTTCCAAGTAGGACGTTTTCTTCGCTTTGCCATGAATATCATTTTTTTTATTAATACAATTAATTATTTGTGACATCTAGTCACAAGGAACTTCTCGGACAACCGACAATGCAACCAGATTGATCTTAGTGAATTGCCGTTTAAAGAGTTCCGTACTAAATAGTATCGCGGCGCTGAAATCCTCATCTTTGATGGGCAATATTCATGGATCTGACCACTAAGGTTATGGACAGAGGCAAGATCCGCATAAAATTAACAACTCGTAAGAGAGAGAGTTCTCCAAGATCTTTCAATTATCTCGAACTAAAAAATTCGGGAACGGTGTGCATATTTCAAAACGAATTATTGAAATATCAACAGTTTTCATTGGTCTCAACTAAAGATATATCTCCGAAAATCAGCTATTTCCACAGTAGGAAATGTGCTAGTTGGGTGTCGTAAGTAACTATCCAGCTGTCTGAAAAGGACACCAAGACAAGAATGTTGGGAGATCCTCACTATTGGATGCTTCGAAGGATTACAATGATTATAGCACGTCAGAACAGAAATCGCTATTGGAGCGATATGGCTTTGAAAATGGAGACGGCGCTCATTTGGGTGATAATAGGGAACTATTTCACCTTTTTCATAAAACAACAATAATTCGAGGAACAATCAATGAAATGGTACAGGATAATAATGATGGGCCTCTTAAGGTTATAAAAATTACCTTGTCAAATGGAAGGAATGAAATGAAAATTAACTAGGGCCATATGTTTGCAACTGTAAACTGCCAACAAAAGAGGATATAATCTTGAGAATAAAACCAATAAAACGATCTTCAGAAATCTTTGTTGACCATCGTTCTTCATAACGCACCTTCAACAAATGTATATTCCCTGATACGAAAGAAATAATATCACGTGACTGAGGCAAAGCGATTCTACTTCTAATTCCAAGAAAATGATGTGACTTTGTGACTATTATCGAGAATATCTCAGGGGAAAATTTTTGCTTGCTTTTCTATTGAATAGACTTATGGCAGCACAAGACAGGAAAATGCACCCTAGCCAAGTTGGATCCAGGCTGGGATGCGGTTGAGCTGCCAGATATTCACGTCAAGAAGGGTGTTGGAACATCGCTTCAAATATCGGCAACCTATCATCACTTGTTTCATCGACTTTGCAGTCTTCCATTAAATTGACATAGCAGAACGTTGGAGATGATGGAATTTGACGGTGTTCCAGAGAAAATCACTCGATTCATAAAGGCATTTTTTCAGCGTACATCGGCATAGGTCTTTATATGTGGGGAACTGACAGATTCTTTCGAAACAGGAACTCGTGTCTATCAAGGCATTTCCTCTATAATATTTAACTGCACGATAGATTGGATAATGGACATCGCTTGAAGTGGACATCAAGAAATCATTCCAGAGCATCGCACCACAGATCTTGAATACTCTAATGACGTAGTCCTTTTCGCTGATAGTTATATAATATTAACAATATGTCAAATATGTCAAAAACGCACTGAGAATCGGATTTAAAGTCAATGTAAATAAAACGAAAGTTTTTTCGTCTTATACATAGAAGGATAATAAAAACATCTAATATGATAAAATACCTATTTTTATACCTATTTATTGCCGGTTGAGAAAATGCTCAATTTTAAATATCTTCCACTCTAATCCGAAATGACGAGACAAATTACAATCCGAATAACGATAACTAGGAATGCGTCCTTCCGATTAACGAAATTCTTGTAATCACTGCGAAAACGAAAATCCTCATCTATATAGCTGCAATTCGCTCGATCATGCTATATGGCTGCGAGATATGGCCTATAAGAGTGGAGGATATTAAGAAACCATTTGTTTTTGACCACTCATATCTAAAATACATTTTAAAGTTTGTCGAGTGGATAAAATGTCAGATTACTGCATTTATCATCGCTCAAATACCACTTGCATTAATAGTATCAAGAGAACGTCGTCTTTGCTGGTTAGTACATAACGCATATTTCGTTCTTTTCTAATCCTTATGACGGACGGCGCCAAAAACGAAGTAGGCCAGTCAAGATCTGAACTGATAAAGTCAGGAAAGATTAAGACAGAATTATTAAGACTATGATTAAGACGTAAAGAAGTACCCGCAGTATGTGGATCCAGAAGATGGAAAAAGGAATGGCTTCCAATGCTATGATGGCAGATCGCGCAGCATGAAAATGCCTTACCAGCTGAACTAACCTAACCAAGAAATGGTGAGAAATGGTTAAAAGAAGAAGAAGCAAAATAAAATGTTTTTCGATTCTGCAAGGCAATTTTTCGTAAGGTAAAATTTACTTTAATACAAATTGCGTGCAGAAAATCACAAAGAACGTGATTTATTTGAACTGGTACTTCCATAAAACCGATATCTGGTAATTCAAGTTTTTCATATTCCCAAAAAAATAAATTAAATTAGACTAAATTAATTAAAATATGCAATTTTGTTAAATAGAAAAAAAATAATCGCATTTATAAATAAAAAGAAAATTTCTAACCTTTAAACACTTTAAAATTTTGAAATGATTAAAAGAAAATATCTACGAGAATAAAAAAGTGCCTGGATGTATGGAATAAAATTGAATGGATCTTCGCAAATTGTTGCCAAACATTTAATTTTTGATTCCTTGATACATTCATCAATTTGTAAATCCATAAAACAGCTACAAAAAAAGTTCTAATCGTTTTAATAGTTTCGAATGTACAAAATTGTATAAATAATTCTGCGAAATCTTGCTCCCAATTATATACTAAATCATAAATTAGTAAGAAAACAAAAAAACGAACCACAACATTTTTTCAGCTGATTCCATAAGAAGTTTTGCACAATCGGTGATTTCTTCAGCATTTTTTGATAAACATAGTGGTATCGATGAACTATGTGTTTTTAATAATGCTACATAAAGACGAGCTAATGATAAAATTTGGTTATTCTGTGAAAAATCACTTTTATTATCAAAATTTTCCGCTTTACCACAATTAATAAAGACATTCGCTTTGTTACATATCCTGACAAATTGCAAAAATTACTTAATAAATAAAATAATAAAATAATGAAAAAACAAGAAAAACCATCTTCACAACATAATGGATTTCCCTAAAGAAAAAAAATTTTTTACCCTTCGCGGAAAAATAAAACATCTATGAAGACAAAAAGAAAAAATTTTAATAAGTCACCTTTTAATCAAATCAGTAACTGAATGGGCGAAATGGACACATAATAAATCGATGGAATCGTCTTTTCCCAAACTTTCGTACTCTTTGATATTATTAAAAATCGATTTCAATCGCTCATTGAATATCTTCACTAGTCTTGATGAAAATATTTAAATAAGCCTAACATAAAAATAAAAATAAATACAAAAGAAAAAGAAAACCTACTCAGTCAACTCCTGAGAAACATCGACTGAGAGGAACGGATCAATTTTTGTTGTTCTCTTAAGAAAAATTGACTGAGGATGACAAATTATCATTTCCATATCATTTAAGAGTGATTTTCCAATCTGCTTTAACTCAGCATCAACTAGCTGCTAAAATATTAGAGCCACATTAAAATTAACGAAAATTAAAACCGTTTTTTCATTATCTTGATTTAGCAAGATTCCATTTTCTTTTTTTTGTATAGCTAAAAAACAAATTAAGCGTGCGAAATCTCTTATCTTGTAACGAATCTCATATCTATTAAGGCTATAATCAGATAACTATAGTTTTTGTGTGCATATTTGCTAAATATTCGTTGCATGCCATTCCAACTAAAATGTTTTTTAATGCATTCAAACAATACATATATATGCGTATAAAATAGGCCCACTTGGAAATTTTAGTTGAAGATGAAGTCGAATCTACTTTATATCTTATCCTTCTTGGGTACGACGACAAATCATTGGATCTTAAACTAAAGAACCACATCCTTCCCGAGTTAACTACCATCAGTCCAACCTCTTGTACTAAACATCATCAATTCATTCTGCCTAAAATTATTACTCTACAACAATATTATGTATAAAATAACCTTAAGTTTATTAATAATAGAACATCCAAATAGATTGCGATAGATTTCGACGCCATTTCCAACAATAGGCCAATCCTATATTAAATTCGTAAAAAATCATTAATAATCATTCGTAAAAAAATACATTCATAAAAAAGAATGACTCTTCTAATAAAAACATCTTGAGGTGACAAATAACTACGAAAAGTTAAAAGTTTATATTATAAGTTCTCAGACATGGTTCGTAAAAAAATAAAAATTTTTAATAAATAATACTAATACTTCGGAGAAAGCTTCCAGAAGAACTCGAGTATATTCAATTAACGACTGAGTATTTTCAAAAAAATCACATTTAATTTGGATCATATTTTTGGAGATTTCATAGAGCCTATATTTATAATATAATATTAATGAAACACCAATTAAAAATCAAAATTGAACAAGAAAAAATAAGTAAAAAAAAGAAAAAACTCAAAACGAAAACACAAAAACGCATTAGAAAAAGAATATTTACAATTTCAAACGTTTTATCTTTTATTGAAAAGTAACCTGTTTAAAAACGAAAAACACTTGGAAGTTAATACATTATTATCCACTGCTACCGTAGTTATCGATGCACATTCTTTATTCACTGAGCAGCAATCTGATCGAAAAACCCTCGTAAACGAAAGGGTTTCATCATTCAAAAGCTGCTCTAATTGACCTAAGAAATTATTAATAAAGAAAACTATCAAAACTATCAAAAAATCTAAACAGTGACGATGTAACAGAATTGAAATATAGAGACGTACCATATGAAGTACCATACAATTAGACTAATTGTTTGTTTTTCGCTCGCTTCGATATTCAATTTTTACAAAAATTTATATAAAGTTAGGATTAAAAAATGAAACAAAAAATGATAATTTCATTTCTGTGTTGCAGCAAAACGAACTAGGCATCCATCCATCAGCAGCTATCATTTGTAAATTATTAACGAGTTTTCCATTCATAAAAATTTCCCTCATACATTGAAGTGATAAACGAATATTCCAAACTATATCAATCAGTGAAGGCGAATCGAGTAGATTTTTATTTATAGCACTCTAAAAAAAATTAATTTAATAAATGTATTTTAAAATGAATAATTTCATCCGTGAATGAATAATGAATAAAACCTTAAAAAAATTTTTAATTATGGAAGAAATTTTAAAAAAAAACTTACTAATTTCCTCTCCATGAACAATTCAATTAATTTTTCGAATGAAATCTTTGTTAATAAAATAATTGCAGATAAATTGTTAACAACATCATCGATATTTGATAATAAACTAATTTTATTAACTAATTCCTCTTCAAGCCTTAATCTTTTTCGGAATAATTTCCGTGACATATATTTTGTGAAACGCCTTAAATCGTCCGTCTGATATGTATCCGTACATAAATATCGATGAATATTTTCAATGACTAACATTAAAAATGCATTCGACAATGGACTGAAATGGTCGATCTGAAAAAAAATTTGATCTTTTTTGATTAATACTGATTTGATTTTTCATTAATAAAAAATGAAAAAAAACTTACCATAGAAGAAAACTTATTTAATGCCAAAATTCGCTGAATAACTATAACCGAGATTTCTGAATATTTGGTAGCCATTCTTTCCGCGCCAACAAGACGAATATCATGAACTGTTTTTGCAAACGTGTCAGCTATTTGAGAAACACGTTGAACAGCACTTGAAGCTTCAAGTACATCTCGATATCGACGACCTACCATTTGTCGTAATTCTTCTTTCTTTTCTTCCATTTCAACACTTAATTTTCTGGTTAAAATATCAGAAGAAAAAATTTTTTTCTCAGTTCGAAAATATCAAAATAAAAAAGAAACCAAGAATAATTAAGCAATTTAAAAACGAAGTCAAATAAAAATTCAAATCCATGAAATGAAAAATATGGACTAATAAATTACCACAAACTTGAATGAATATTCTGAAGTTGAGGGACCGACAAATCTTGCATTAAACGTTCCACGTCCATTTCCAAGTAAATCTGATTTCTGAAAAAAATTTGGGTTTACCAGATAACCATAATCATTAAAAACACCACCATTAATATGCCTATTTACGAAACGCTTAAACTTCGCACACTCAGTAAACCTACAAAAATAAAAAAATAAAAGGAAAAATAGAATGTAAATCCCACCAGAATTCTACCAGAATCTGTCGAAAGGAATTTTTTCTTAATTTGACTATTTACTTTTTATACTTTTCTCATTCAGATAATTCGTACCTATAAAACATCTATTAAAAAAATTAAAAAATAATAACCACTGAATCGATGAAACAATGATTAAAAAGAAGAATGAAAGATAAAAATTCATTTCGAAAAAATTATGAAATATCGAAGAGAACAAAAAGTATTTAAGATCATTTATATCAATAAATAAATAAATTAGAATCTGTGAAATATTAATTAATAAAGTTTTAAAAAAAATTCGAAATAAAATTTATTATTCTCAACGTTTATTATTTATTATCATACAATCCACTGATTATAATTAAATTAAATAAGACACCAAAATTTTCAATAAAAATCGCAAAAGATTCGTAAGGAATAATCCAAATATATCATTAGTAAAGTAATACTATTCATTCAGTCTCGCCAACTTTGCCAGCTACCTGCAGTTAGTCCAAAATTAACTTTTCATAAATTAGAAATTAGAAAATTACGAATATATAAAGATGTTAAATCGGTTAAATCATAGTATTGCCAGTAAAAATAATTACAAGAAGAAGACCACTGATAACTCCTCCAAAATCATATGACCTATTGACATATTTTTTGATTTCAAACTTGATTTCACACTTTTCAATGCTTTAATAACAAAATAAAAAAGCATACTCGCTTAAAATCTTGCATATTCATAGCAGAAACAGGTGTACCATACAATCGCAACGATTGAACACATGTATTGTCGACGTTACCTTGATTATCAGCAACAAATAATTGTATATTATTAACATTTTGGAATTTCACGTATCGCAAGTTTAATAATTCTCCTTCTTTCACCTGTATATTTTAATATATATTTTAATATATTTCTACAATCTTATCTTTTAGATTTTATCACGAAAATATATCATTAAAAATATTGCCCGAAAAAAATTAAATTAACAAAATATATTGATATATGGATCAGATAAACAAATGATGGCCACCATTTCTAACTAGGCTAGCTGGCGATTATGAAAACTTTTTGCAAAGGAATAACTTGGCGTCAGAATTACAGAAGCGTCGGCACTACCCCAGAACATATAGATAAATTATAAAGCTTTCGCCGAACTCTAATGTTCAAATTAAAAAAAAAAAAAACCTAAAGAAATCGAATCTTTCAACTAAATTTCAATACCTTTTCACTAAAATAGATTGTTTGCACCCCGTCAGAAGCACCGGCACGATCAAAATCGAGAGTTTTCGTCAAATTGGAAAAGATTTTTACTGTTTTTGGCGCTGAATCTCCTTTCCCTTTCATATATATTGAATGCAGTTTTACAGGTATATTGAATGGCAGATAAATGATTAATTGTTGATCGCAATCCGAAATAAGTTCACCGTTATTCGTCATCAAATTACTGAAAAAAACTGGAATAAAAAAAACCTCATAATTTCCTTGACAATTTCCTTCAGTATTTCATTTAAGCTTTTATAAAACTGTATGAAAATTTTTTTACAATAAGAAATTTGAAAAAATTTAAAAACTAACGGTAAAAAAATTTAAAAATGAATTAATTCATATTACTTGAGTGTGAAGCGGTCGTTTTCATTCAAACATTCAATTTGTGATTTATTAATAAATGATATGAGATCAACTTGACCAGCTACAAGACTTTCTTCTTTAGGAGCACTGTCTGACCATTTCTTGATAAACGCTTCTAAAGCAGTTACATCACCTCCACGAAATACATCAACTTTTGACCTATAATGAAAATAGACAGAATTTGATGAAAAAAATTAATATAAATAGGATGCATAATAAATAATGAACCAAACTGATCAATTAATACTAATTCTATTACAAAAATTTAGACGTATAAAATCTTTATAAAAGATAAACTATTGTGTTTGCATGAAGAAAGTGGTAATATAAATATGCCACAAACTGCCAATCAAAAAAAATTCCAGCTCTTACGTTGATTCTCTTAAAATAATTTAAATTCACAGAAAGAAATATTAACCTGGTTAACTGATATTACCATCCTTTTTTCAGAAGTTTAAATATTAAAAGAAAACAACAAAATACCTATTTATATAGACAACAAATGTTGGCATTGCAGATATTCCTTGTTGGGTGGCAACACTTTTTACTTTATCAACATCTAACTTCGCGAATAGTAAATTAATATATTTGTTAGAAAGTTGCTCATAAATTGGAGCTATTCGTTGACAAGGACCACACCTGAAAAATTTTTAAAAATTTTTTTAAAAATTTTTTAAAATTTTTAACTATTTAGATTTCAAATAAATAAATAAATAATAATAAAATTAAACACAAAAAAATTTATAAAAAACCAACCAGACGGCGAAAAAATCAACAACAACTGGTTTTGAAGAATTAAGAGCCAAATTAAATTGCCCTTCCGAATTCAGATGATGGACAACCATTATTTTCTGAAACTTTTCAAACAACAGTTTCAAACGAGATGACTTCTTGAGTCGCTCCAATGAGCAAAACTTTAATTTCTGGAAAAAAATAAAATTTATGCCAGATTTTCTTAATTTTTAATTTTAACCAGTTTTATTCCTACAGTTACACTTATGACAAATATGTTTAAACAAAAAATTGCGTGAATTTTAGGATTTTAATTTCGTTCATATAGACTAAATTTAGCTAAATAGAATGATATGAATTACTAAATTTATAAGCAATTAATTACCCCTAAATCATTTAATACATGCAGTAAATAAACAATTTTAAAAAATGGAAAATAAGATTGCAAGAAATGACTATTTGCATTGAAATAATACGAAGAAAGGTGCAAAACTTTATCAATGAAAATTACCATCGAATTAAAAAAATTTATAGCCACAAATTTTGTGATAAATCAATTAATATTAATATCTTATAAAAATTTTCCTTACAAAAAATTAAATTTTTTGAAACGTTCGAAACGATATTTATACTTGCGATAACAGTAATAATATAATATAATGGTATATAACGTACATAAATAAACAATAATTTTCTGTAAAAACAAAAAATTAAGAAAAAGATGTGACAAATAAAGCAATAAAGCGACCATAAACTATGTACTCCTGAAATAATATTGCAGCATTGCAGTTTAAGCGAAAGCATTAAGAGTAAGAATATTTCTGATAAATTTCCCACATATATTCGAGCAAATATATTTTATTTAATATAATTATGATTACTTAAAAATAACCTACAACAAATAAAAAATCAAAAAAAAATGATTTTATACAAAGATTCCAAAACAAATCTGCCTTTCCTTTTTGAACAGAAATATAGATTAAAATGAACGAAAGAAGAAGCTTCTATGGAAAATATTCAAAGTATATCTTAAATTATTAAAGTGAATAAAATTTTTCTAAAATATATCCATATAATTATATAAATATATATATATTTATTTATTATATTTATTTCCGAGAGCGAAGAATGCCTTTGCAGTTCGGCGACGTCATCCGATCAAGTAAAATGCGTCGGCTGAACTGAAACCAATCTCGATCCTCTCTAGCAAATTACCTTACCATCGACGCGCCTTTAAAGAAGAATACTATGTGCTAACAATAATTACCACAATAATTACAAAAAAAAGAAAATAAAAATTCGTGTAAACAATTGTATTTAAGCAACAAACCAAACCAATGCAACTTAAAATTAAATATTTCTAAAAATATTTAAATTTAAATATATATTTAGATTTAACTAATATTTACAAAAAGCTATAAAAAACATAAAAACATAATTTGAATTCTAATTTAACTTATGTAAATTGGTATAGAGAAAAAAAAAGAAAAAATGCGAAATATTTTAAAAATATAGCAAATTTGAAAATCCGAAGCTAAAAAAATTAGGCAAGCATATGCAATAAATAATTATGTTAATGGAAAACTAACAATAAAAATAATAATAATCGACTAAGAGCACTTCTAGAAACTGAAAGCAATAGTAAATAAATGAAAATAATTCTACTCATTTTCTTAAATTTATATTTAAAATTAAATTTATATGCATATAAGTAGGATTAATAAATGATTTATAAAACATTCAAAATTACAAGATACAACATAAATATGAAAAAAAATTTAATGCAACCCATTTTTTGAAAGTATCGTTTCTAATGATTCAATGCGTCGAGTAGTTTCTTTTTTATATGCTTCGAATTCTTTCAATAAAATATTATATTCACTACGTGGAACAAATCCAATGCCATTTACTTCATTTATGGACGGCGTTTTCTGTAGTATTGATGCTGAAATAAAAATTAGAATTTCACATGCAAGCTTTATGAAAAAATAAGAGATAAATGATGGAAAAGAAAAAGAAAAAGTGAAATACCGATTTGAGCATGTTGAAAAGCTTGTGGAATACAGGGCGAAGTTTTTGGTGGACTAGAAGATGGATGCATATGGGAAGAGCCTACTGATTGTGCCGATACAGATAGAGCAGTAGTGTTTGATGGCACATCTGCTACAGATGAAGTAGTTTCCTGACTCAATTCTTGACTCAACGATAATCGCGGATCACTATCGATAGATTTCTAAATATTTTACTATTACATACATATCTTATAATGTGGTTCTTAAATTACAATGAATTTTCATAATGTGGTTCTTAAATTACAATGAATTTTCCATTAGAAATTCGAATAAAACCTGAATTAAAAGTTAAACAAAATTTGGTATCAATGATGTATCGTTAAGTCAATATGATAATAATTAAATGACTGAAAGATAAACTGAAACGAAGAATACAAAAATGTAATCAGATTGATGTAAAAAGCTCATGTATGATAGTAGCTGATTGTCAGAGTGAACAGCTGAGATTAATTTATGAATCTAATGACTGCAAAACGATTAACTTTTAAGTCTAAATTTAACTTTTAATAATTAGCTTCGAAAAATTTTTAAAAAACTTACTCTTTTAATAAAAACGGTTGATGGTGGACGCTTATTAGGCTGTTTTGGACGATTTATTGTAATATGTGAAAGACGTTCATTACCATGCGATTCGATGCTTCCTTCCTCATTCCTTGCTGCCTAAAAATAATGTTAAAAAAAATATAAATCTTGAAAAAATCTTGAAAAAATTAAAAATGAAAATTACGCAAAAGGAATCAATGATCAATCATATATGATCAATCATATATGATCAAAGACAATAAATTATTATAACCTTAATTATTAAACAATAAATTACTTTCGGAATAAAAGCCTTCGGAGGTTTAGTAAGCGCATCTGCGAGCGTCGTATGCATTGCTGCAAAAGCAGAAGAAGATGCTCCACCACAGCGACGACCCGCACTTATGGTGGAAGAGATACCAAGACCAGGAGGCTTAGTTGGTTTTACAGGAATAATTGGAGGAGCTGTCGCCTACAAAAGAATAACAGAGCAGTAAACAATATTTACAATACAATCTTTACAGTAAAAATTTTAATAAAAAATTATTTTTTATAATAATAATAGCAACCCTATGAGCATCAGTGATAGATGTCGAAGGCCTAATGAGTTCCACAAAATTATCTGGGATAAGTCCTTCCTTACCATCGATTTCAGCAAGATACCACCCCGGATCAGCACATGTTTTACTGACAATTGTTACCATTGCCCCCACTTCTTGAAGAGCCAGTTCATCATCGTGACATGGTTTATATGTGTACAAAACTCGAGCCATTTCTATACAATAAACAATAAATATAAATAAATATATAATCTAAATATATAAAAAAATAATACATACAATAATAAATATATAATCAAGAGAATAAAACAAACCATTGTAGCTAAAAATGTTAAATCCTCAAAATAAACAAAAAATTTAAAAATTTAAAAAAAAATTTAAAAAAAAAATTTGAGAATGCAATTTCATATTTTATAAACCTTTTTGAGGACGTGGATCAAATTCTTCGTTTTTCGGTATATTTTTTTCATGGAAATTAATGTGAATATTTTCTTGATCCAACTTTCCACTTATTGAAGCTCCAGGAAAGACGCGTCCTTTCATTAATTCACTCGTTGATGTCCTCAATGTCGCTTCTGGTATTTTACCTGAAATCATAAATCATTATCGCAAATCCACCTTATTATACGAACGAATTCTAGAAGTATTAAGAAAGCTTGAAAAATAAACAAAAAAAATTTTACTAGATATATTTGTATTTTCAATGAATTTTTTTTTCATATCTCCAATTTTTAATCCATTGCCAGAATTCTGCGGAATTTCTGAAAGATAAACTATAATTTTCAACATAAATATTGATAATTTTTTAAATATAATTCTGAAAATCTCTATTTTAAGGATATTAAACAAAATCAAGTTTAAAAAAAACAAACCACTAAACTGAACGAAATTAGTTGGGAAAAGACCAACACGACCAGTGCTTCGCAATTTACCCTTCATCCAACCCGGCTCGGCATCTTCAATAACTTCTAACACATCATCTACTTCAAGATCTAGTTCATCATCATGTGCACCTTTATATGAAAATCGGACTGTAGCGATCTTCGCAAAATTGCCTAAATATATATTTTATTTAAAGTGGGCAATCAACATGAAGAGTTAATCCAATAAAGTCTAATTAATTTAAGAAATGAAATAAAATGGAAAAAAATAAGAAAATGAAAAGTTACTTGACTTCCTGAAATTTATTTCAGAATTGCGATTTGCAGAAAAATCTCGACTTAGACGATTCACTAATTTTGCAACATTTCCCGTCACAATTTCATCCTATAAAAAACCAAGGCACAAAGAGAAAATAAGTTAAATTAAGAAAAAATGTAAAAAAGAGGAAAAGCGATTAAAAATAAAATAAAAAATCAGTTAAAAAATGTCACATCCATTAGCAAAAAAATTTACATTTAAATTTAATTATTCTCAGAAGAGAAAATAATATAATAATATTTTAAAAAAACCTGAATTGTAGACATGCCAAAGATTATCAAGACTGGAGTATCTGAAAATAAAAAACCACAGAAAATTTTTCCAAATAAAATTTCATTAAATTGCCTAAAAAATTAGAAAGCAAACGAACACAAAAAAACACGAAAAACGAGGACCGATTTTTTTAACAAAAAAATTTTCAATTTTTTATTTTCTTTGTAAAATTTTTATTTTTTTAGATTTCTATATGTTTGAAGTGAAACTTTATTAAAAAAATGAGAACAAATATTTTTGCAAATGGAAGAAAATTTTTTTAAAAAAACCATGAACGCACAAAAATTTTCGTTCAATAATAAAATAAAGTGAATAAAATTAAAAGAAATGCTTTAAAATACGCAATTTTGTAAAAATATTCCATTTTCCGTACATTTTTTAAAAAAAAATCACAAGAATAGCTTCGACGCTTTTCGTGAATTGATCCAAAAAAGCTTGCATCTCAATCGCCGCTGCACAGTCGCTTACATCTATAAATCCTCTCCTATGGCCATAATTTCTTCGTCATACTATACCATAAATACTATAACTGCTGTGGATCAAATAACCGAAGAGTACTTCATAACTGAGAGAAACGAATATATTTCTAATTTTAGGCATAAAATATATGTGTATCAATGAATTGCAAAAATTTTTTTTGAATCTCTTTTGCTTTCCTTGGGAAGTTACTAAAATTTTTAAAAAATCTACATTTTCTATTTTTGGAAAATACGGATATTTGAAAGTCCGAATCTTTTGTTGAAAAATAACTTTTAGGAAACTTTTTAATTTAAAAATTAAGATGTTCTACTTAAAAACATTCTGCTTAGCAATAATCTGTATTCTTTAAATTATCATAAATGTTTAATATTAATTTAATAGAAGCAGAACAGTCGAGTAGTCATCCCTTAGGTAACCATGTCAGGCAATCCTACTTCGGCTTCTACTAGGAGAAAAAACAAATCTGTCATTAAGAAATCCGAGTACTGAGGGTCTAGCTACACTTCTAGGCGATCCTTCAGCAAAAATTCCATTATGCTAACAGCCAATGCTGCGAATCGAGTGAAAAATGGCTTCAATATCATAATAAATGGAAGGTTTGCAATAAAAAGAAGCGATTGCAAAAATATTAATAAAGACCATATCAGAGAAAACAAGCACGGACAAAACAATGATAACAAGTGATAATAACAAATTCTGGAAAGAATAATGTCGAAAGCACAAATGAATAAAATGTTTAAAACAGCGCACTTTCATCACATCTATATATCTAAATATGTCACCCTCCTATATATGCCACATATCCCTTATAAGTGCTTAACCAACTCCTTCTGCGCCCTACACCTCACCTAGAACCCCTCACCCCTCGCCATCGATTAGAACTACTACGACAAACCCAGCTGAAAGCGTTGGCAAAGAGGATACCACTACAATGCGGCCGCGGCTTTGCTGCAATCGCTCAAATTGCAAAAAAGTTTTCGTTCGACGATGATTCGATGAATATGGCGGTAAAAGTAAGATAAATCTTTTGAGAAAAAAGTGATATGCCGAGAAATTTGACGAAGGCAAAGGCTTCAGGCTTTCCCCTGGTGATATCGCGTTTTTCGCGCATATTATTTACCGTCGCAGAAGAAATTCGGCCCTCGAGAGAAAGTACCGACTTTTATCGAATGCGATCGGCACGATATTTGCGTAAAAATTTTTTCGCAAATAAAATTAGCGTCAATTAATTTAATTAGTAAAGCGAGTCGTCGCGTAAATTTAGGGAAAAGTGCTCCATAAATTTTTCATTTCTGTTCTTCGTGGCTGTTAAAAAAACTGAAATACAAATTGCGAGCGATAAATTGTTGCGTCGGAGAGAGAATTTCTTCTTTGCAAATTTATATTGACGAAAATATATTTTATTTCATCGATTAATACTTTTCTCAAAATTTTGTTATTTTATTTGCGAGGCTTTTCGCTTATTTGATTTCAATCGGTTGTTCTTGTTTTTCGTTCGATCGCTTTCGTGCCGGTGACGTACGCGCCGTTGGCTTTTTGCACTTTTGCTCGCTGTCGCGATAATCGTTGTTGCCAGCCAAGCAGCCGAGGAGCGTCGAAGACACGTTTGTAGTGCGTGAAGATGCTTTTTTATATTTCAGTGAAGAGTCGCAAAATAAGGAAAAAATTTCAGACGATGGAAAATGAAAAGGAAAATGAATTTTTTAATTTTGCATTAGAGCTTGTTCAATCAGCCGGTCGAGTACGTTCTAATTTTATCTTTTTAAAAATGTGCTTTATCTTCAGATTTTATTAATTATTCCGTTACTGGCTAGGTTGGCCCCACTCGCTACAGAGATAGCACTTCCCAAGCTGCGCGATCTGGTGCCACTGTTGACGGCATTGGAAGCCATTCCTTTTTCCATCTTCTGAATCCGCGTACTGCGGGTACTTCTTTACGTCTTAATCATAGTCTTAATAATTCTGTCTTAATCTTTCCTGACTTTATCAGTTCAGATCTTGACTGGCCTACTTCGTTTTTGGCGCCGTCCGTCATAAGGATTAGAAAAGAACGAAATATGCGTTATGTACTAACCAGCAAAGACGACGTTCTCTTGATACTATTAATGCAAGTGGTATTTGAGCGATGATAAATGCAGTAATCTGACATTTTATCCACTCGACAAACTTTAAAATGTATTTTAGATATGAGTGGTCAAAAACAAATGGTTTCTTAATATCCTCCACTCTTATAGGCCATATCTCGCAGCCATATAGCATGATCGAGCGAATTGCAGCTATATAGATGAGGATTTTCGTTTTCGCAGTGATTTCGCCATGATTACAAGAATTTCGTTAATCGGAAGGACGCATTCCTAGTTATCGTTATTCGGATTGTAATTTGTCTCGTCATTTCGGATTAGAGTGGAAGATATTTAAAATTGAGCATTTTCTCAACCGGCAATAAATAGGTATAAAAATAGGTATTTTATCATATTAGATGTTTTTATTATCCTTCTATGTATAAGACGAAAAAACTTTCGTTTTATTTACATTGACTTTAAATCCGATTCTCAGTGCGTTTTTGACATATTTGACATATTGTTAATATTATATAACTATCAGCGAAAAGGACTACGTCATTAGAGTATTCAAGATCTGTGGTGCGATGCTCTGGAATGATTTCTTGATGTCCACTTCAAGCGATGTCCATTATCCAATCTATCGTGCAGTTAAATATTATAGAGGAAATGCCTTGATAGACACGAGTTCCTGTTTCGAAAGAATCTGTCAGTTCCCCACATATAAAGACCTATGCCGATGTACGCTGAAAAAATGCCTTTATGAATCGAGTGATTTTCTCTGGAACACCGTCAAATTCCATCATCTCCAACGTTCTGCTATGTCAATTTAATGGAAGACTGCAAAGTCGATGAAACAAGTGATGATAGGTTGCCGATATTTGAAGCGATGTTCCAACACCCTTCTTGACGTGAATATCTGGCAGCTCAACCGCATCCCAGCCTGGATCCAACTTGGCTAGGGTGCATTTTCCTGTCTTGTGCTGCCATAAGTCTATTCAATAGAAAAGCAAGCAAAAATTTTCCCCTGAGATATTCTCGATAATAGTCACAAAGTCACATCATTTTCTTGGAATTAGAAGTAGAATCGCTTTGCCTCAGTCACGTGATATTATTTCTTTCGTACATTTATTGAAGGTGCGTTATGAAGAACGATGGTCAACATTTAAAGATCGTTTTATTGGTTTTATTCTCAAGATTATATCTTTTTTGTTGGCAATTTACAGTTTCCATTTGACAACGTAATTTTTAATAGCCTTAAGAGGCCCACCATTATTATCCTGTACCATATCACTGATTATTCCCCGAATTATTGTTGCTTTATGATGAAGGCGGAATAGTTCCCTATTATCGCCCAAACGAGCCACCGTCTCCATTTGCAAAGCCATATTCCTCCAAAATGTGCTTTTGTCTCCGAATCTTGGCTCAAATCAGATGTTGATCAGGTCTAGGTCCAGATCCATGAAGGTTGCCCGTTTCAGCACTACGATAAGAACGACTAGATATACGATTCTGGGCTACTGACTGAAATATAATCAATTCGGTTGATATGTTGATTATCTGATGAGTTCCACGCGAGTTCTTAGTTGTCTTCTTCGATATCGAATTGTATTAAAAATTCATCGGTTTTTGCTCAAAACTTCGATAAAACGAAAAAAAAGCGCTCCTTATTGGTGCACCAAACAGACAGGTCCCGATACCATGCTGCCAATTACCAAGTCGAGGCAGCACCAATTGCACGGGACCCGAAGTGAGGGAAATGGACGTCCGATAAGCAAATGATATCCAAGATATTTAGAAAGACAGTGGACAGTGATCGCTTGGCTTGTAAGGTTTATAAGCGTTTTGACGTTCCACGCTGCTACGTCTAACATCTCGCAATTTGTGCAGAGAGCTGTTTTAGCTGTTTTCTTCGACAGATTTCATGAAATCATTCTGGTTCGCGATCACATTCAGGCCTTGGGATCGTTTTCAGACTATATACTTGTCGCGTACCACTGAGGGCGTTAGAGAACGCGGGTGTCAAGAAAATCAAACCTTTTTACCATAAAGTCACTTGGAGATAGAGTTACAGGTGGGTCCCCAGCAGCCACTCGGTTATTAGAAATTTTTTTGTCATTTTAATAATTTTATACAAAAATCTCCCAGTCTTTTCGGTTTTAGTTCTAGAAAATAAAAATCATTGAAAATTTCTCCTTAAAACCATGAATGTATGAATTTTTATTTTTTTCTAAATATATTTTATTCTTAATCATTCTTAATAATTTATTCTTATTCTATATTTTTTATGTTACAAATGTTTCTTTTATAAATATATAAATATTTGAAAAATAATTGTTTTTTCAGTTTTTATAATCGTTGAGGATTTAATTTCATTTATGCTTTAAAACAGTGGTTTAGGAGTCTTTTTATTTTCTTAATGCTATTAGTTATCTGTCTTCCTCAATCATCTTCAGCTGATTTGCTTTTATTTATTTCTCATCGGTTTTTTGACCAGCAAGGAACAATTTATTGATTTATTCGATTAATTTTTAGTAATCAATAATTTTTAGTGTTTTTAGTTACTCAATAATTAATTTTAGTTAGTTCGCGCTGCATTTGATCAACCATCATGCGAGGTTCATACAAAAACATCGGATACGGATTTGGTCACGGAAACGGATCAAGCTGTTGAAAAATTATTAATTAATGGTCTTTCGAAACGATTTCCTGGACATAGGTTATATTTCTTTTGATCAATTATAAATGATTTAAATTATGAATATTAAGTCTATAAAACTTTTCAAGGCTAAGATTTAAATTTTTATTGTAGATTCATTGGTGAAGAATCGGCCGCAGCAGGTCAGAAAATTGAATATACCGATGAACCGACATGGATTATCGATCCAATCGATGGAACAACTAATTTTGTGCATAGGTTAGTATTATTTATGGTTGTTAGAAACTGTAAGATTTTTTTTTAGTGAAGACTTAATGTTTTTATTTAGTATTAAAAATGATTTTCGGAATTACAACTACATGTAAACATTAATATCGGGTCAGAAATTTTGTTAAATTTGATATCTCTCTTTCGGTTGGTTAGCAGGTATTTTCTTCCTTCATATTTTTTTCTCATTATTTTTTTAGAATTCCATTAGTTGCAATTTGTGTTGGTTTGGCCATAAAAAAGCAGTTACGAGCTGGCATCGTTTATAATCCTTTAACGAAAGAGTTATTTTCGGCACAGATCGGTAAAGGCGCTTACAAAAATGGTTTTCCTATACATGTTTCTTCTACCACAGGTTCTTATTTATCAGCATTATTATTTACAATTCTTATTCTTTCCTTAATCCGAATTAACGAAGAAGCTGATTCATTTCAAAATTTAGATATGTGCACGAATTTAATTCCAAAATTATTAAAAATTTTTAGCTTATCATTCTTCCATTCCTGCCATAAGCCAGTTCTGTTTCTTCAATTTATTTTTTCATTTATTTATTTTTTGCAGAAAATTCTCAAATAGACTTTTCGTAGTTTTTTTCGTTTTTTTTGAAATTACTGGGTATTATTGGTACTTACTTCTTCATTTCAGAAAAATCCATCTTAGTACAATTGGTTGTGAATCAGCTCCTTTGAGTGCCTTAATTTTTAAAATCTTTTAATTCTCCAATTTTTGTAAACGAAATGTAGTGTGTTTATTGTAATGTTTGGTTTACAATTTATAATTTTTTGTTTTAAAAAATTGATTTATTGCTTGTTTGTTGTTTTATATTTTACATTTGGCATGTCCAGCATGTTAATGCATTTTTAGACGTTAAATGTGCTTAATTGTGCATTTTGCCTTTAAAAATTACTAATTGTGAAATATAATCTTTTTAATTTTAATTTTCTTTAAAACTTGTTTTCCCTCGAATAATCTCAGATTATTTTAAATTGGAAATTTTGTTAACTGTGATAAAATATATAGAGAAAAATTTTCATTTTAAATTTAAAATACGAAAAAGGCTGCTTCAGCGTTAAATCGTTGTTTGATTGCTGCATCTCACGGGATTCATAATTTGCCAATATTCGGTGAAACTTGGATGAATATTTCTTTGGAGAATTTTCGTCGTCAGTGCTTCGCAGGCATTAGAGGGTTTGTGATAAGTGTATTCATTTATTTATTATTTTTTATCTCATTTATTGTATTTTTTTTTAAATTTTTATTTCACCTTATAATTTCCAATATTTTCGATTTGATAGGACAGATCAGAGTTAATAGTTGAGGAGAGGTCTTTTTCTTTTGTTGCATTGTTACATCAGGAAAGATTCATTTGAATATTATTCGAGTTTATTTGTACTAGTATTAGCAGATATAAAAAACATCCTATTAAATATCTATTATTGCTTCTTGTTACATTTTCGATTTATATTATTATTGTTCTTGATGTTGATTTAATGAGCTATTTTAAATTAACTTGTATTTAGGTCATTTACGAATTTTGAATAATTTTGTTACTTTATTTTTCTTGTTCCTCTAGGAAGATTTTATTTTATATTATGAAGTTTTTCTAAATTTTGCTTTTGTTTTGTTTAACACTGAATTTGCTGCATTATTTTAATAAATTTTAACTGAAATATTGTATCCTTTTTCATCCTTTTGTAGTTCGAAAGTGCTGAAGGAATTTTTCTCAGGATTATACGTTTTTCAATATTATAGAAATATTTCTTCTAGACATCGATATTTCGGTTCGGCGGCTATTAATATGATGAATGTGGCACAAGGTTCAGTTGATGCTTATGTGGAATATGGAGCTCATGCGTGGGATTTTGCAGCAGCAGTAGTTATTCTTCGTGAAGCAGGCGGAATTATTATTGATCCAACAGGTTAATTTTATGGGAATTGACGGATTTTTTTAAAGTGTATTTTTGAATATCTTTAAAAATTTTTTTCTATATTTTATTTTTTACAGAAAAAGCTTTTTAGGTAATATTTAATGAAAAAATTTTAGAATTTTTAAAAATTTAGGCGCTGAATTCAATTTAATGTCGCGGCGAATTCTTTGCGCTTCAACACCTGAGCTTGCTGAAGCAGTTTCTTTGACGCTAAGTCATGTTGAATATGAGCATGAAGCATAAAATTTTTGTGGTGAATCAGAAAAGTGATTAGTGAATTCTTTGGATTCCTCTGATCGGCATTTTTATAGAAATTCTGTTATCTTAGCTTATTTAGCTTTATTTCATGTGGTTTTGAAGATTAGTTTAATATGTGATTATTTTTTCACTTGGTTATTTTTAATATTTGCAATCATTATATTATCATCATTATCATGTCATCATTATATTTTCATTTAAAATTTTTCTATTATCTGTTCTCTCTGAAATAACTAATGAATAATATTTACTAGAATTTCTATTTCTTTTGTTTGATTTTCTACTTTTTTAAGGTTACTTTATTCGTTAGCAACAGCATTTTTTGATGCGTTCAGTTTCATTAAATCGATCGTATTTTTTAAAGTTTTTGCTGGATTAAATAAACTTTGATCTGTTGATGAAATAAATTGATGAAATGGATGATTTGTTTTATCTTCGGTATAATTATACCATTAATCTACCTAAAGCTTTTTAGAAATCAGTTCGTAGATTAAAATAAATTAAACAGAAATTTTGAAAAAGTACAATTTCTTTATTACGGTATAATTTTATTCATATGGTTTATTGAACAAAATCTCACAAACAGTTGATTTGATTTGACCAGTGGTGGAATTGCAGACTTTAATTCAGGAAAGAATTATGGCAGAGAATTCTGCGCATGTTGAGGTTATCCGATTTTTTATCTTTATGGTTTTATGGTTTATATTTATAAAATATTTCCTTATTTCAAGTTATTTAACGATTATTCTAGCCTTTTTTTAATTTTGATTGCTTATAATCCTTATTTTTATTAAGATCCCTGGCGCACCTCTGAATCACGAGGTTCAATCGATCAGCAAGGAGGTGAATTTTTTTTATTATTTCATGTTTTATTTGATAAGATACGAAAAAAAGTGATTTTCGCTTACATTCGGAGATGTATAGGCATTGGACAATATCATTGGAAATAGTGCTTATCAACATCTGACAACTAATCAGTGGAGTCAACAAGCAGTGGAAACGATTACAACAAGTCTTGTCAAACTTAATAAACCATATAAATATATCGGTATACCTTTTACTTAATGGAATTCATTAAAAAGTTTCAGTTTTTCAAATTTTAGCTTCTTCAGAAAATTCAAACTTTTAATTTTAGCTCAAGTTACATTTCATAATTTAATATCCTCAAAATCAATGGGTAGACTGACAAGACAGAAGTTTTATTATAGTGTTTTTGGTTTGTCCATGTATATTTGAAAGATGAGGAATGAGATCTCGCAGATGTTTCGATAAATTTTAACCTTAAATTTAGTGACTTGTGTGATAATGCAAACAAATACTGGAGCTGGGCTTAGCGTCTCGAGCACTTGTTATTGGGATAAATCAACTGATCGTTAGTTTTTTAGAGTTATTATAAATAGTCAGTTATTTTTTTCTAATCAAAACTATTTTCCTACAAAAGAATCAATTGGTAATGTAGCTGTGGGCAATATTTTGATTTAAATTTTAATTTGGTTTAAATTTTAATTTTAAATCTTTGATTTGATGATTTATAAATAATTTTGCAGTGTCATTTACGGTTCGATGGGAAAATAAATCTGTTGTTACCATAGTGAACGTATTCGCAGTGGCAATTTAAATGATGAAAAGTATTATAAACCCCATAGACATTTACATGATTCGATTAGAATGGCGAAAGCCTCTCACCGCAACGCGGGTTTTTTCATTTATTTTTGATCCCTTAAAAAAGTTTTTTCTTATATTACTCATTTGCAGTTATTTTGTTTCATTTCACTGGTTTGCGAGAAATAGTTTTTTTCTCAGCTTTGTATTTAATATTAATTTCTCATTAACTTCTCTTACGGCCTTATATGAACATTTGATTTTATAAATTTTTAAGTTATAATTGTGATTCTTTTAATGATACTGGTAATTACTATTAAAATATGGCATCCAAGCATTATTTTAGTAAGCATAAAGTTAAAGGTACACTTAAATTAATCTCGATATTCGCTTTTTACTTTTTCTGCTTTTTTGACTAGTATTTCTTCAGTTTATATTGAACTATTTTGTTGGCAAACTGGCACGCTTTGGAACACACTCGTTTGTTTTATATTTTTACTTTGAACTGTCGAATCGCAAAATATATTTTATTTCTGATAAAACCAAATGAACGCAAACAATTTCGTAGAAATTTCATTCAAATAAACTGCAATTTTTGCTGATAAGAAAGTAAAGAACAAGGAATTTTTGGAATATATATTTCCACGAAACTCATCGTATATCCAGTCCACAGCGGCTCTTCTTTGTTGGTAAGGAAACACAGTCACAAGAAAAGTTACAAGTGAAATGATATTATGACAAAAAATGTACAATGAATAACTAAAGCCAATTACTATAGTGAGGAACGAAGAGATAATTAAAGGACAATAAATTATGGTTAATCATGGTAAAACAGTGATAGCAAGAGAAATAGAACAGGAGAAGCAAATAACGGAAAAAAATGATGAAGAGACGGCTCTCTGCCACCAGTGGATGATAAGTGTGGATGATGAAACTGAAGGACTGCAACAAAAATTCACCAATGAATAATACCAATGAATTTTTTACAAGAGTGCTTTTAAATTACAAAAAAATTTAGCCAACAAATAAAGCTAACATTAAATTGAAGATGGTTTTTAAAATAATATTTTTCGTTCCCAAATTGAACTAAACTGCGAAACCTTAGAAATTAAAAAAGATTCGAGGAAAACGAATATTCGAATAAAATTTCACAAATTATTAAATAAAAACTTTATAAGTAAAAAAAGATTACGAAATCATCACACTATTAACAGCTGATATTAGCACTAGCTGATAAAAAAATAACTGGCGGCACAAAGAGAAAAAATTCGGTCGAGTTCGACTGAAGTCACCCGTTTATAAAAATTAAGATATCCAGCGTTTGTCCTCAAATACATATGAACACATTTCTCCGTTAAAAACTGTTTTACAAGACGGCCAAAATATACAAGAATCACTGTCGCTCCAACAAAGAAGTCCCACTGCTGTGAAGAATATTAACGAACATATGTAGCATGGCCTAAAACGTTTTTTCCACTAACAGAACCTTTTATTAATGAGAAAGTAAAGACAAGAGAATCGAAGAGTTGCAGAACAAAAATTATACGCGGGCCCACAGCATCGGCGAGGAGCCTTCTACCAGACAGCACTGGTCCATACGTTTTTTACAAGAGAATATGAAAGAGAAGAAAAAGCAACAAACCTCCTTTCCATAAAAAAGCCGACAACATAAAAGCACATAAAAATTGCTTGATCGATAAGAAATGTTGGATGCAACCAGTGTTTTGGTATTAATAAAACTGGTATTAGCCACTGCAAGCAATACATTTTTCTTATATTTTCTTTTTTCCTTTTCACTGAAAGGTTGCTTTTTCACTAAATTATTTTAATTTTAATTTTAATTATTTTACTGTAATTTTGATTTTAAAAATTACCTATGAAAATAAAAAACAAAATAAAAATTTCCATGTAAAAATTTTTAAAACTCCAATAATATAGGAAAATAAAACAAAAAAATCAATTCGCAATTCGAAATAAATAAAATAAAAAATTGGGAAAAAAATCATTTGGTAATAAAAAGAAAGAAACAATATTTGCACAACCGCGAATCGACTCGCCACTTTTCATTAATGAACAACCAAACGGTGATTCTTCCCTCTCCCTTTAGCGATGAGTGAGCCTCGGCTTCGCTTACGAAGGCCATTTCCAGTTCGCCTTACGTATCGCAAATCATTGTTCACTTTACGCCCAATTTACTTTCGGGTCATTTCAGATCACAAAACACTTACAATAAACAAAGTTAACTCATATTTATCAAAACCAAAAAAACTTTCAGAAACAACGAAGAAACTGAAACATTGTGGGTGAAAATGCAGTCATGGCCAGCGGAGGGTCGCCATGGCCCCAAAACTACGAAAGCACGGCCCGAGCTATTCTGTGCTAAAATCGATTCGGTGCAGTTTTTCTTCGCTATCGTCGTTGTGATTTACATTCGAAGAAATATAAGAAAACTTCAGAAGCGTTAGTACCAGAAAAATTTGAGGACCATAAGGAATTATAAAGGAACACCTCGATAGTGCCTCTCAGTTAGATTTTGCCAGACCTACTTTATTCACTATTTGTTGCGAAAACAGTTCCACAACGGAGAAAACGACAAGGAATCGATATCACCCGCAAGCACATCGCTTCATGTCATTATAATCACTCGAACGAAATGCGGCCTTGGATGGGAAATCGCGGCCATTCCTTTCTATAATTGATGCATTAATTATTTCGTGTCGTTTTTTTGTATGGTTGTCGTTTAATTTCTTTCAGTGTAACATTGTGTTGCATTGTCAGATAAGAGGGAAGAGGGGAACGAGGGACGACATAGACGGTGTCGCCTCGCTGACGTATCAGATAAGAGGGAGGAGGGGAAGAGGAACGAGGGACGACATAGACGGTGTCGCCTCGCTGACGTATCAGATATGAGGGAAGAGGGGAACGAATATATAGAAATGCATCTTTTTGCCTTATCACGCAGGGCTATCAGATTTTTTGCTTGTTTCCTTGTATCACTGTAAATTTTTTTTTTCATTATTCTTATTTGTTTAATTTGTTTCCTTTTCTTTTAAGGAGAAATTTTTGAAAAATTCTTTTATTCTCTAAAGCAAAATGAAATTCCTAAGCGCTGATGAAGTTCGAGCAACATTTATGGATTTTTTCAAAGGAAAGCAACATGTTTATGTTCATTCATCATCCGTTATTCCGCTTGATGATCCGACTTTATTATTTGCCAACGCTGGTATGAATCAGGTGAATTTTATTTTTCACTTGCTACACATGTAGCGTGACTTGCATGTAATGGTTAGGTGACATGTAGCTTGACGTTAGATTTTCGAAGAGTCAGAAGCAATTTGCTTTTATCTTTAAAGTTTCTGCTTTATTATGGAATATAAATAAACTTTTTTAAATGCAGTTCAAACCAATATTCCTTGGTACAGTCGATCCGTCGAGTGAATTATCGAAGTTTAGACGGGTGGTAAATACTCAGAAATGTATTCGCGCTGGTGGTAAGCATAATGATTTGGATGATGTTGGCAAAGATGTTTATCATCATACTTTCTTTGAAATGTTGGGAAATTGGTCATTTGGCGACTATTTCAAGGTTTTTTAAAAAGTTTTTAGAAGTTTTTTATCTTATGAATCTTTTTATCTATTTTATTTTTTGTTATGAACTTTTTCTGTTATTTTTGTTGAAAACCAATTATTCGGAAAATGCTAATGAATTGCTGAACGACTAATGTAAATTATCGAAATCCTTAAATGCGATTTGGAAAAACGCAGGAATTCTTAAGAATGTGATATTCCTATTAGAGGCAGTTTGTCTGAATGTGTGTAATCCCTTGGTTATCGTTTCGATCCAGGCTATGCTACCGATTTGCCCAAATGACTATCCGGCTAAAGTATCTCGCACTACTAATAACCAGTCGAGCAAGCCTTACTAGTGCTATTCGCTTATTGTATAGAAAGTGAAGAAATCGAGACGATAGCATCAATGATCGGTTAGGAAATGGTATGATAGTGATGAAAAATGGTTGATAGATGAAAAATAAAAGAAGAAAGAGCGTGCAACTATAAAACTCCTTTCGGGCTGTGGATTGTTTCGACTTTTTGGCTGAAGATTAGATAATCGACAAAATTCAGCTTTAATAGTTTTAATTTCAATTTATTTCAATATCGTTCCTCATAGAATATTGATAAATATTGATTTAAAATTTATTATAAAAAGAATATTTAAATATCCAATATTTTAAATCAAAATCAAAATTTCAGAAAGAAATATGCAATTGGGCATGGGAATTGTTGACGAAAAAATATGGCATACCTGCAGACAGACTTTATGTATCATATTTTGGCGGCGATCAACGTGCCAATTTGTCACCTGATGAAGAATGTCGACAAATATGGTTGGATATTGGGTAATTTTGAATATTTTAATAAAATGATGACAGTAGAAGGAAGCCGGTAATTTCTGATAGGATAAATAAAATAAGGAGAAAAGAAAAAAGCAAAAAATATACTAATTTTTGTAAGCTTTCTGCCACTATCTCCCATTAGAAGATGATTTAATTTTATATTATAATGAATAGATTTTATTGAATTTTGCGAAAATTTAAAATTTAAAAAATTTAAAATTTGACTTTACAGTAAATCATTATTACTGATTTTTACTTTGAATTAAATATTTATTTAATTTAAGATTGCCGCCTTCCAGAATACTTCCATTTGATATGAAAGACAATTTTTGGGAAATGGGTGATGTTGGTCCATGTGGACCATGTTCAGAAATTCATTTTGATCGAATAGGCAGTCGCGATGCTTCAAATCTTGTTAATGCTGATGATCCAACTGTTGTCGAAATATGGAATCTTGTCTTCATTCAGTTCAATAGGTTAGTACTATATTCTTAAGTATGCTTGAAATCCTTTCTTGATCATATCTATTCAATTCTTAATGTGTCTCTACATTTTTAACATCATCACAAGATTCAGTATGTATAAATTCTTGATGAGCAACGAAGTACGTAGTCTAACCAGTTTTACAGAGATTTTATTACATAAACGAAAAGTTTTAAGCAATTCGGAGCTTCATCTTTCACCTAACCAATGAATATAAGAATAAATCCTCTGGGATTAAATTTAAATTTGGCACTTCTTGAACCATTGAAGAACTTGTACGATTGATATTTTATTAGTGTCCAATATTTAAAAAAAAAGTGTCCTCTTATTTGTGTTAATATAAATCCATCTATTATAATTCTGTGCAACTGCAAGCATGCAATGAAACTCAAGTTTCCCATCATTTATTCTTTTCACAATTTTTATAAGGTTTTAAAGGTTTCCATTTTTTACCAAATTTCTGAGATATTTCATTTCGTCTTTGTTTTCTAGATTCTTTTTTGCCTCTTTTTCTTCTTTTTTCCCATTTATTTTTTTATATTTTATAGCCAGTTCAAAAGTAAATTGCAAAAAATTTTAGAGATGAAAATGGGAAACTACAAACTCTTCCTCAGAAACACGTTGACTGTGGACTTGGTTTAGAACGCTTGGTCGCTGTGATGCAAAATAAACTTTCAAATTATGATACAGATGTTTTCCAACCAATATTTTCTGCTATCCAAAGAGTAATAGTTATATTTTAAATAGTTATATAATTGGAATATTTTGTAATTTATGTTCTGATTTTGTTGTGAACCATGAATTATTTGAGGAAGTAGGAGTGCGCCCATATACAGGTCATATTGGTATTGAAGATGTTGATGGCATAGATATGGCCTATCGAGTTGTTGCTGATCATATTCGAACCTTATGTATTGCTTTTTCTGATGGCGGCCGACCGGATAACGTAGGCCGAGGGTATATTATATTATTTATATTTTTTAAATATTTTTCATTTTCTTCAAAATTTTTTTAAAAGCCTTTTATTTATTTAGATTTCTAAAAAAATCTGGAAAATATCAAGCAGATTATGTTTATGGAAAAAAAATAAATAGAATTTTTCGTTATAGAAAATTTCCTTTTTTCTCTTAATTCTCTTAAAATTCTCTTAATTTGTGTATAATAAGGTATGGTATTATATTATGATATATTATATTATAGATATGTTTTGCGGCGCATTTTACGACGTGCAGTGCGTTATGCTATTGAGAAACTTGGAGCTTCTCCTGGTTTCCTTGCTTCTTTAGTTCCCGTTATCGTTGAGCGCCTGGTGTGGATCAAATTGTTTCTTTTTGATCCTATTTTGTCATTTTTTGTTTTCTATCATCTATCGAATTCCAATAAATTAATCTTTTAATAGGGCAACTGTTTTCCCGAATTAAAGAAAGATCCAGAGACTACAATGGATATTATAAATGATGAGGAATCTCAGTTTTTGAAAACATTAAGCCGAGGTCGAATGCTATTTGCTAGAGCAATCAGATCACTCAAAGTGGGTACCAAAATGTTCCCCGGTCAGTAAAATTTCTTTACATTATGGATTAATGAAAAACCTGAAAATCTCTAATTTTATTTTATTTCAGGGGATATAGCTTGGAGACTTTATGATACGTATGGTTTTCCTGTTGATCTTACACAATTAATGGCTGAAGAAAAAGGGCTTGCTGTAGATATGGCTGAGTTTGACATCTGCAAACAAAAAGCGATTGTTAGTACTGCTTTTGTTTCGTTTCCTTTATCTTTTATGGATGTTTTATCATTTGTTTATTTATTTATTTATTTATTATCTTAATTCCATATGTGTTACTATATTTCTGTGATTTTTTTCTCAGAAACTTTCCTCAGCAAATGTCGGGAAATTCCGTGATACTATTGATTTAAACGTTCATGCTATTGCTGATCTCAAATCACATGATATCCCTTCAACGAATGATTCTTTCAAATACAATTATGTCTTTAATGATACTTTAGGCGAATACGGTTAGATAATTTTATAGTTATTTGATACTAGAATTTCGAGAACACCATTATTGACCATAGAGATTCGTTAAAGAAATAATTTTTTCATCATATTGGATTAAAATTTAGAATTATCGAAGTGTGAAGGAAAAATTCTTGCACTCCGCAAAAACGGTGCATTTGTGGAGACATTAACTTCCGGTGATTTGGGAGCTATGATTGTCGACAAAACTAATTTCTATGCTGAACAAGGCGGTCAGATATTCGATACTGGTGTTTTAAATAAAATCGACGATGAGGTTTCTGAATTTATAAAAGAACTCCGAACTTCTTTAAATTTATAAAAATTTTGGGATTTTTTTATTCTTTTTGAAAATTTCCTTAATAGGGTATAGTTGGGAGCAAGCGTAATGATTTTTGTATTATATCTTGAATTTTTCGTTGCTTTATATTGTAATTCCATCTATACCATCTATCTTTTCCCAGTTGAGAAATGATAATTGATCGTTGATTAATGCTTAATTTACAGTCTAATCTTTTTATGCACAGAAAAGGAGTAAGAATGAAAAGATATGAAAAGTTAAAAAGCAAAAGCCTCTCATAAATACTGAGAAAATGATGAAAACAACATAGCAAGAGTACTTAATCAATATTTGTCTTTAATCTTCTTGTTGAAAAAAAATATCTATTTTGATTTTTGCGGAAATTTTTCAGGAAACGGAATTTGTTGTGAATGCTGCGCAGGTCCGCGGTGGATACGTTTTGTTAATTGGTGTTGTTGAAGGAAATATTTCTGTTGGTGATATCATACTACAAACTGTTGATAAAGAGCGTCGATCCCTTATAATGAAAAATCATACTGGCACTCATGTTTTAAATTACGCTTTGCGAAAGGTTATTTCCAGTGCGGAACAAAAAGGTTCATTAGTTGCATCAGATCGAATGCGATTTGATTTTACTTCTAAGGAAGCTCTTACTATAGAACAGGTGATTTTTTTAACCTAATTTTACCTAGTTTTTTTTATTTTACACTTGAGAGATCGAACATGGCAAACAGAATAAATATTGTTCTTTGTTTCAGTTTTTTTCTTTTTTGCATCATTATAAATTTATGTTACAGATAAAGAGAATAGAAGAAATTGCTCAAGACTTAATCAATCGAAAGGTAAAAATATTTGCAAAGGAGATACCTCTTGCTCAAGCTCGTGAAATAAATGGATTACGTGCCGTTTTTGATGAGGTTTTTTTTTTACAGGAAAATTTTAAACAAAGTGATTTCGCTTATTCATATTTGTGGAAGTTTTTTTGTTATTGTTATTATTTTTATTATTGTTATTATTATTGTTATTATTTTATTTTAGTGAGAATTTTTAGAAAACCTTGTTTTTCTAAAGTTTTTTATAGATCGCCTTTTTGTTAATTGTCATCTGTTGATATTTTTTAGAATTATCCAGACCCTGTTAGGGTGGTCAGTGTTGGAATCGAAATAGAATCATTATTAGCCAATCCGAACAGTGATGCTGCCCACAATACAGCTGTCGAATTATGCGGCGGGACGTAAGTTATCATAAGACTCATAATTTATGTTTTATTTTTAAAATAAGCTAAATTTGTTGAGTTTTTAATTGAAAGGCCCTATTTAATGGTAAAAATGAAGTAAAAATGTATTAAGTTTTGATTAAGTTATGATTTCAGGCATCTGCACAATGTTGGTCATGTAGGTGATTTTGTAATCACAACTGAAGAAGCAATTGCCAAGGGTATTCGAAGGATTGTAGCCTTGACAGGTCCAGAAGCTAAGCGTTGCATACAACGCGCTATTCGCATGGAACAGAGAGTAAACGAGCTGAATAAAAGCATAAAGAATTCAGAGGATGTTGTAAACAAGGCATTCCTTAAAACTGCAGCCAGTGAACTTTTTGAGGTTTTTTGCATTGTTACAAACTTTCAATGCATTTATTTTTGCCGAAATATGCTTAATTATTTATGTAAAAATAGAGGTCAATTTGCAGGAAATTAATCGATCGCAGTTGCCTTATTTGAGGAAGGAAATGATGCGAAATATGGTTAGGAATATCCAACGATCTCTGGGATGTGCAGAAAAGGAATCTTTAAACGTTTTGTCGAAAAAGGTTCTTTCCAAAACTGAATAAAAAATGTAAAATGTAGAAATCGTAGTTTTATTAATATTATAATTAGAATAATTTTAATACCATGTTTGGAAAATGAAATTATTTCATTTAGTTTTATATACTCTAGATCGTTTCTGAAGCCGAAGCATTGAACAGTTCATCCCTTGATAACGATAAGAAATATGTAGTACATGTTTTCAGCAAAGGAGCCAATGGTAAGGTAATGATATATTTGATATATTTGACTTTTTTCGATTAGTACTTATTTCTTTCGCTGCAAAATCTGGTCGATCCAGTAATCCCATGTTGTATTCCATGCATTTTAAGATTTTAGTTACTTTTCAGAATATCTTATCAAAAAATTTGAAGTTATTTCAGATATTGGATAATGCTTTGAAAATGATGAAAATACCAGCTGTAATGGGTCTTTCAGTTAACGAAGATAGTGGCAAAATAATTATTAACGCGCGTGTGAATAAGGTTCCCGAAGATTTAATTAATTTAACCATTTAATGAAAATCAAATATACACTTGGTGAAATAAAGATATTATCCATTAAAATTTTTTCAAAAAAATATTTGTTTTTTTATGATCAGTAAGTTTAGTCATTGCTGAAAGGCCGTATTTCTGCGAAAGATTGGATTGGACATATTTGTAGCAACATTGCCGGAAGCAGTGGTGGGGGTAAAGATGAACAAGCACAGGCCACGATTAACGATTGTGATCTTCTAGATGAAGCTGTTCAACTTGCTGTAAGATTTGTCCAAGCAAAACTTACTTGATATAAAATAGTTTTATTATAAATATTATCGCCAACTTGTTATAAATTTTCTTATCTTTTTTCATATACGTAATATAATAAATACGTTAAGAAGTACCCGTTTTTTATAAACTAACCACCTTATTTCTTTAATTACCAAGCCGTTAAAATTTTCGAAGGCTCATTTTGCCATTTATTCCATAAAATTGCGATATACAAAAATTTTTTAAGTTTATCACTACTTTTTACCATTAAAAATTTATAATAATCAAAGAAAAAACAAATGTAAGTGGATAGAATGTTCTAAGACCACTGTGAAAAAAAAAACGAGTAAAACTTAGTTCACTTATAAATTTCACCGAACGATAAAAATTCAAATGTGATTAAAAAGTGATGTCAGATGTCAAAAATTTATGAAAAAATTGATTTAAAATATCAATACTATCGAAATAAGCAAAAAATAAATACATCGTATAAGCGTTGACAAATATTTTAATATGTTTCTCCTTAATGTTTTTATATTATTAGCATAAAATGAGATGATGACTCAATGACTCAAAATGAGATCAAAAAATAAGAAAATGCTCAACTTCTTCGGAAAGCGGAAAATTTTTAGAAAATAAATTTTCTGTAATTTTATCGATGAATTTAATGAATTTTCACTATACATTATTTTTCGGTTGATAAAAATTAATGCTCGGCGTTACAATAAATTTAGCATTCACCATCATTACAATCGTCTTCATCACTAAAGTAGACTCTATTGCCTATAACTCCGGAAGAACTGGCGAAATTATTTGTCTGAAAATGATGCATTTCATCGACAACAATATTTTTTAAAGTAATGGTAAGAAAAGGAATTTATCCTCGAAATCATGGTAAAAATAATAGCTAGAAACTGATTTCGTCGTTATTGAATGAATTAATAAGTCTAAATATAATCATTTACCCGTTTCGCTAAGAGAGAACTGCAAGATGGACCATACGTGCGCTTCCGTTGCTGCCGCTGTCGTTTATTACTTGATCCATCACGTAAGCGGAAAGGACAACGAAATTCTTTTACAATAGGATAAATAATTTCAACTGCTCTCATAACATCTGCCTCAGATGCAGCTAAAAATTTTATTTTTACTTTAATCTTGCAACAGCTATAGGTTGAAAAAATTTTAATAGGCAAAATAAAACCTCCTGTTATTGTAATACTTCCTGTTGTATGGATACGAAGAGTTGCTTTAGGTTCTACTGAACGCCAAATCATTCCAACCAGCAATTCTGGCTCATATTGGGAACTGTCCGGATATTTTTGAGCCAACTTTAGAAAAAAGAATAAATTAAATCAAAATGGACTGGAAATTCATTAATAGAAGAAGCTACAAAGAATGGAACTCTTAAATCTTAAATATTTGAGCATATTTTTATTAATCAATTAATATATAAATTAAATAAATTAGTTGCTGTTCTTATCAGTAGTAAATGGTGTAGAATATTTCGCACGATTGAAAACTTATAAACGATTACAAATCTATTCAAAAATTTAAAATATTGGTAAGCAAAAAAATAATACTAAAAGAAATATATAAATGACAAAAGAAAATAATGACCTCTTCGATTTTAATACCGAAGGGCATTTTACAAGTGGCTAATACATTACAAATACGATAATTTCGTATTCTGACAATATCTTTTAAACGACCCATGTGTTTCTGTACCATCCGCGCTACACTTCTTGCTGCATGCTTGCATTCTTGCTCACTTAAAAATTTTGAAGAAGTTTTATCAGAATATATTATCTTATCTTACTGCAGTAATATTATTATAAACTGCTTATCACCAAGAAATTTAAGTGAAGTCTGAAAGACTCCAAAAAATTTCAAAAGATAAAGAATGAAACATGTTAGAATAAAACCAGTCTAACCTACGGCATCCGACGATATAGACCTTTCCGGAGCTATAAATCTTAACATAACATGAAGGATTGCGTTTCTGCTTTAGCAAAACCTTAAGAAAGAATAGAAAAGTAAAATATTTTTCCAATAAACAATCACGAACTGACGACATTATATAAGAAAATGAATTCGAAAAATTTTCAAATATATTTTTGAAGTCCAAAAATAAACCAAGGTATTATATGGAGCAACTTTTAAAGATAACTTTCTAAAAAATTTAAAACTCACACCACGTCCACGATCAAATGTGACATTAGTGGAATTTAAAGCTACTTTATGTAGATCAACATGTAAAGGTACCGTAAAATTGCATACGACATTTCGAATCTACAAATATTTTGTCTTTAAATCAATTCGCACAGTAAGCATAATATGATCGTAAACAACATAAATTTACCTGTATATCAATAGGTTCGTTTAAGTCGGAATCATCGTCGTTAACAACACCACTTGCTGAAGTGGGAATTTCCTCTACGACTGTTGACACATCCTTAATTTATAAACTGAAGAAAATTAAGCTAATACCAAGATTTAAACCAAAAAGCCAACGTCATCATTATTAAAAATATGAATATGTACATCTTAAAATAAACTAGCACTTAATTAAACAAAATTCAGACGAATATTGTGGAACTATAAAAATACTTCTCCACACGGAGGAGAGGTATCTTCTCGAACTGGTACGTTTAGATGCAATGAATCATCAGAGTTATCTGAATCATCATCGCTAATAAAAGATATCTGAGAATTGAAATGCATCAATTTTGGCTCAATCGATGAAATTTGCTTGAAGTTTTGAACATTATAATTCGGTTGAACAACCTGAAGAAAAAATGAAAATATTTAATGAAACGATTTTAAACGATTTTAATTAATATCGTAAAATTATTCTAGCAAGAAAGGAGAACTTCATGAATGCAGTAAACATCAACTGTCTGATAATGAATAATTAAAATGAAATAACCGATGAATAACGACATTGACAACCAGCCATTAAGGTCGATGAACTTTGCAAAGAAAGAGTAGGTGAAGTTGCATTTGCGTTTGAATACGAAGAAGCAGATACCCCGCACTGAACAAATTATTTTAAAATGAAATCTAATAAGCGAATTCTATAAGAACTTCGATGAATCAGAAATATTTTCTGCTCTAAATCAAATATTTTTTTCATGTTTTTTTTCATGTTTTTACGATGAATATAACGTATAAATTATATTCAAAAGTATTTATACATATAATTTATTAAAATAAAAATATAAATAAGAATAGCTAAGCTTATTGTAACAACTCTCTTTTGTTAGCCTATTGAGTTCAAACCATGTATATTTCCATTTTAATATAAGCTTTTGCCATAGGATTAACCATAGGAAAAATCTGATAATGAAGCATCGATGATTAATAAAAGAATGTAGAAAAGCATAAGATGAAAAATAAAATGAACTATTCTAACAGAAATTTGCAAGATAGAAAAAATTTTCGGAAGAAAATGAATAAAAAATATTTGACAGGCTTATTTACCATCTGCAGGGCAGCATTACCATTCGTTTTTGAAACGCTTGTGCTCGTACCACCACCATGTATATAACTTCCGTGATCATTCTCATATGCACCCATATTCATTTTGCATTTTAAATTCAACTGTACTCAAAAGTGTGAACTAAACGATCCAGAAAAAACCTTAAACAATAAATTTCATTAAATAAACAAACAATAAATATAATGGTGCTTGAAAATTTCGTGCATAGAGTTATTAAATAAATTTTATCATTAAAACGTAAACTCAAAATTAACAAAAATTTGCGATACGAAAAATTTCCGAGACTTGTTATAAATTTCTCACCCCTCATTTTTTTCAGTGATAAGACATAAAAGGTAAAAGAACAAAGAAGATCCAAAAAAACACATATATTGCGCAAGAATTTATAAATTATTGAAAAATTCACATATTAAAATAATTCACTGTTCAATATAAACCATTTTATTTCACCAATTAATCATTTTAGTTTTCAATTCTAATATGAAAGGAATTTGCAAATTTTTTGGTCAATTTTGCAATGTTTTTCTCCAAAAATAGTAAAAATATATTACCTTTTTTATCACCTTTTATTTTATTTTATATTAAGAAAATATAACAAAATGATTAAAATCCGCAGCTTCTCAGGTTTCAATGCAAACCAAGCAACTTCAAAAGGGAATATAAAATAAAACGTAAAATAAAAAAGATCTTGGTTATCTGGCCCACAGGGAATATAAAATAAAATGTAAAATAAAAAAGATCTTGGTTATCTGGCCTGGTCTTAGATCGTCACCGATAAACGTCGCATGTTTCCCTTTCGTAGCTATAATGTTTCATCACCGGAGAATGCGCATCTGTACTTCGCAAAATCATGAACAACATTAAAACATTACCAGCCCGATTATCAGCGAATATAATTTATAAGGCAGAAATAATTCACCATTTTTTGCAGGTAAATATGATGTATATTGCACAGTCAAACAAACCGTTCACAATTAACAAATCTAATCAATAAACAAATGAGTTGTTACTCTACCGACTATTAGGACTTGGACGGTTGCATCAGAGGCAAACGCAAGAGTGGAACGAGTAGCAAGTTATATGTGAAGCGGGTTGCACGAGTGGCTGAAATTTATCAGTTTCTATTCGTTTTTTCCTTCCAATATTTATAAAAATTATTGAAATGTGCAGTAAATAAACAATTTTCCATTTAATTTTCCGAAAAATCACATATTATCGCTTATTTTTATTAATTATAGAAATATGCAAACGAAAACAACTTTTTTATTGAAAATAAAAGTGCGCAAAGAAATAAATGGAAAAAATATTTTTAAAAAAATAATTTTTTCCGCGAAAATACCGAAAATAAACTAAAATAAACGAAAAAAGTTCAAAAATTCAATTGAATTTTAATAAAATTATACAAATATTTCCGAAATTATGGGGAATAAACTTCAAAGTTTTTCGAAAAATACTTTTATTTAGAAATTAAATAATTAATTATCCATCGAATTAAGAGGACAAAACACAAAAAAACAAGCCAACGCAACAAAAAACAAAACATCGGCCAAACACCTTTCTCACCGCAGAAACTTCTCAGCATGGGAATGATTTTCTACGGCCACGGCCTGAAAATCATCAATTCGCAGCCCAAGCGTTTTCCAAAATTTTTTTCATTGGAAAATTATTTTCCAAATTTGATTTGTAAACGACTGATTACTGCGACTGATTATTGTGATGCGAGTAGCATTGAAATTCAGCACAAAGACCGAGGAAGAAGGCGAAGAAAGAAAGAGATTGAGAGATTTTAACTAATAAACGTCACTTTCGGAAAAGGCAAATTGTAAGAATCGAACTGTTCTTTCATTCCGCTGAAGAAGTATCGTTTAGAAATAGGAAAACTTGAAGAAATGATCCTTCAGTGGTACATTATTTCAAGCATTAACGGTTCGACTTTTCGTACATTCTATAAAAAAGTGAACTTTTATTGTGGACCGACCTATACTTTTATCCCCGGTGACTACTATCTGGTGAAAGAGTCTTACTCGGTTGACTTCTAAAGCTCGCGCCATTAATGATTATGTGCTTCGCTGGTTAGAGTGAAGCGTTTCCGACCTTTTTCTAAAAGCAGCACATTTCCATCGTCTAAGACCATCATCCGTTCAGCACGTCTCGATTTACCGCTCCTTGCTGTCCATCTCAGCAAGAAGATATCCCTCAATTTGTGTGGCATGTGGAAGGGTGCGTTTAAAATAAGTTGTATCGTTACATGCTTATTAATTTATTTGAATTAATCATTTAATTCAAGTTTGAGATGAATAATTTTGAAGCGACTTGTAAATTTGTAAGTTATTGTTCTGTTGAGCCTTATTATAGACAAAACAAAGAGACCTCTGCGACAGAAATGGCTTACACGACAAAATAAAATTAAAGGTGTACTTCTGGCAAATTGGGAATGGTATGGTTACTTCGATTCGTATCTAGCTTCGATTCGGTGCGATGACTTGAGAAAACCTGTTATTCTGGTGTCGGTGGTGCTGGCTACTCACTTGCACTTCTACTGGTGGCTCCAAAAATTCTTCGAACTGATCCCTCAATTCCCTTCTAAAAAGTGAACAGCCGTCGGCTATTAAAATCAATGCTTTCTCTCTGTAAATATTCATAAATAAGGATTCTCCATTAATTCTTGCCAGAATAATCTTAAAGGATCCCTAAGAACTTGAGAATATTAATGGTACTCACTAAGCTTTCATTATTTTTTGCAATTTTGATTTTAATTTTAATGAATGAATGCTTGGCTGAAGCGTGGAGAAATATTTCCATCAAAACTGAAGAATTTTCTACGGTATCGCCTGAGGGCAACAATAAGTGATTTATAGGTTGTACTGACGATTCAAATATTTACAACTGATATATAAGTGGGCCAATACCATTCGAATTTGTATCATTAATCCTATAAGGTGATCGAATTAAACCTAAAGTTTACTGTCAAATATTAAATGCACCAACACACTGACACGCGTAATTTTATCAAAACTTTTACCATAATCCATTTCAGTAAAAATAGTAATTCGACGAAACTTCGAACTTAATTGCACGAAAAATAAACATTTAATACAGAATATTTCTATAACTCTTTAACGCAAAAGCGTATTAAAATATATGATTAAAAAAATTGTAATTAAAAAAATTAAAAAAATCGTAGCGTAAAAAATTTGAAATAACTACTCTAAATGTTGATTTACAAATTTACTATTTATAACTTGATTACATTAAAAATACTAAAAAGAATCAAATATTTATTTGCAATATAAATAACTTTGGAAATATTAAAAGCAAAAAGCAAAATTTGCTGTATTAGCTTTTTTCAAATATTCCTTCCAAAATCTGCCTGATTTTATCAAAATTTTTCCCAAACGCCAGTTAGCCATTTCTATCCACTTAAAAGTTACTTTCTTTAGAACCCATTCTACGCCCTCCATCACCGAAATTTGTGTGTTATATTCTTTTAGATCCACCTTCAAACCCACTAAACCTTGCTTATTTACGTAAAACTTCCTCGAAATCCATTATATCCCTTTCATGATGCTCCAATTCTCTTTTGCCTAATCTCACTAATATCTACTCTGAACATTTTTATATGATCTCATAAAATCGAACGCTTTGACGAGTTTCTGAGAAGTTATTTTTTAAAAAAACAACTTTAACTTAAAGTAAAAAAATCTTAAGTATCGTATTAAAATGTACCATACCTTTTTGTTAAAACCAGTAATAATATCTTAAATTTCCTTACTGAATCGTCAAACTGCTATGGTATTCAAACCTCCTTTTGTAACCCATTAACATCCTCGCAAAACTGGTGAAGTACCCAAAATCTGGGCGGTCTTTGATACCTCAGATTGGTTCTGTGGAAGACCGCTTTAAATGCCTCTTTGACACCACAAAGCTCGACTGCACTCTTCTGCCATAATTCATTTAATTTTAAGCCTCATTTTGCCCATCTAATCCTTCGAAACCCAGTTGTAATTCCTTTCACATCCACTCACTTAATCGCTTAAAGTGCTCCATCCATCAGTTGGACGTCGCAGGCGATATATCGCAAGAATAAGATTGCATGGAGAAGAATATAGGGAATATAGAGATTTCACGAGTTATATTAATAAAGCACGGGCTTTGAAAGAAAACTAAAATGGTATTCTAAGGTTTGAAGATGGCTCTGCCTACCTGTAAAGTGGAAATTTTCACAAATTCCTTTTCACCGTTTTCTTTAAACAGCATTCACTATTTCTGGTTTGTCGTTTTATTAGTCGGATTCCCAGGATGCAATTGTTGTCTGATAATCAAGTAAAGTATAAGCCAGTCTTAAGCGACAGAGAAAGTAATACCTCCTCAAAAGTAGTCCTTTCTTAAGATCCAATTTAACCCCTAACAGTTAACAGCTTTGTTCGCATTAAGAAAACAACTTGTCGTACTCAATCGAAACTGGCGTATCACATTACCCATTTTTTCTACGCGTAATTTATCGCTATCAAAACCTTTATAATATCCACTGTGCTGCTTACTAAACACTGTTAATCTTTTAATGGACATAAGTTTTTGATACAAAAGGCGTCGGATTTGTGGGTTCGTTAAATTTTTGATAGATGTTCGACTCGCGCTGCTTGTTTCTCGCTCAATTAATCCTTGTTCTGGATCGGGTGTCTTTGAGGTATAGGATGAATTTGTTTTTATTTGTAATTTTGCACAGCCTGATTGTTTTCTCGCCTCAAGCAACTGTTTTTTGACGGCAACTCTTTTAACAACTGGTTGTTGCGATCCACCAGGTGGTTGTTGGCACTCACCTGTTGATCGTTTTTTTCCATCATTTGACTCTCCTTCTCCTTCATCAGTATACATCTGCAATTCTTCTCATCTTACTCATAAAATTTTTTTAATAGATATCTGAGCAACCTAACTGAATTCGCGCAAACGCTGAGAAACTGTTCAGATAAAACTTAGTTGTAGCTCCGTTTTCCACTTAATTCGAGGCCATATCGAAAATATGTCTAAATTTCTTTCACCATTTCTGTTGGCTCCACTGATACGACGAGGTTTCGGCAGAGTCATTTGGAAATAAAAGTGGAGATTTCCACCACTATGAACCCACTTTTAATCACAGGTCTGCTTTCATCATGCAACAAAACTCGTGATATCCGATACGTTCGTCTAAGTAACACACCAGTCTACCACCTATTTTATTTATTTTTCTCAATATCACCATCCTTCCTCATTTTTTTTTTTAAATCAAAAACAACGCTTGCTACGATTCTTTCTGTTTTTTACAGAAAAAATAATATTATGATAGATCGGACATTTCCCACAATAAGAAAATGATAAATTGAAAGAGAAATGTCCTCATTGGCTCGTATGCATGATGATAAACACTGATAGGATAGGGCTTTTCCCCGTAGAGATGATCATTCTCCGTATCTACCTTATATAATTTATAATCAGCATGTCTAAAGATTTCGCTCAAGATCTCGCGCTTTTTTATGATCTTTCTAAACAGCAGGCGATATTTCTGATCAATTTTCAGATTTTTGTTCCATAGCGATCCAAATACTTTTTTATCAAAATTTTTCCAATCCATTTCATAATTGTTTAATTAAACCAAAGCCAAAACATTATTTTCCCCTAAAAATATTCATTAAATATTCATATAATTTTAATTTCATATTTTTAAGTGTTTTTTACCAGCGTATACCGGCATAGGTTTATGTACATGGGGAAATTAAACAATTATGACTCTTCGAAATAAAAACTGTTGCTTCCTTTCTCCTAAAATACTAATGATATTATATTCAATATTCAATATTCAATAGACTGAAAACCACTTGCAGATATTCAAAAGGTGGAACAAGTCAGTCCAGAGCATAGTATTACAGGTCTTGAATATGCTGATTATATAGTTCTTTTTGCAGAAAGTTATGAATGAATGCAAGAGAAGTTAGGCAATAAAGTGTGTCGATAAATGCAGCTAAAATCAATGTAAATAAGATGAAAGTCATAGATATTGATAAATATACCTATTTTTATCAGTTCATCGCGGACTGAGAAAGCCAGGCTTTAAAAGCTAAAATGCATTCTTTCATCTGACACAGCCTCTATGGAATCGCTGTGATATCACCATAAGAACAAAAGTTCTTCGTCGTATTTTTTTCTCTTATCCCTTCTTCCTTCTAATCCGCAACTATACAGCCGCAATTTGTTCAATCTTGCTATATGGCTGCGAGATATGTGAGCCAGTGAGAGTGGAAGATATTAAGAAACCTATCAGCCTTTGACCACTCATGTCTAAAGGGTTCGCCGAGCGGATAAAATCTCACATCGCACCCACCTTCGTTCAAATGCCACTTGCATTAATAGACTTCCTTCACTGATTAGGACAAGTTCTTCACTACCATTCACTATTTTTGATTGATATTATTTTTTTTATTTGCTAAATCCTGTATGGCATCAAAAGTGAGGTGGTCTCTAACCAAGATCTGAACTGACAGTCAGGAAAGAGTATGAACGTATAGGAGGACCATCGATATATGGATTTAAACGGTGGAAAAAAGAATGAGTTCTACTACTATCACCGATGGCATAAGACCGCGCCGCTTGGAAATGTTTTACCCTAATAGCCAGTAAGCCAGCTTAACCAATAATGGTGAGAACTGTTAGGAGATTTCGAGAATTCTTTGTTTACCATGTAAGGCTAAAGATAATTAGTAAAACATTGTATCTTTATGGCCTATTTCTTTTTAAGGAAATAATTTATGAAATTTAATAATAAAAGATATACAAGAGACCACTAACTATGCACATTCATATCAGTACATTCAGTACATTCACTGCATTTTAAAATTAATAAAAATGAAAAACGATAGGCAATGAACAAATAACATAACAATATTCTTACAGACAGAACATTTCATATGTTGAGCTCAATTATTAAACATATTATGATAAATAAAAATAAAACAGCCTATCTTTTATTATTAAATATTATAAAACAATATTATAACAATAAGAGATCAAAAAAATTAATAATAATAATTAAAGTAAAAATGTCAACGATATTAATAATATTTATATGAATGTTTATTTTTCTATTTATAAGAAAAGATGTGAAATCGATTTGCATTTTCATAATAGCACGAATTAATGGTAAAAAATTTTAGAGATCAATTATAAAATCATCAATAATTAATTACATTATACAGTGAGCCTATCTTTTCTCTTCGTTATTAAAAGCAATGTCCAAAAGAAAAAATATTTTATCGCAAAATTTCAACAGCAAATCTTTTCAAAAGACTGTTATACGTATATATATATATTTTCTGAAAATTTATGTAGGACCACTGTATTCAACTGAAGTTATGATTGACTTGATGCAAGTTTCTCAACAACGGCATTTAATCGCCCTTTAGGTGTCGACTTTCTAGATGATGATGCTTTTGGTATGTTTGTGTTCAGAGAGCTCGATGTATTACTGCTTCCTATCATAGATGACGGAGAATTCAGTAATAATGAAGAATCAGTTGTGAGTAGAGACTGCATTTGTTGTAATTGTTGCAACGCTGTTGAAGGATTTATGAGAGAATTTAACACAGGATTCAGAATATCTTTTGAAGACGCCTAAATAACTCAGCAGTATAATTTATAACTCAGCAGTATAATTTTAGATAATATAAGAAATAAGAAATATTTTTTAAACTTACTTTGACTGATGGTGTTGATACTGAAGCAGCCGCAAGCATTGCATAAGGGTTGACAGGTCCATATGCGCCTAAGCCTAAAAGACTTTGGTTCATTAGTGACTGTTGGAGCATCATGTGCATTTGTAAAGCTTCTAATCCAGCTGCATGTGAGAGAGACGATGCAATCGGTTCACCTCCTAATCGATCTGCGTATGATTTTGGCAAAACTGTCTGAAAATATATTTTTTTAACTAAAAGTTTTATTACTAAAAGTTTTGCAAATTTTCACAATGCGTAAATATAAGCGTTTACATGCAATAAAATGAAAATATAAATGATAAATACCGTTGCAAGATGAATACTGGAAGAGTGCACATTACAATCTGGATGCTTATCTAGCCACAATTGTAGATTTTTGATTGAAGGCCATTTGTCTGGTGCTAGAATTATTCCTGTTGATCGCTGATATACAGTAACTGATTGGTCAGAAGCTTCAAGAAGAGAACTTGATGCGGTTTTGCTTGAAGATAGTGCTTTTGGAATTTCTCCAGGCTCAAGTTTAGAGCAGCTTTTTATATCGTTCATTGATTCCTGAAAACTTCACATAGGATAAAAATGGTTTTCAAGAATAAAAATGAGATCAACATGCAATTTAAGATACCTTTAAAACTTCGTGATCAACTGATGAACGTTTTGCATTTAATGAAGCTGAAATATCTCTTTTATTCGCAATTTTTTCTACCGATGCAGTTTTATTGGGTGTTTTTGAAACAGCCGATGTAGCACTTGGACCTGGAGTTTCTAATATATATTTCGGATGAGCTGAAAGCCATTGACCCAAATTTTTGACCTTTGGCGCCTGATCGCCAGTTAATACAACACCAGTATCAATATTTACGACTGGTACTCTTGTTTCTAAAATAATCATTCTTTAACATTTGAATGAATAATAAATATATGTATGAAAAGAAATTTTTAAATGAGAATATACACAGAGAAATATTTTAAAACACAAAAATTTCCTAGTAAATTTCTATTATAAAATTAAAAAAAAAATTGTACCAGGTGATAAGTTTGCAATAGCGAATAATTCCGAGAAATTGAGATTATTTAAAAAATTTGGTGCAGTTGGAGCTGAATTCTTAGCTTGCTTCGTATGATTCGAATCTTTCATGCTTAAATTAAGAACACTATCTGAATCTTGGAAAGTTTTTGTGCTACTAGATGATGAGGATCCAGAAGATGTTGAATTGGGAAAACCAAAAAGATTTGAGAGTGCTTGCTGTGATATGGTCTGACTTGACAGCAAATGTGGCAGAAGAAAAGCGCTTTGAGCCATAACAGCAGCTGCTAATGGAAGTTGTTCAAGCTGAAAATAATCTATTTGAAAAAAGATATTTAATATTTCCACAAAAATTCACTAGAAAATTCCGAGAATTGATTAACAAATGTTCCAACAAACCCTTTGAAGAAAAGACTGATGAGCAAGAGCTCGCATTTTTTCTTTTTCTGAATCGACAAGATCTGTGTTTCCATTGGAGATAGGACACTTTTTACGACCCCTTTTGACGCGTAATTGAGCAGTATTTTGTTCATCGTCTGGAAAATGGCGTACTTAACCATTTAACTATTTAAATAAAAATATAAAATTAACTGACAAAAATTGGCACCGATAAAATTTTCTTATTTTATTTTCACTTTAAGCAACCTGAATCTAACCTGAATCTTCGAGAAGATCAGTTGATGCAGCTCCATTCCATTTTTTAGTTTGTAACGTAGTAAAAATTTCAATAATACGACGAAGCAAGGTCTTTTCTTCTGGTCGTATGATCTTCAATGCCCATAACATAGTTTATTAAAAAATATCATTGTTCATAAAAACTAAAAAGAAAAAATGGGGTTAAATGTTAAAATCAAATCAAATTTAGATTAAATTAAATTTAAATTTATTAAATTTTTCAATTATTAATTAATTACAGATTGAAATGCCGGATGATTAGCAATAGTTCCAGATATGTTGTCAAGACCATTCGAATCTACGGCTGCAAACAATTCTTCATCTTGTTCGACTGACCATCCACTAGGCATTGCTTCACTTGAGCAGAGTTTTAGCAAAGTTTTTTTATCTGCCATTGATTCAGCCCAGTCATGAATTTGTCGCATAAAATTCATTCTCTGCATTAATTTATGGGCCTTTCGAGTTGAAATTGCTTCAACCTTGAAATCATAATTAAATTCACTCTAAAATAAAAACTGAGGAGTGATTCAATTTTTCTACAAGAGATCGACTCTTTTCCAAAAAAGTGTGAAAAATAAATGAATTATAAATTGGAAAGAAAAGAAAATCGATTATTAGAAATAAAAGGATTATTTTTATCGCAGTTAAAAGAATACCCTCATAGCTCTTTGTTGATCAACTGTTGTCATTTCACTTCCTAATTGTTTCGTACACATCGAAAGAACACAATATAACTCCTCCATTAAATCACCATCACTTTTCTTTTCAAGCAGTGGAGATAACTGTCTAAACCTTGTCCAATTTATAATAGTTGACGGATCATCTTTTACGCCATAACTCCGTAATACTCTCATAAATTCTGCTTCTTCTCGTTTCGACCATCTAAATGCCAAAGTTACTGGAACCATGTTTATTATTTCTATACAAAATACAATAAAAAAAAAAGTGGAAAGAAAGTGCGAACTTACATAACAGTGCTAATGGAATCATTCCTTTTGCGTTGAAAATGAGTTAATAATTTTCTAAAGCGAGTGAACAATTCATTAGCTGAAGGAAAAGAGTCAATATTTTTCGAATGAAAGCACAGCAGCTGATCGTTTCGTATAGTTTCATAATTTTCAAAACCTAAAACAATAAAAATTTTAAATATCAATAAAAAAATTTTAAAAGGCAAGTTCTTATAATTTGCACCATGCTTGTGAACTCCAATCAGAAAACTTTTGTCACATTCTGCATCCCAACCAGATACGAAAGCTTCATTAATTTCAACAATCAAACCAATATCTTTAGCATCGGTTCCATTCATAATCGCTTCGCTAAGGCTACCAATTATCTAAAAGAGCCGCGAAAATTAAATAAACTGTAAATAGTAAATTACAATAAATTAAAGAATTCGCGAATTTTTTCATCACCACAATATTCTCGAATATAATGCAACAATAATGCAATAATCTGGCCCATAAATCGCATTAAAAATTGAATGATGGCAAAAAAGAAGAGGAAAAAAAAGATAATAAAAGGTCAAACACTGAAAAAAAACAGTTGGATTTTTAGGATTTCATCTAAAAGAAATCGAAAAAACAAACCTCAGAATTCAAAATATGTAACTGATGCATTCGGCTTAACAGTTTATTGGAATGCCTATGTATATGCCGTTGAAAAGAGGAATCAACAGCAAAAGCAGGAGGATTGAATTCAGGTAGAGCAGCCCAACCTTCATGGAACATTGATGAAAAATTGCTTGTACGCTTTTTTGAAACAGCTCGATTCATTACTAATCCACCTTTAGGTATAATAAGGCGCCAAACGAATTCGCGAATTTTTTCATCACCACGATATTCTCGAATACAATGCAACAATAAGGTCCTGAAGTTGTGTGGATTATTCTAATAACATTTTTTATGATAGTAAATTCAGAATACATTCGAATATTCAACAGATAAAAGAAAATTGTATAAACATTAATGATATAAATTTCACAATAAATAAATTTTTTAATATTAGAAAGCAAATTTTACAAAAGATACCTGGATATATGTTCAATGTCGCTTTCACTTATTCCTTCCTTTAAATCAGAGGATTCTTTCATAATTTTCCACCGACCCCATCCAAATTGAGCAAGTAATCTCTCTACCTCAAATATTAAAAGGTAGCAAGAAAATAATAAACAATAAAAAGACAAAATGGCACAACAGTTAAAATTTGAATGATTATTAAGTCATAAGTTCGACTTTCGATTCCTCTAATCTAACCTTTCTTTTAGAGAATAATTTTTCATGAAGACTGCAGTAGGGATCATAGCCCAACATTACTTCTACTTCCACGTAAATCTCAGTAAGAAAGATCCTTAAAAAAAAGATGTAAATACGAAATGAAACAAACTCGAAAATATTCGCTTTTATTGAATGCAAGTTCATCTGGACGATACTCGTCATCTTCATTGCGTTTTTTACGTTCACTTTTTCGTTCTCCTCGCTTTCGACCTTTAATGCTATCATCATCACTTTCTTCACCACTTTCATCACCTCCTGATTTGTAAACATTTTCCTCGAATCTAAACATTCCTTTACAAGAACGTAAATAAAATTTTTTAAGAGTACCATTGCTGGTCATACTCGTTCCTCTGGCCAAATATATCAGAGATATAGGTGAGTCGTCAGTAGCATCCGATATAAAATATTAACTTTAACCATCCAGAAACACTTTACTTTTTTTAAATATTAGCAGTAAATTTCTTTTATAAGTGTAGTTTCCCAATTTCCACCAATTCAAACTTTTTATCAGTTTAAAATTTCCTCTTTTAAGCCTAATTTTTCCTAATTCCAATTTAAATACCTTTTTTTACGATTCCTTGGCTCTAATACAATAAGATCTTGCTCCGTTTGCTTGAATTCAGTATCGATGTTTGCTTTTTTAGCCCATTTCGACCAAAAATTCGGATCATCAATATCAATATCTTCTCTATTAGTCGAAGAATTGAATGAAGCCTTTGCGAATGTTGATCCCTTAACACCAGCCTAAGAAAAAGAAATGAATATTATAAATTTATAAATTATAAATTTAAAAAGCTGACATGAAAAAAATGAAAAATAACAAATATTAAAGAAATACCTCAAGAGTGATGGTGGTCGTTCTCCTCAAAAGTATTGTTTCAATATCTTCTTCATTAAATTTGCTTTCCTCATTACTTTCTTCCATAATTGCACCATAGGCCCCTTTTTTTAATAATTCCTCAACTTCCTTTCTTGAAAGTTGTTGCTAAAAATAAATAAAATCGACAAATAAAGCAAATAAGATTAAAATGAGACAAATGGATTAAGAAATTAAATAGCGAGTATCCGAAGCAATCTAAAACAACCTAAAAAGCATAGCAACGCATGCATGCAATCGAATTGAAATATAATGAAATAAAAATATATATATAATAAAAAATTCAAAAGTGAACACCGAGTTGTCTTTTAATGCAGTGGTTGATTGCAACACCGCTTTGTCAAGCCCTAGTTTTAAAGAAGCTTTATCGAACATCTCCCGCTCATAAGTGTTGCTCGTTATTAATCTGTATACTTTCACCATTTTAGTTTGTCCTATACGGTGGCAGCGTGCTTGAGCCTAAAACAAAATAAAACAATACTGACAACGCAATCGACAAAGTAAAATCAACTAAACCTGTAAATCATTCTGTGGATTCCAATCCGAATCGAAAATAATAACTGTATCTGCAGCTGTCAAATTGATTCCTAAACCGCCTGCACGAGTACAAAGCAAAAAAACGAAACGATCCGAATCTGAAGATGTAAAATACATCTTTTTTATTATCCATCAATTTTAAAAAGAACTAAATGGAATTTGACGAAATGTTTATTTTAAGCAAGTTAAAAATAATTAAGGTACCCTTTTTGCTGAAGCGATCGATTGCTGTCTGACGCAAATCACCTCGAACATTACCGTCAATACGCTCGAACGTATAACTGAAATACAAAAAAAAAAATCGAAATTATACAATTATTCAATAAAATATAGTTTCAACAATCGGCATTAATAATAAAATAAAAATATTTCACGAAATACTATTAATAGCTAACTTTTGTGTTACTAGATATTCTTCGATAATGTCAAGTACGCGCACCATCTGGGAAAAAATGAGAACTTTATGACCATCAGCTCGCAATTTAGGTAACAATTTAGAAATCAAAACAAGCTTGCCCGAGGACTGAACAAGAGCGTTTTGGTACAACTCATCTTCGCTCCAATCTGGATGAATAGTCTTCAATTCCGACAATATTTGGTCTTCTGCTCCTAAAAGTCAAAATTCGGGTGAAAAAAGGTTTAAGAAAATCTATAATTAAATTCAGACCTTTCAATTCTGCATAGAATGATTTTAAAAAAATGTGATCAAAACATTTTTATATACAAATAGAAATTATTTAAAAATTATATTTACAAATATTAATTTTTAAACTAATTTCTTTTAATTAAATATTTTCAACGAATTAGACAAATCAAACCGTTGATAAGAAAAGGATGATTGCAACACTTTCGTAGCTCCATCATAGCATTCATTAAAGAAGGCATCGAAGAACCTTTGCATAAATGAGAAAAATTTCGCTCCAAAATTGCTCGGTAATATTTTTTTTGAGTATTCGACAACTGAATCTACAATTTAAGATGATATAATATAACAATATGACGGATTTCAAAATTTCTCTATGATTAACTAAACACAGTGAAAACAACACCTCAATAATTGTTTCTTCTTTAGGTTGAAGAGTTTTCTCAACGTCTTCCTTAAGACGACGAAGCATCATAGGTCTAAGTATTTCCTGCAATTTTGAAACTTGATCCTCCGTCTGGCATTCACCAAATTGTTCTAAGAAACTTGCGGAGCTATGGAATTGTTCGGGTTCAAGAAAATTTAATAACGAATAAAGTTCCTCAATGTTATTCTGAAGAGGTGTTCCTGTCAATAACACTCGATGTTCAAACGAGAACGATAATAAACCTGCAAATAATTTTATTTTCATAGTAGAATATTCTTTTAGTCTTGGTATAAATTATATATACAAAAAATCGACCTCCTGTTAAGAGTTTACAATTTCGATTTTTAAGACGATGTGCTTCATCAATAACACATACGCGATAATTAATTACTCTGAGAAGTTCACAGTCACTGACAATCATTTCAAACGTAGTTATTAAAGCATCAAACTTTACAGTGCTTTTTTTATGAAGCTGAAAAATTATGCAATAAACAATATAACGATATAACAATTTATTTGAAATATATCTACTATCATTCTGAAAAATTGAAAAATAAGATCAAGTACTGCATTAACCAGCCTTATTGTCATTTTGGCGATAATAGAATTCATTTTCTTGTATCAACTGACGGCTAGCTGCACTTCCATGATATACAACTGTGTTCATATCAGTCCATATACCAAATTCGCGTTGCCAATTATGGACTGTAGAAAGAGGAACAACAATCAAAAAAGGACCATGTAAACCATAGTCATATAATCGCTGCAGAAAACATATTGTCTGTACAGTTTTTCCCAATCCCATTTCATCTGCTAATATACAATTTTGTCTGCAATAAATAAAAATTTCAAAAATCGTTCAAAAATTTGAACAAGATGAAAAATTATTTTTTTAAAGTTTAAAGTTTCAACTAATGAAATTGATTAAATCTAATCTTAATCTAATTACAAATAAATCAACAAATAAATTAAATAATTATATTAAATTAAATTTTAAAAAACAAACTTATAAAAATAACAATACAGCAACCAATTCACTCCTTCAAACTGATAATCTCTTAAAGTATTATTGTCTTTGAATGCTAAATCCTCAGGAATTTTTCGCCATTCCGATGCTGACGGTCGTTGCATTGGTTTCTAAATAGATTTTTTTAGTTTAATAAAATCCTCTGAAAGTAGCGGATTGTATGGTTTTTCGCCCAATTATTATTGCTTGTCAAGCATCGGTTCATGATTCGGCCTTGATATTTTACGAAAATAAACCCAAAAGAGAAATCGTGATGGTTTAATTTTAAATGACTTAACAATAATTCACCCGAATAATACTCTCACGAAAGAGAAAGAGCCAAAGACCCAGCCGGTGTGGCAAATTTAATCAGAAATGGTGAGAAAAGTACAAAAAAACAACAAATTACCACTTTGAGTTGATCTAAGGTGTTGTATTTTTTGTATAAATCAAGTTTATCCTTAGGCACAAGATCAATAGTTTCCCAAGTAGCATCTTCATAAGGCAGCGATCTCCATTTGACAAAAGCTTTTTTTTCGTTTTCTTTACTATTTTCATCACCAGTAGTCATATCCAATACTCTTTCAACAATAATAAAATCACTATTAAAATGCTCTTCTTCCTAAAATTTTTTTTCGGAAGTATTAAAAAAAATTGCCAAAAAATTACGGCACAAATATGGAAAGATAAAAATCGAAAAACCTGATCAGAACTATGAGATCTTTTCTGGAGGAAACGTTTGATTTTAGCTGCTGCTCGTTTATCACCTGATTCTAGTTCTACTTTATTTTTCCATTCACAGTGTATATATGACCTATATGAATCCATTGTTTACGACTTTTTAAAGACATTTTTTTACCGAAACGAATTATTATCGAAAAAATCTAACAACTGGACAATATTTTTCTTACTTGTTTTTATATTTCACATAAAATTTATCAGGTTCTTTTTTGCTCCTTTTAATACTTATGATTTTGTCGATAATAAATTCACTTTGCTCTTCCTAAATACAATTAATAAATTAAGAAAAAAAAGAAAAACAAAATATTAAATTAATATGCACCACATAAAATGTTGGTAGATAGAGAAATAAAAAAACCTTTTTCATTTCCTTAGCCTCACCATCACTATCGCCAATTTCCTCATCCATTTCATCCCATTTCGCTTGCAAATTATAACTTTTCCTTTCCGCACCTAAAGTACGTCCAGAACGGCGCTTCTATAATAGGAAATTTATTAATTTAACAATAATTTAAGTAATTATAATAGGACTATTAAAATATAAAAAATAAATTACTCCAATTAGGAAAACCATTAAGTACGTGAAAAATATATTTTAAGCATAGAATCAAAATTTTGTTTCAAAATTTTTAAAAATATTGCAACAAAAATGTAAACAATATATACAAAAAATTTTCAAAGTTGAATTAGGAATTCTGTTGAATTATTATTATTATTCCAACTAAGATCAATAAAGTTATTATTACAACTAAGAATAAAAAGAAAAGCATAAGAGTTCGATTTCTGTTACTTTAACAGATTTCTGTTACTTAATGAAATTAACGATGAAATCGAGATGCAGCTCGAGATACGTCTGCACATCTATTCCTAAGGTACCCTTTAATGAAAAAATTTCATCTTAGTAATCAGTGGAGCCAATAGAACCAGAAATGATCATCAGTGGAGTTTTATTAAAATAACTTTATTACTTTAATCTGTACCTCAGTATGGATAACAGGTGCCTCATTTTCATATTTCTCTTTTCGTTTCCTTCTAACTGGCTTCCTTGGTCTAAAAATATTAAAAAATATTTAACCAGAAATCAGAAATTGTAATAAATTGTAATAATCAGATATTGAAATTGTAATAATCAGAAATTGTAATAAAATAAAAAATATTGATAAAAATATTAGGGTTCGTTCGTTTGAAAAAAACAAAAAAAAGAACCTTTTAGATTCCGGAATAAACTCATCATCCTCTACATCATCTGAAATTTCACTATCTTTTTGTTTTCTTTTTCTATTGATTGTTTTTTTGTTTAGAAGATTCCTTTGTTTTGAAGATCCAATTCCTATCGCCTTTTCATTATTCCTTTCATCAGCATCATCTGTTTCAATATGGTGAGATGGTTGAGATTCATCTTTGGATATTTCAGACGCTGTTGCCTCAACTTTTCCTTCTTTTATCAAATCCGATTTATTTTTTTCATTACTCATTTCCAACGATTCCTCACCAACATCAACCATTTCTTCATGAATTTCTTTTATTTCTTCTCGTTTTAAAGAATTTGGATTAGGATATTCTTTCTGAGATATTTCATCGGTCTCATCACTTGCTTCCATTATACTAACATTCTCATTAATTTTTTTAATGCTACTTAATTTAGTATCCAATTCCATTTTGCTGAGAACATCATCATTTAGTTGAGCAACTTCCATTTCTTTCGTTTTCTCTTTAGTAGTAAATGTGACAAAATCATTTATTTTTTCTTTGAATTCTTTTCCTAACTCATGCTTATTTATTTCTTCATTAATTGTTCCTTTACTCGCATCAATCGATTCATTCTAAAAATCCAGTGAAAATAAAAAAAACAACAAATTCATTATTTTTCGCTTGAAAATAGAAGTATGATCCAGGAAAATAAAATAGGAAATCAGAGTGGCGACTCACCTGTATTTCTATCGCCAAGAAACTCCCTAGTGCGATAAGCCAGCGCAACAAATCTAACCAGTGATGCTGAGGGATCTCAAAAATAAAAAATAAAAAAATTTCAGTAATATTACTTACAGTCTGAGACAACAGATCGCGATCGAAAAATTTGCATTTGATCGAAGATTTAGCAGATATTTGTGGATTTGTTGATTCAAGCTGTTCTCTATTATTCTTCTGTGGTGACAAATGATTTATAACACTATCAGCTTTATTCACTTGAATAATATTAGGTTCTATCAATCGAGCAGTTTCAGCTGACGAAGTTTCATTTTCAGCAATTTGAGAACAAACCATATTTTGTGCAGGATAACATAAAGACGGCTCTTCTAATTGAGCATTTTTATTCGATACTAATATTGAATGAGTACGTTCATTTGAGCAGGTATTATTACTATTACTAATAGACTGTATGGGATTAGAAATATTAACGCTATTATTTCCTAGCGAATCGACAAATGATGTTCGCAACGATGAAGGTATCGGTTCGGGTGGTATGCAATCCTTAAATGCACCATTTTCGTCTTGTGGTATCCATTCTTTTAGAATACTAGTGTTACCAGAATGAGATTGAGGGTTCTGCGTTGCGCTTGAAGGATATTGATGATAAACGCTAATTAGTGTATGTCCAGGAACATCAGGCTTTATATTCACCTGAAGACTTACAAACAATTTAATAAGAAATTTTAATCTTTTGCGCGATTTTCTCTGACTGATTTAATTTATACATATATATTTAAGATCAAGTTAGAAGGTAAAAAAAACTTCGGTTTTTTATTTCAATGGATTTAACCCCTCAAACTCCTCTTCTCTTGTTTTAAAAAATTTGTGGATTTTCTATTTCATTGACAGCAAAACAGCGCTCATCGATATAATGAAGTGAGAATTAAATTTTAAAAAAAATTATTAGATTGCAGATGCCATTAATGAGAGGTTGGTGAAGATGCAAAAATGGAAGAAAAAGAAAAAACACAAATGAAATTAACTGTCCGTATCAATACCATACCAGTGTTTCAACAATTTTTTTTTCTCATAATGTTTACTTGAACAATTTTGATACAAATAAAGAATTTATAATAAAGAACATATGAAGAATTTACTTGTACTTCTGAACCTCGTTGCATAACTGATACCGGTTGCTGTTGTTGCTGTTGTGGTTGTTGATGCTGTTGTTGCTGAACATTTTGTTCAGGAAGTTTCTGCGGCGTGGCACGAAAATCAGTCATTGAACATCTTTGTAAATATTGCAAACGTAATTGCAATTGTTCAATTTGCTGTGATGCTTGTAGGTTTCTATTTGGCATATCGTACATACTTTGTAATTGTTGCTGAACCTAAAAATAATAGTAAAATGCTAAAAATAATCCTTAATAAATAAAGAATATTTAATTTAAAAAAAAATTTAATTTTTAAGAGTGTTTAAATAAAGAACCTAAGAACCTCAAAAAATCCGAGTTGTAATGAAGAGACACCTGTGCTTCTATCACTGATTCCCGACCAAAAATTTCGAGCCATAACCAGAGAAGCGAACAGAAATGGTGGACATTTTAGTTCTACTCAATTTTTTTGAATTTACAAAAAAAAGAAAGATGAGGAAACCTGTTGTATTTCAATTTGTATATTACTCGAATAATTTTGCTGAGGTCGACAATGTTGTTGTTGTTGCTGATGCCATTCATTTGAATCGTGATGTGGCGGCGCATATTGCTGGATCGGCTGTTGTTGCTGATGTGGTGGAACCGCTTGTGCTGGTCCTGTTGGCCCTGTTAGTCCTGTTACTGCACCTAACCCCGCTGGTCCTCCTAATCCTGCTGCCAGTCCACTTGGTGGTGCTAAATGATTTGATTGCGGTGCCCTTCCATAATATCCTTGATCCACATAATATTGTTGTTGTTGTTGTGGCTGTACTGCTGCCGAAGAATTCGGATATCGGGGAAGTGATTGATAATTCTGATAATACTGTAACATTCGTGGATCATGCTGCTGTGATTGATAATACTGATGAGATGGCACTGGTGGTGATGCTCGATGCCCATAATGTATTTGTTGGTGTTGATGATGATGCTGATGAAGATGATAATGGTTCGGTCTATACTGCTGTTGTTGCTGATACCAATGTTGCTGTTGTTGACTATATGGATCATTCGCAAGTGCTGCTATATTTCTCATATTTATATCACTTATTGCCGGCTGCTGTTGTTGCTGCTGCATATTTATTGGCCTCATATGTGCACTCATCATTGGATTTTGTGATAAAGCGGTCATATTTTGCATCGGATTTGTTGTCATATATGGCTGTCTAACTGTTCCTTGATTTGATAAAATATTTGATTGCAAGCCTGGTGCTATTCCGGAAATTAATTGCTGTTGTTCTTGCACCATTTGTTCACCAATATTTACCGTATTTTTGCGTCTTCTTGTTGTTTTTGGCTTTTGCTGTTGTTGTTGCTGTTGTTGCTGAATACTGAGCTGAGGATTTAAATTAATTAAATTATGTTGCCGAGATAAATCATTATTTAGTTGAAAATTATTATTACTGCTGTCATTACTATAATTGACATGTTGTAACTGCGTTAAAGCATTTAAATGACATGGAATACGTGAATTTGTCGCACTGACCGTTGATACGTTTAACGGCGTCACATCACTAAATACATCACTTTGCGCCGATGCAGCATTATTGTCGATTAATGTATAATCAATTTGTGAGATCTGTGGAACATATTCGTCACCTTCATCCATTTTTTAACATCTATAGGCAAGAAAATATTTAGAAATAAAAAATTGTTCATTTAATTTGTATAAATTTCATTAAATATAAAATCGTCACGAAAAAGGAAAACTGATAAATTTAATTTTAAAGTTTGACCGGATGGCCCCTGGTCACCACCACTCTCACCCGATTACCGCTGGTCACCACCACTCTCACCCGATTACCGCTGGTCACCACCACTCTCACCCGATTACCGCTGGTCACCACCACTCTCACCCGATTACCGCTGGTCACCAGCACTCGCCAAATATTGCCAAATGACCAACAAAAATTTCCTCGTTATTCTTGTGGCAAATCTCCAATGAGTATTACTAATCAATCAAATTTTAAATAATTTCAAAAAATATAAAGAAAATTTTGGAATTTTTAGAATTTTATTTTAAAATTCTAAAGTGTTTTTCCGAATTAAAAATTAAAAAGTTTAAATAAAAGCAAATATAAATAAATTTACATTTTAAATTTTCAATAAAAATTATTCTTAAAAATTATTTTTAAATTGAAAAATAAAAATTTTAATAAATTTTAATTGTAAAGCGATTTTTATTAAATATTTTTACTAAATAAATAAATTTTAACTAATAAAAATAAAAAAATAAACAAATTCTTAAAATTAAAAAAAAACGAGGAGAAATTTCGAGGAAAAATACAAAAACGGGAAAACGAGAAGAGAGAGCCTTAGAAAATTCTCCATTATTTAGTGCACAATATATTATTAGAGACTATAAGATTGGTGGAGAGCAGACGGACAGAATCGCAAAAATAGTGAGGGATTATGGAGTGCGCAGAGATGAGCAGAGAACCGCAACGCATTTGGTTATATGCGTTTCGTTTATTACCTTTGATTATTGATATTTGCGGTACTCGGATAAAGTTATGTGAGATTCTCTTTGCATAGGCGTAAAATGGATGGGTGGTGCGGTGCCTATTGTTCCGGAGGAGCGGACGTAGGTCCTTTGAAAGAAATTGTGGTCCGAGCCGTAGACTCCCAGTCGGCATTCCGCAGGCATCGAACCTTCTCGGTCGAACGACCTGCAATTTCGGCCTCAACTGTTTGACCTTAATTCAAATGATATATGCAGAAAGAAGAGAAACTGTTTAACTGTTTTTTAGAAGCTCTCCAGCATACATAAAATTATCCCCGCCGACCCTACCCTACCTATCCTTTTAATGTATTTCCGGTCTCGCGATTAACTCTCCTTTGGCTGCATTAATTCATCTTTCTATTGAAATTATAAATTTCTATTATGATTATTATTATTATTGAACTATAAAGGAAATCGAGACAAGAAATGGTAAATGGTACCGAATCCTCGAAAGGGCCAAAAATGGCCAAATGGCCTGAAGTTAAATGAGAAAAGAAGTGAAAAACGCAAGTTGCTAATTTCGGTTTTATTGAAAATGGGCCAGGTCAATGTTAAAAAAAGACAATAATGCACCTTTCTGCTGTTAATTATGTTTCCTCTGCAATTATCTGCATTTGGTATGCAACTGTGCAGCTATGCAACTGTGCACCGTGCATGAATGCATCGTTTAATTTGCATTCTATACGATATGTCCGCGTCCATTTTATCATTAGGATAAGGGAATTGCTTAACGTTTTTGCATTTTTGGTTCCTTTTCTAATAAAGAAATACTTTCTGTGCGCCATTTGAAAAATTTGTTCATTAAGGCTTGGTGACTGCTCAGATAATTCTTTCGATTATCATGGACGTGAACAAATATGCCGAATGGTGTATTGGTGTCACTTTCCATCACCAAGTCTCTAACTCTATGCCAGAAAATTTCGAATTGTGTTAACCAGTGGGGGAAACCTAATCAAAAAATATAATTAAGTATTGGTAATAAAATAGTGCAGAAAGAAATTAGGGGTTAATTAATTAAGGAATTAAGGCAACAGGAATTTGAAAACACACATCCAGTGACCTTTTGACCTTTCAGCACTATAAATGATGAGAGAACTGATATTTGCTGCTCATCTATTGATCCTTGTTGTATGTTGTCGCTTGTCGCTTTTCATTATAGCACATAAATAGTTGTTTTTACCAACTGATGATTGATTATTGAACGATAAATGAGCACTGGTACCATACATTTTGCCATTGCATAAGTAGGCACTTTTTTAAAGAAAAAGAGTCAACAATCTGGATTGATGTTTGCCTGATGGACGATATTACGCAGGGCAAGTTGAGGACCGGTCAATAGAGAGTTCGAATGGTCTAGGCTGGCTTGGAGAAATGGAAGAAATGGATTTCAGGTATGGGCCGAAACGGAACCCCCGCAGCGCACTCGGCCAGTAATTGTGCGCACTGCTAGCAGAACAGTATAAAAGTGCTCATCGTCGACACCATTCATTCACTTTGGAAGAAATGTACATATAGATTCAGCACGCAGTGCGTATTTCAAAAATAACAGTTTAGCAAAAATCAAATTACAATATTGCATCAGCGAAATAAATACGGCAATGAATCAGTATTTGTTGGTTTTGTTTTTTAATGCAAATTGCAAATTAAATAATGTTTTTCATTGAGCAAATAAATATTTTTTTAAGTATTTAAATACAAAAAGTATGTGAAAGGAAGAAAAATATTTGTAAGCCAAAAATCTCTTAAAAGCGATTAGTGACGCCTTTACGAAGAGCAATAATCGTATCCTCTTCGGAATCGTCGTCGCTGGATTCGGGATCGTCGGTTCTTAATGGACGAAAACCCTGAAAAATGTTCATCAGGTTGTCACTTGTCATTGTTCGAAGGACAAAATTGCTGCGTTTGGAATTACTGCGTTATTGATATTCCAACACTCAACCTCAGTTATCGGATCTAACAGTTCCCTAAGCTTATCAAATAGGATCAATGAAGCGGAATTCGCATTATTTCTTAAATTATTATTAAATGAAAGCATAATCGTTCGACTTCGCTCTTTGAATTCGGCGGACTTCTGTCGACAAATTATTTTCTCCTGTCGCATGCTACTAATGAAACGGAGTTGAGCAGGAACACTAACTGCTAGCCGCTTAACCGACACCACGCAATTGCAATTTTAATTCGTAGAAGAATTGATAAAAAACGCATTGAAAAAAAATTTACTGCTCGATCCAAGACGGACTGTTGATGCATCCTTCTTATGAATTTCTTTTTTCGAAAAACACAAAACAGCAAAGAGAAAAAAACACTTGTGATAAGTATTGCGAAAATGAGGAAATTGGCCCACGTTGCTACGTTACGATTATTTCCCACAGTGGTGCGAAGATTATATAAATCGGTTGGTTGTTTCGTTGTCGACTGACTTATCGCAGTTTTGTAAACGAACTGAAGAAGACGACCACCATTTTTTTCACCTAATTCGCCAATATAAATGAACTGCTCATCGGGTGAAATACGTATAATATGTGGTCGGTTAAAACTGTAATTGGTAGGCTTGAACGCGAATTGCACACGAACTGAATCTGCATGTCCAACAAATATTTGCATTTCGACGTTTTGGTAGTCTGATTTGCCAGGAATAAAATATATCGCTCCATCTGTTTAAATTTTAATTAAATAAATTTTATAAATTAAGTAAAGAAAAAATAAAGAAAAAAGGTTGGAATCGAATTTTTTATCGAAAAACTATCGAAGACAATAAATCCATTTTTCATGGAATTTAACGGCAAATAAACAAATAATCAAATTACTATGATAATGCGCTGAATAAACATTCAGGAAGAGCGTTCTATTAGATGGATTCGTAAGACTTCCAATAAATTGACCATTTGGACGATAGATTTGAATTCGAGCATTTTCACGGTCAGCTATATAAAGGGATGAACCATCTTCGTTGGAAGTTATATCGTGAGGTATTGCAAACTGGTTAAAAGATGAGTGCGCAATAAAATTTCCTGTGAAACAACAAATTATGATTATTTGGCTGATCGAAATACTCTTTTGGCGAATTGGCTGCAGAAACTTATCTATTAACAGCAGCTCTTGTCTCCGATAAGGGTAGTCCTATCATCAAAAAAACAGGGTGACACTTGCGACACTCACAGGTGACACTCACCTATATTTTTAGTGCCAAGTCCCTGACAAAAATTTCTGGTCCTAATATCCAGGTGAATAAGCCTGGCGAGAAATGGTGAGTGTTCACCATTGTAACGGGTGGAACGAATCTAATGAAAACAGTCTTAGATGCCTCAATTTTAAGTTACAGTGTGTTAATCGAATATTTTTTCGAAATAAACCAACCATCAAAATCTTGCCCCCATTCAGAAATGTATTCACCATTCGCATTAAATCTAACAATTCTACTGTTGCAGTAACCATCAGCAATAAAAACGTTTCCATCGGGTGTAGTTACAACACCAGTAGGTTTACAAAAATGATTACGATCAGAACCAGGAACAAATTGCTCACCAAGTGCATAGACTAATTTCAACTGGCCTAAAATTTCAGAAAATGAAGCAAGGGAGGTAAATCTGAAGCAATAAGTAAGTGAATGAATTACCATTCGACAGCTTCCATTTTATAACTTGGTGAGAACCAACATCGCTCGTATAAAAATCATTGTTATGATCTACGAAAATCGCATGAGGTAAATAAAACCTAAAAACAAAAAATCTATACTGACAAAACTATCCAGATCTTAAGGGGTCACCATTAAAGTTGCTCGTTCTACTGGCTATTAGTATGGTACATCCTTTGCAGAGTTACTTAGGGATAGAAGCACATGTGAAATGGTTCTTCAAGCAAGAAAAACTTTTTTAATAACAATTTTACTCCTGCAAGGTGCTTAAAATGATAATCCCATCAGTAACACTATTATCCAAAATACTTCATTAGGAAAGAAAACTTACTGATCCCGGCCATATTTAGCGTTTAGTAGAAGACGCTTACGGTCCGAACTGAGTTTCATTACGAAAATAGTATCTTCATTTATGGCTTGTTGATAACGAAGATTATTAGCATAATCAAATGTGCTAAATTTTTAACTGTTAATGTGAACTACAAAAATAATGGTTGAATAATGGTTAAAATAAAACATAACTAAACACTTGTTTCGAATTTCAAAATAAGGGAATAAATAAAGGCAAAATGATGGATTATTGACTTTTCGTCCCATTTTCGAGATGCACGATGGAGAACAACGAGGTTGCCGTAAGGATCGAAGGATAAGCCAGTTATTTCACCAAATTTTATACCTTCAATTTCCATCAGTTTTAAACCTTCGGTAATACCTTAAATAGCATCATTTATCTCAAATCTTCTCACAAAAATACCAAAGAAAAGTTGGAGTATAGGAAAAACTTCAAAATTACTAAATTTCCCAATCACCCAGAACACATTAATTAAGCAATAAAAGGATTTTTTGCTGCAAAAAGAGAAAAAAAAAACAAAGAAATCATGGAATATGGAACGAAATTAAGAATAAAAATATACCAAAACGTTTGGAGCTTTGATGCGCTTTTTCTTCTAATTCTGGATGTGGAGGAAGTAAAGATACTCCTTCAGCCGGGTATTCCTTATCGATAATTTCTTTTTCCTGTTGTAATGGGCAGACTGCTTCGAAAGAAAATGGATTCATCATATTAGCATCCCAGTAAAACATCATATAAAAATTACACATCTCATCAGCACCAGTATTTCTGGAAAAAAGAGGTTACAATGGACAGATTTAAAAAATGCTTTAAAGCGTGTAGCATGCTTGCTAAGAGGGGAACTAACCCCATGTAAATGACTTTCTTCAGTTGCGATGAATCGTAAACACAAGTTGCAGCCATGAGATCTCCGGAACTAATCGTTAAATTAGCTTTTATCGGTTCAAATAATTGTGGCCACTGAGGATTTCGTTTTCCAATCATAGTCCACCCTTTCTTAGGATTTTTATAAAATGCTGATATTACACGACCATAGCTATGTGCATGAGTACGAAATGCAAAAGGATGCAAATCGGTTTCGCCACTAAAAATTCAATCTTTAAATTCTGGCATTTTATGAGATCTAGAAATAAAAAGACAAACAGCAATCAAAATATTTCAGCCTTGCATCAGATTTTTCTTTGGACATTTTTTCTCTTGGAAAAATTATAACAGAAATTTGGTACAACGATTTTACTTGTAAATGCAACTAATATTAGTCTGATAATGTGCAAATCCTGGCATTATAGGGGATCCAGAAACAAAAAGATAAACTGCAGCCAAATATTTTGGCCTTGTATCAATCATGTGAACAACGACACCCGAATAATCTAACACGTTTCCAATAAATGGATGGGCATAATGCATCTGAAACATATTCGATAATCGACAGAACGATAAAACCATCAATTTTTTATCAAAATTTTTAATAAAAGTCACAAATTCCCATTAATTCTCCGGCGAAAGGATCGCAGATAACAAATCGCAATTGCTAGAAAGGTTGTATGTTGTGAAAATTCCAGAAGACGTAAATTTATGGAAAATCGTCAACGGATTATATTAGATAAAACGGCCAAGTTTTACACTAATTTTCGTGGATTTTAAATCCCTTATAACAACTTATCCAAATTATCCATGGAGACGGTGATCTTTGATGTCATAGATTGTTAAACTGGACATTTAGCCTTGACCTTAAAATTGCTTTAAGAAATTGCACAGAAAAACCTGTAAGACGAGATATCTAATATTATCGCTAACATGACCAACACTAAAAGCAACATCATCAGGAAGACGCAGTTCCGGAGCTGAAAAATTAAATGAACCGAGATCTTTTAAAGAGAAATATTATTAGTTTGACTTTAAAAAAGCATAATTTGGAGGAAAAGAATGACCATTGCGGGCCCAAGCATAAAGTATATGAGTGACAGTATTCGCATCACAAGTTGCAAGACCTTTCCATAATTGCGTATTCTTTGCTGGGGTAGTACATCCAAAAAGTAGCATATGGTGTATGCGATCTGCTTGCGCTACTGGTTGAAAACTTACTGAAATTCTTAAAATTAATAGATAAAATTTACCATACTATGGCAAGAAAAAAGCAAGCGCTCCTGGCTATTCTTGGTTAGGCTTGGCTGTTAGTACTATTAAAAACTTTTTTTAATGAGTCATTTGGCAAGGTAAGTTCGAGTGGGCCGTACACTCAGATTACAGGCCTACTGGGCGTAGGAGCCGAGCCGTTGCCTCTCCACACGATAGGAAAAATTTCACAACCCACTCGGCTATTCAACCGCTCAACAGCAAAAAAAATTAGCGCATCCCCACTAATAAAATCAGCGTTTTTCGACAAAATAGTAGAAAATGGTTTTATTATTATTCTTATTGTTATTATTTTACTCGATCTCTACCAATCAATCACCATTATATCGTTTTATTAACCCATTTTATGATTCTTCTTTTTCAAATTCACCATTTCTAGTTCGGCTGGCTCCACTGATATTAAAAAGAATGGGATTTGCCAGAGGAACACTCTGGGAAATAGGTAAGGCCGCAGCATCATTTCAATAACATTTTAACGTTGCATTTACTGGGGTCAAACGAAGGGAACTACGGTGGTTTAGTTAAAGCCACTTACCTATTTTACTCGGCCGGCTCGGCCGCTTACGAATTGATTAATTTGGTGAATTTGATAAATTATATGTAAATAATAAATGATCTTTAAAATATTTATGAAATAAAGTAAATAAAACTTCGCTATAAATTCATTTCCAGTTTCTATTATTATTGTAAATATTATTCACTGCCGTGATGAGGAAATTTTTTTCAAAAGTAGTAAAATTTAATTTAATTAATTTAAAAATTTTAGACGAAAATTGCAAAAAAAAAGAAGAAATCAAGAAGGGGAAAATAAAAACGAGGAAATTACAACAAAAAATTCATCCTAGGAGAAATAAAATCGAAAACTAAGTAAATAAGTGGATAAATAAGAGGGGTTAGTGCTGTGCTCATCGTTTCTGCTTAAGCTTGTTCCGCTAGTTGTTGGTACGATTAGAAAATTTTTCCAGAAAGTCATTTGGCGATAGAAATACAAGCGGGCTACCATTTGGCCATTTTATATCAGAAGCAGGAGCCGAACCCTTACCTCCAAAAATACGGTTATCACTATCCATTTGATTATCTTGCTTCTTCGAATACTAGAAAAATAATTCCAGATTTTCGGAAAAAAACATGAAAGTTTTCTTAACAGTAGGAAGATAATGCTAATCGATAGGAACTAGTATCAATACTGCCCAGTGAAATCACTTTTATCATTCTTTTCAGCGTAAAACCGATTCTTTTTATTCAATATATTCCTGTGTGGTCCACTGGATGACTTTGATATTTCTATTAAATTTTTTTGATTTCTTTATCTTGAAAAAAAGAATACCAATATATCCAGGCTCGACTTTCAGGCTTGTTGCCACATAGTCGTCATCCTGAAAATAACCCAGATAACACCAAAGATTACTGCTACTTACGTTTTTCTGCAAATGTTACTGTATTTATAGCTTTTCCCACTTATTCTGTGCAATAAAGAATACGATAATCATAAATATTATAGTAAACAACAATACGAACTCGAATGGCTTTTATCTTCATTGGTAATTAGTACTATTTAATAGCAAAACAGGTGAGTGGAAAGTGGTTTCAGTCACCGACTGGCTTCATCACAAAAACTTCTTATCTCATTTTTAAATAGAAAGTGAGGCGATCTAAACCAGAAATGCTGAGCGCTAACCACTTAAATACTTACTTCAATAGAGGACCTAATCAGTTTAATGAAATTTGAATTATATCCTCGTCTCACGCTTTTCCTTCCTTTTTTCATTTATATATTAATGGCCCGTGGTAGTCTTTGGCACTTACAGTACACCTTTGTTTCTCGTAATTTAATCATGGAAATAAGAATTCATTTTTTTGTACAATTGTACAGCTTTTGCAGTGAAATAGCAATTGCACAGATAGATGGCGTGAACGATAAGCCTTCTGCACGCACTGCACGCACAATAACTGCACGTTCGCGAAAAAAGCGCAATATTTTTTATAATTTTATAAAAAACGAACTAACAATGTCTGGTTTATATCCATTCATTTGTATTGTTATTTGCCGAAACTGTTTTGGATACCTCGCAACCGATATTCCATTTAATGTTTTTAATAATATTAATAATAAAAATTGTTGTAAATAAATCATTTAATATAAACAAATAATTTCCTTGAAAATAGAAGAAATAACACGGCAGCAATACTTCATTCGACGAAATTGCCGAATGATGATGACTGCGGATGACGACAACGACGATGTCATCAAATTTTTCGCGGACAAATAAAATTCGGTTGCATTGTATCGAACTCTCACGAAGCTTGTATGAGCTTCAGAAAACCCAACATTTTCTTTTAAATTTCAACTTCAATTTCGAAATCCATGTGTTTGTGGAAAGTAGGTGGGGGTGGGGGGTGCGTTCCTTAAAAACCCTCGCCCTGCATCGCGAACCATTCATTTGAATTTTATAAAATATGCGTCAATTCCTAGGGGATGAAAAGGATATAGCCTGCTTTAATTAGGCGATCATTTATTAACGCTCGTCGCATTCGCTCTGACAACACAGTTGTGTCCATCCACATAATTCATAGATTACACCTTAGGCGACGACTAAAGGTATTTTCCCTTTTTTATACTTCATTTTTATTGGCTTTACATTCCCCTTTTAATTTCTTAGCGATTCCACAAAAATTTAACAAAATGAGGCTTTTCTGGATTTCACCCTAATTTCATCCCATAATAGTCTTAGTGAACGAAATTCTATCTCTTCTCGAATCTCCTGCCTTTATAAGATTTATTAAATAGCTAGCGCTCAGCCTTTAAGCTCGCTCCATTGGTTGTTAATACTTCGGGAATCCTCGGGTCTACTCGAACTTTTCGGTGAAACCATTCCAGTGGAGCAATAAACACTTTTCGTGTTCAGTCCAAGTTCAAGCAATCAACATAGCCAATTATTGTTCAACATTCATCCATCAGATCTCCCATTTGCTTCTGCAGTTAGCCTTTCTGCCAGTTTATCACTCAGTCGACTAATTCGAAGCACCAACAAGTCATTAGTTATTCTACATTTAAAAATTATTTTGCCTCAGATATGAATATTATTCCAAATATCGCCATATATTATTCAAATACATTATTCATGAGCTTAACATGAGCTTTAAGTTGTCAGTAGGAGTTATTCAGCATCCTCGACAACCATTTCTGATCAGCCCAGGCTACTGGCTGCTTGGCAAGATCAATTAACTGATCAGTTAAAAGTACAGCACTGGCTTCCGACCATCAGTATATGAGTGAGAGAAATGGAAGCGTGAACTGAATGTCTTTGCAAGGTGCATGAATGGTTACTTGCAGGAATGCATCGAGTTGGGATGCTTGTATCTTTCGTTCTAGTCGCAAGTGGAGGGAGCCAAGTCAGCAGCGGTGAGAGGTACTAGAAGATGAAGTCAGCAGCGGTGAGAGGTACTAGAAGATGAAGATGAAGGCTTCGATGAGAGGTGTTTCTTAACATTAATGGCGAAGAGAATTTTCATGATTCCAATAAAATTTCTTTTTTTCTGCGTTGGCTATCAGTTATCAGTTATTTTTGACGTCTGGAATATATTCTAGTAAATATTTAAAAGCGCATTTATTGGGCTTTTAGCATTTAATCGTAGAATAATATTGTTAAAAATAATTGTAAAATATGTTTTACTAGTAAAAAGCCCACACTTAGAAGCGTACCACTTCATAACCTTCGCATATACTTTAATAACAAAAGTATTTTTATAATCTTCGTCCTACTCCATAAATATTTCCAAAAATTCGTTTCATTCCTTCGATGTTTCTGCAAACCCTTTTGCATTCATTGCTTTGGTACTCGCCAAATCCCTATAACTAGGATGGATTATAAGATAATAGTACTAAATTCATGAAATTGAATTAAAATAGGTTTTTTTTCGAAAACAATTGCAAAATTTTTTTTCCTTTCCTTTGAAAGTTCTGCTAATCCCACAAAACTATGCCTTTTTTTTATGGATCCTTTCGAAAATGAATCTCCTGAAAGCTGCTGAAGTCTTATGTTGTGGATGTGAATAACGTGAATATTATGTCGATGGACGGAATATCGTGAAGAATTTCACTTTAGAGACGATTATTTAACTACGAATGACAATAAGGCGAAAAGCCAGTAGTTCGAGAAAATTTAAACATTTTAACAAAAGGCTTATATTCAGCAATGCTGAGGAGTTCACGAATTTATCTATCTTTGTTTTATATGGGAAATTTGCTTGACCAGTGACTGCCAAAAAAAATCATGATAATATACCACACGAATTGATTTTGGCTGTTTTGCGTCTGCAGCTCGTTCCTGGCGCAGTGGTCTTTGGATTCTTGCTGATGATATCTTCCAACGGCTCTCGCCATTACTGGTTAGGCTAGCTCAGCTGGCTACAAGAGTAAGACTTTTCCAAGCTGCTCGACGCTGTCGCTAGTAATAATAGAAGCTATTCCTTTTTCCATCGTCAAAATCCATATATCGCTATGGACTGATGGTATAGGGCAGATGCTACTTGATTGCTATTTGATTCGTATCGTTTTCCGGCGTTTCATTGTGATAACCGTCTGGGTCCATGACTTTCTTTGCTATTGGTATTTTTGTTTCAATGGTAGGGCCTATAGGCCAAAGGATCGTGAATTGAAGCACACGATCTGTTATTTTGCAGAACTATTAATAAGTGCTATACTATAATAGCTGTCTTTGAGTTGATGGATTCAGGTATACATTAGATTTTTGAATTGAATATCTATCTTCCCAGCCAATTCCTAACATTGATTGGTTCAGGTTTCACCTCTTTTTTCGCTAATTTATTTGTTAAATTATTTGTCGTTACTGAGCAATCTTTGAATATTCTTCCTGATTCCGCCAGAAAGTTTCTTTATCGTTTAT